AGACACGGTGTTAACTTTCATAGCTACGCTGATGATACCCAGCTCTATATAGCCGTGTCTCCTGGTGACCTGAGCCCGATCGACACCCTTTTTAACTGCATTTTAGATATTAAGTCCTGGATGGCAGCAAACTTCCTCCAGCTCAACCAGGGCAAAACCGAGGTTTTAATTATTGGTCCTGAAGCTCAGAGAGAGAGGCTCAAAGCTAAGCTCCAAACCTACTCACTGAACCCTGTGAGAGGGTCAAGAGTTTAGGAGTTATTCTTGACAGTGAGCTTAGCTTTGAGCCACACATCAGGTCCATCACTAAATCTCGGTTTTTATCATCTAAAAAATATTGCCAGAGTCAGACCATTTCTCTCTCAAGCCAGTGCAGAGATTTTAATACATGCTTTTATTACAAATCGTGTTGATTACTGCAATGCTCTCCTTTCTGGTCTTCCAAAGAAATCTACAGCTCCATTGCAGCTCCTCCAAAACTCTGCAGCACGACTGCTGACAAGGACCAGGAAGCGAGAGCACATCACCCCAGTACTGAAGTCTCTGCACTGGCTCCTGTGAGCTTCAGGATAGATTTTAAAGTTCTTTTATTAGTTTATAAAGCTCTTAATGGTCTTAGTCCTATTTATTTATCTGATCTGCTTTTATCATATGAGCCCTCTCGGACTCTCAGGTCCTCAGGTAGTCTTCTTTTAACTGTCCCAAGAGTCCAGACTAAAACTCACGGTGAGGCGTCATTCAGCTTTTATGGCCCCCGTTTGTGGAACAGTCGACCTGAGGATCTGAGGTCCGCTGCGAGTGTTCATCTTTTTAATTTAGCTTTTAATTGAAACTTTTATCTGTCTTAACTTAAATTATTATTATTATTATTATATTTATTTATTCTAAATTAAATTATCATTACTGTTTTACTTTGTCTCCATTTGATTTTAGCTCTCCATTTTGATTTTTATAATAACCTTTAGGAGTTTTATGTTTTTGTTTTTATGTTTATGTTTAAATGGTTGTATATATGGATGAAACAAAGGGATGGGGTGGGGGGTTGCTCTTGATTTTAATTATTGTATTGTAATTTTTCTGTTGCATGTGAAGCACTTTGTGCTACATTTTAAATGTATGAAAAGTGCTATACAAATAAAGTTTGATTGATTGATGATTGATTGATTGATACAGAAACACTAAAGTTAGAGATTAAAAATGAGATTAACGCGATTAAAAAACATAACGCGCTAAATATGATTGTAATTAATTAATCGCAATTAACGCGATAATTTGACACCCCTAATAAATATGTGTACAGTTTTCAAATCTGTGCTTTTTAGGATTTGGTTTCTAAACTGTGTCAAACTTGGGCATCAAAGTCTCAGAATGAAAACCAGGTTCACAGAGATTTTCACTACAGATGTCTGTTACATTGTGTGTTGGTGCTTCTTTGTGTGTAAAATCTCATCATATTGTGATTCCTGTGCGTTCTGTTTTGTCAGTGGGCTTTGGTGAGATTGTGCAGTATTTAAGTACACATAATATGACACATACAGAGGGACTGTTAACGTGTTCAAACAGTCGATCATTGTGTTTCAGGTTCTCCAAAGTGTCTTGTGGTTTTGACATGAGAGTTAAGGATTGAAACTGGCTATGAACTTGTTCTCCTTGAGTGGCAAGTTTTTAATTCTGAAAACTGAAAAACTGCATTAGATCAACAGCATGGTTTAAAGTTCAGATATGGGTTTAGGTTAAGGTGATGCCATTGGTTTAGGTTAGGATCAGTCTCTAACAAATGAATGCAAGTCAGTGTAATACCCCCAAGAAGCACTGAAACACACACACTGCACAGTGCAGAGAGACACATCTTCTGTAGTGTGTGTGTGTGTGTGCGTGCGTGTGCATGTGTGTGTGCTAGTCTTTTACTGTAACCTTGCAACGGTGCGTCATTTCCCATAAAAACCCATGTAATTAGAGCCATGTTTGAATGAGTAGTCGTGTAAACACATACATATTTTATATGGAGACGTATTTTTTTCTTCTTGGTAAATTATTTAGTTCTTTTAACTGTTCACTTAAGTCTAATTTGTGGCTTCTTCTTTCATGTTCCAAACACTTTGTTGTGAATCACACTTTCTTTTGAGGAACATTCCTCAAAGCAAACATGAAGACCATCTAAACACATAAGGAGTGATGAGGTAAACCCAACGAACACGTTATGGACAGAAGTGTCAGATGTTTCTGAGCAAAGCAGCAAATTATTTGAAACAGCCCCTTTTCCACAGTTCACCTGATCCAGACCACCTGAATACTGCTCACCTTAACTCTTCTTTACCGTGCTTCTACTGTGAAAAAAAACAGACTGTGGAGATCAAGGTTACAGTAGCTCGTTTTTTAATGTCTGTGGCGCCATCTGCTGGTCATTATACCAAACTACGTGCTATTTGGAGCACATAAAAAGGCTTATCTGAAGAAGACTTACATACATACCCTATATTTTAAGATATTTTGTGCTTTGTTGTCAGTTGATCTATAACTGTGTAGAATTTAAAGGTTCAATTGCTGGTCAGTATGAGACATTTTGTGTAGGTTGTAAGTCTTGATGGGTCAAATGCAGATTATAAATTCGCAAAAACAAAACAAAATAAAACAAAACAAAAAACTTATATGTACACCAACTGCTGTAAATCAGTTTCTATCATAAGTGGACACCGCCTCACCCAAACTAACTTTATTTCACACACATAAAAAAAACACTGGCTGGACGTCTTTCTGCTTCTTGCTGCTTTATTTCCTCACAGTGTGTTTAATTAGAAGCACACAGTCGCAAATGGCTTCAGCTCTTCTTATACATGGATAACAAGATGGACACAATACAGAAATGTCACTGTAACATGGCTGTGCTGGGAGAGACAGGCAAAGGGCCCCATTTCAAAAGACGTCATTAAGCATTTAAAGGTGCACTATGTAACTTTTCTGGTGTGGGAGCCACTACCATCTTGTCTCCATGGAAATATTACCTGTTTTGTCTAAAATGTTCCAAATATTCAATTACAAAGTAGGTTTTTCATTGCTTAAAACCTTAAAAAATGCATTCTTACTCTAAGTGGGGGTCACCTCTTCACAGATCTGACCTGTATCTTGACTTTGATGATGGTCGTTCCCGTGGAGACAAGCAGGAAAAAACAGAAAAGTTACGTATTGCACCTTTAAGCCAAAAATAAACAATCAGAAATACACAATCAACAGCAGAAAGTAAAAAAAAAAAAAAAGAGGTCAACAATTAAAATCAAACTCAAAAAAAGCAAAAACAAAAATATTAATTGCACTTGTTGGGTTAACCTGGCATACAGCATTGATATTACATTAGTATTTAGTAACTTAACTTCCACTATCTGGCGTAGTAAGTAGTAGTAAGCCAGCTACCTGTATGCGTATGCTACATAGATCTATTAATATTATTTACAGTTGTTATTTATACTGCTCTGAGATTGGTTTGCCCATTATCAGGCTCTATATAAAGGTATATCTTGAGAAATATTCAGATTAAGTAGTAAGAATGAACAAAATCTCAAAAAACAAACAGGAAATTATAACATTAGATTTTATGACTTGACTGATTTGGGAGGACGCATGCGATAAGCACAATTAAGACTACATAATGAACACATCAGAACATTAGAATGATCTATTTTTTTTATCTCAATGTCTATTCAGCTATATCTTTTTAGTCTAAATCTGTCACTTAATACATAATTTTACTAAGAACAAATGGAATGAGTGTTAAATGAGCCAAGGCTTTAAGCAAAGGAACAATAATCTAGTATTATTTAAATACTTCATATGATCAAATAGTAACTGCTGGGAGGAATAGCTGGTACTTCTCATAAGTATTTTACTATATACAAGAAATATTTGTATACTGTCTATGTGTGGATGCCAATGTTTGCATAGATTGTTAGATTTTCGTAACATTCGCGGCCTCTGACTGATCTGAACGTGAACATATACAGGCCGAATGATGAGGAAACAGCTGGACAGTTTTGTAACATGCACAAAATACACGAGGATTCTTTGGTATAAATCCAAGGCCAGCTGAATGAGAGACGACAGAGAGGAAAAAAGAAGTTTCATTTGCGTCCTAAAATTGGTTCGTTATTCGTCGATGTAATTCTGTAATCAAATGGCTGTTGTTTAGAAAGTATTCAGAACAAAACTTTAGGTGCCAACGTTAATAGTGACCATATAAAGTCTCATCATAGCATTTAATTTTAACCAGCTAATTTGATTGATGATGAGGGATGCACAGATACCAATACTTGTATCGAATATCAGTGTTGATACTGACTATTTTTGCCTTTAATTGTACGTAATAAAAATATTTACAGGCTGATTTTGTCCTAGAACATCTCATAATGTTTGAACTTTTGATACTTGAAGGACAAATAACACTTATATAACACAACTGAATTTCTTGTGTAATAAGTTAACTGTTTTTTAAGGAAATAAGTGTCATTTTCGCCCCTGCATTGGGTTTCAGCAGACACTTAAAGCCAAAGTATCGATATTGGTATTGGAACAGAAAAGGCTGGATCCGTGCATCCCTTTTGATGATGTCAAATAAAAACTCAAATGTACACAATTTGGGAAGAAATATCGGAATAAAAAACTAAGTAAATTCTTGTTTACAATCCATTTCCATGAAAAAGACCAGACATATGACCAACAACAAATTCCCAAATAGATTGTTTCAATAAATACCCTTACTTTTGCCAAAGTATATCTTACACTGAGTATCAAAACAAAATGTATTTATTTATTTATTCTGTTAAGGGAATATTTGGTGTAAAATAACACTGATATCAAATGTTGTCTTGGTTTTGTACAAGTTTTCTTATATTACAGAATTTCACAAAACTTGAAATTGAAGTATTTCTCAAACCCTGTCTTCTACCTAAGCTTTAAATTTGAACATTCCAATCTCCAAAACAGCAGACAAAAGGAAATCCTGTTATGTATTATAGATACAAGTAGCCGATCCAATAAACTAAATTAAAAAGCCCAAATGCAGTGGGGAAGAAAATGCGCGCGTAGGAATCGATTTTGGAAACCCTTACGTGCATCCTGTTCTCACGCCAGGCCCCAGAGCGACAATCGTCGAAGCAGCAGAAGAAGCTGGCGCAGTCCTTCCCGTCCAGGCAGTCGTAGGCGAAGTCGTCCTCCTCCACGTAGGGCAGGATGTTGTTCATCTGCAGCAGAGACGTGCCCGGGCGGATGTTCACCAGGCTGGAGGTCTTCTGCTCAGAGGAGAGAGCAAAAGGGGCAACAAACATACACTAGTAGTCAAAAGTTTGGACACATCATCTCATTCAATGTTTTTTTTTATTTATTTTTTTTCTGTGTGTTGGTTATATACATACAGAAAGCATCAAACATATGAAGTAAAATATATGGAATTATTTACCAAAGGAAAAAGTTAAATAACTCTACTTCTTTGTTACATAATTCCATATATCATACTTCATATATTTGATGCCTTCTGTATGTATGTTCTGTGTGTACAGTATATAAAATGTAGAAAGTAGTAAACATTAAATGAGGTGTGTTCAGACTCTTGACTCGTAGTGTACGCTATAGTAAAGTTGTCAAAAGAATCGAAAATCAGATACGTGTTGGCCATACATATCAGAACTAAAACTACTCATTTGAGCAGGTATTGATACTTTAAAAAAAGTCACATTCTCAGGACAGACATGAACATTTCCTGAATCGCTTTAGAATGATCTTGAGCTGTATCAGAACAAGTATAAGAGTCTAGTATAAGCCCATGTCTAGTGTAGCAGGTGTATGAGGCCTGTTTTCTGTGGTAGCTGTGGAGAAGTAGAACTGGGTCCAGTAAAAACTATGATGCGATGAATGCAATGTAAAACTAACAGACTGGATCCAGTATGCGTTTTATGATGATTTAATGTGTAGATAACTAGTATCACAGAGCCAATGTGCGAATATGGACAGAGAGCAGGAATCCTGCAAAAATGACTACTGTATTGACAATGCATTATAAGCAGAAACAAAAGCAATAGCAGTCAACAAAAATTACGACTACCCAACCAACTTCTCTCTCCCCCTCCCTGCCCAGGTGAGTGCAGGCTCTTTATACACTTTTCCATGCCCGCACACACGCACACCCCACGCTCACATAACTCCCACCGCCCCTCAGGGGAGCAAACACACACACACATGCACACTGTGCCCAAGAAATGTCTCCCATATCTAGTATAAGCCCATGAACCACTATGGAACCTACCTGTACAACTGTGGGATTACACCAACATGTAATATAAATGAAAGTGTTTTAATTGAATGTTGAAAATGAAAAAAAAATAAATAAAGAGTGTTTTTATCATCATCACATTAAGTCTATAGTCTGATTCATCAGTCAGTTTCACTTCATGGAAACCGACTGACCTCGCAGCATTTGGATTCGTTCACTTTGTTCGTTCTTCGTTCTTTTTTGTTTAACCAATTGCTGCTATTTGGTCATGACGAATGTAATGCGCCACTAACTGGCTAACTTAAGCTTTTCCCAAATCCCGAAGGAAGAAAGGCAATAACGTCTTTCCCCTTCATAAAATGTATCAAACATTCTCTTTGTTCCGGCTTTAAATCCTCGATCTCAGGAATCGTTGCCAACACAGAATATATGGCTCTTCGCTGATTGGCTGGTGCCTGAACTCACACTTCCAGGGTTCTTGCAAACTGTCTAGTGTATTATGATTCCTGACCTAGTCACTTGGAGAGAAATGAAATTGAGCGGAGGCACTAGGTGGCACCAGCCTGGCTACTAAGTCTATCCCATAGTATCGAAATTTGACACACTACACTGTAGTAATGGGCTTACACTGTACTATTTTAGCTCTTTTTATCTGACCCTCTACAAGAGAATTTATAGCACTCCTTTTCAGACATGAATAATGATATTACACTGACGGCATTTATCCTGGTCTGTAATTAAATAAACATAAAGCCTTCATGTAGAAATTAATGTACGTCACCATATTTCATACTTAACATTAACCATATTGAAGTGAGTGATGCTGGGTTTCAGACAACGTCAAAACATTGTATGAGTCTGTTTTGTAAAATGATGGGGGTATGTTAACAAGCAGTGTCGCTCTGCTTGTTTTATTTTTAGATATTTCTTTCAAAATACCATATCATTTATACAAGAATTTTCTGAAAACACTTAAAACACCCCCCAGCCACTCTTAAATCTAGAGATGTATTAGTTCATCAGCTGCTTGTACTTCTGTGAGTAATAAGAAACAAATTGACCAAAAAATAAAAATGTATGCAATGCCTGTCCTTGTCATGAGTTTACCCATGTCTCAGTAAGTTATAATCATGCTTCGTCCACAGGGTCGTGTACCTCACCTGTGTGTATCTCACCTGTGTGTATCTCACCTGTGTGTACCTCACCTGTGTGTATCTCACCTGTGTGTTGTTGGCCTTGGCCTTCTTGTTCTGCCTGTTGCTGGTGAAGTAGTGCAGAGTGCCGTACTCCATGAGAGCAGCGAAGGTGAAGATGAAGCACACAGACACAAACAGATCCATGGCCGTCACGTACGACACTTTAGGCAGAGACTTCCTGGAAATGGTGCTGAGCGTCGTCATGGTGAGCACCGTGGTGATGCCTGCAATAAAACAGGACAGGGCATCATTGGCGTGTTTATACAAGCGGTAAATACTATGGGTGTGCAAAAATCTGCTTTATTGATATATCCGCAAGAGTATTTTTTAGTATCTTTTAGCAGTTGCTTATTTCTTGCTTATTTAGTGGAAGGAAACTTATGCAATATTCTTGATTTATTCACAGTACTGACGATTAAAATTAAGAAATAAAAAACTGAGAAATACTGTTATTAGGGGTGTAACAATATCCAAGTCTCATGATACGATATTGTCACAGTATGAATCTCACTTTACGATATTTATTGCGATATAGTGGGAAAGCTCATGATATGGTAGGGAGTCTCACGATTAGGGATGTAACAATATCCAAATCTCTTACGATATTTATCCAATATTTTCACGATATACATCTCACGGTACAATATTTACTGCGATATTTTGTGGAGGTTAACAAAACTGTTAATATGCTACTTTTCCTCTTAAAATGCCTTGACAAGACCCAAAGAACTAAGACTCAAAAGTGTTCAGAACTGTTATTTCTTCTTGTAGTCTACACCGAAGCAAAGGATCATGGTCTGTGTAGTTCTCTCTGTCATTTTTGGGCTATTGCTGCACCATAACTCTTAATTTAAGCAGAGACTTGTAATTCGATATATTGTGATAGCCCACGATATTATTGTGAGAACTTTGACGATACAATATCACGATATTTCGGTTATTGTTACATCCCTAGCTGCAACTAAAATGCATTTGGTTCTTAAATAAAACAGCATACACTGGAAAAAACAAAACAATATCTACTTAAGTTAAAATGACTAATTAAGAACATTTTACTTTATTTGAGTAGATTCAACTTGACAAGTAAAATTATCTACCAATGGAATAAGTGTGTTTTTCTTAATTTAAGCAACATTCAATTTTGTTTCTTATTTTAAGTCCAAAAAGTTGTTGTTTTTCTTATTTTAAGTGTAGCAAGATGCATTTTCATATTTCAAGTACAAAATATCTTGTTCCACTGGCAGATTATTTTACTTGTCAAGTGAAATTGACTCAAATCATGATAAAACTTTCTTAATTCAAGTCATGTTAACATGACTAGACTTTGTTTTTTGCAGTGTACATATCACAGAATATCAGGTGCAGTATAAAAATGACAGCATGTATCTCCAAATTGTGATAATATTGTATCGTGAGCCATGTATCATGTATCATATCAAATTGTGAGGGACCCTGTGATTCCCATCTGCAACTAATCATTGAAATAGTTGAAAAAAATATATATATAAATTATTATTATTATTAACTATTATTTCTTTTATATATGGGTATATTTTAACAACATTTTAAGAACATACAGGCTGAAATATGGTGACTGAAGGCTTGAGACTTGAGAAACAATGTCTGAAATTGTTGTGTAATTTTTTCACATTTTAATGAATTTTTTTCAGCCTGTATAGTTCAGATAAGTAACAAAAATATGATTATGATTATTATTATTTCAATTTATCATGGCAATGGTTGTAAACACAGTATCAACTCACTGGCGCAGAAAGGCTGTGTCCTTGTGTCGTCACTACATTCAAAAGAGCTCGTTGTTACATAAAGTGCTAGAGGCGGGTCAGATTTCTATGGTGGGGTTTTCATGTGGCATGTTTTATCCTGGTTTACGGTTCATGTCTCTGTAATTATGAGGCTTATACAAACGAAATAATATCTAGCAGCAGAAATGAACTGAACCAGTGATGTATTTTGTTCACTTATTCATAAAATGGCATGGTGTTTTTTCACAGACCCAGTGACGTGCGGGCGGGGACTGCATCCTTGTTGATCCAGAAGGAGACCCAGGACAGCACCACGATCATGCTGCAGGGGATGTACGTCTGGATGGTGAAGTAGCCCATCCTCCGGCTCAGGTCAAAGAAGATGGTCATGATCACATATTCACCTGGAGTCATGAAGACACACATTTTAATCTGCAAAATATGAACTAACTTTAAATGTGCATTGTTTTGTCCCTGTAAGAATGTTAAAAAAAATCTTAACTTTAAACTTTAAGGAGCACTGTGCAACTTTTTGGTTCGAGGTCACCTGCTTGTTTCTATGGATATGTCATTGCTCTGCTTAGAATGTTCCACAGTATGACATTAAACAGCTCTACAGTTAGAATTCATTCGCCTGACAGTAGGCGGGTACTTTTTATCATTTTACCACGTTGCCATCGCTGCTATTTGGTCACATATGTAATGCGCCGCTAACAGGGATATCTGGTATATTAAGCTTTTCCCAAATCCCATAGGAAGAAGGGCAATAATGTCTTTCCCCTTGATGAAATTCGACATTCTCTTTATTCTTTCTTTAAATCCTCGGGAATCGTTGACAACACTGAATATATGGCTCTTTGCTGATTGACTGGTGCCCGAACTTGCACTTCCAGGGTTCTTGCAAATCATCTATCGTATTTTGATTCCTGACATAGTTGCTAGAGAGAAATGAAATTGAGCTGAGGCACTAGGTGGTACCAGCCTGGCTATGGTTTTATAGCTCAAAAATACTAAAACAAGTATTCTAACTGTGAGTGGGGTTGCCTCTCCACTAGGGGTGTGCAAAAATATAGAAATATTGATATATCGTATCATTTAATGTGATGTGATATGTGATATAATATCAATATTGTGAACTGCTGTATTGATATATCACCAAGAGTATTTTTTGTTATGTTTTACTAAATTATTTTGTTAGAGTGCTACAGTTTTGTTGCTTGTTTAGAGAAAGGAAACTTGTTTATGCAACATATTTGACATTTTCAGTGTTTTGATGATTAAAATGTTTGTGTTTCATATTAAGTTTGCACAAGAAGTGGTTTAACAAAGACTTTTCTTATCACAGCCATGATTTAGCCATTATTTTTTACTGAACCGTATCAAATCAATTTGAAATATATCACATCGAAAGTGCACTGTATTGAGATATGTATCAAATCGTGACCTATGTATTGAGGTATGTATCATATCAGCAACTTCTTAATGATACCCAGCACTCCTCTCCACAGATCTGGACTGTAATTTTGTATGGTTTGGATTCCATGAAGATAGAAAGGTTTAATACTATGAGGCATTTCAGACAAAGCAATAACATCTCCATGAAGAAGTTACATAATGCACTTTTAAGGTTCATGTAATTTTGTCTCATAAAATGACGACCCCGTAGAGCAATTATTTTTGTCATATGTAAAAGATAAATGCAAAATGTTATGCTTCAGATGTTATTGCTTTGCCCCTAATCTTCCACAGTATAGCATAAAATTGACCTATTGGGCTTGGATTCAATTACAGCTGTTTTATTGCGAGAGAAATTGCCTGTAAAACTCATTCTTACTGTGAACATGCTCGCCTCTCTACAAATCTGATCTGTAACTTGGCCTTGTGGCATCACCTGCTTTGTCTCCATGGAGATAGATGAGTTTAATACTGTGAAATATTCCTCTCTACTCTATCAGAAAAGTTATAGTGCACCTTTAAGCAATGTATTTTAGACCAACAAATCGATGTAATCCGTCATTTTCAGACCCACAAATTTAAGATTAGATGTATTGTAAAAACTCAGAGTTATATATTAACACACAACACTTTTTAAATCAAGCAATATTATCACTATTGCAGCATAATTTTGGATTTTAAAAGTAGGATTCTGTTCAAAGGGCATTTGAGAGAAGACTGAAGTATAAACAACTAATCACATTAATTTCAGAACATGTTTGTAGAGATCTGAACTAGGCACAAGAGTTCTCTAGGCCCACAAAAAAGAAATAATTGTAGCGTTTGCACCAACTCAAATTAGAATTTCTGTTTGATTACGATTAACTGTCCAGCCCAGATTATCACAGAGTAAACCTCCTGTCACTAACCATACAAACATGAAGCACTGGTCACCTGACTGCGTGTGAGCCACATCTGAAGTGTTCCTGAGCCCCACGAAAGCAAACTGGTACAGCCTCCAGTAACGTTGGTCTGCCACCTCCACGGCCCTCCTCTGCCACCGGTACATGATCTCATTCCTGGGGTAACCATCTGGACACATGCAGCGAGGAGCCAAGACAACACAATGGGATTATTCTCATGTGTTTTACAGGAACGACATGTCTGCCGTCTGAATAAAGGGCTGTTTGCACTAGAAGAAACGCAAGTAAAATTTTGACTACATATCTTTCATTGCTTACTTCAAATAAGAATATTAGTTTGGATTGCAGTAGTTTTTAATTTGTTCAGTAGTTTATAATGCAGAATATTTCACTGTTTTCATGTGTAAACAGCCCCCATTAAATCTCTGGTAATGTAACTGAACACTACAGTCTCATCAAACTCACTCCAGTGAACATCACATTGGTGCTGAATGACAAGTGGGTAAGCAAGTAGCTCTATTTATTCAGTTACACTTACTTGAGTAATTTTGAAGGTTCAATACTTTTAAAGGTGTATTGTGCAACTTATCTGGTGTGTCCATCACCTGCTTGTCTTCATGGAGATGTTATAGTTTTCCCTGTTGCATGGACTTTAAACACTTCCATCCAGCATTTTTTCATTACAGCTATTTCTATTGCTCAAAAATACAATAATTCTCTCTGTGAATAGTGTTGCCTTTCCACAGATCTGATCTTTAATGTAGCCTATAGTTGTCTCCCTTGAGGTAGACAGGTTTAATCTTCTAGACGAGACAATATCATCTCCATGAAGATAAGCATTTGACAGACCCTTCACCAGAAAAGTGTGTGCAATGCTCCTTTAAGTAGGGATGCACCATTACTTGTGTCAAATATCAGCACCAATAATGAAAACTTAGCTGAATCGGGCATCGGTTCCCTGGTTGGACCTTTAATTGGATGTAATAAGACCACTTAAGGCTGATTTTGACCTAGAATGTCTTATAATGTTTGAACTTTTATTCATACAAAATGTTTCTGTCATCGTTTGAAGGATGAATAACAGTTACATAATCTCTCTTGTGTCCTGTTAACTATGTGTAAAGATATAAGAGCGACTTTCCATCCTTTCACTGGTATCGGTTAATATCAGGTATTGAGAGATACTTAAAATATCAATATCGGAATCGAAACTGAAAAAGCTGGATCGCCACATCCCTACTCTTAATGTGGCTACTCTTCTCAGTGCAATTCAAGTGACAGAAGCTTTGTCTTGACTATAAATGTGTTTACATCTTCCAAAATGCACTTTAAATGTTATGCGCATAAATCAAAATGAAGCAAGCAGATAAACTTTTATGCAAATAAATGGTTCTAAATGTGATATTTGGCATTTCCACCTCACATTTATGTATCTGCCTTTAGTTCTGCATTATGAAGTTGCTATATTTGCCCATCTAAACCTGAATACAAGTTTGTGATTTAAGGGATTGGTGCAAAAATAATTTAGTTATGAGCATTTCAACCAAAAGGTGATGTTCATAGTGTGAATTTTTGAGACTTCACTTTTCTATCTGGATTTCTAAATGGAAAATCTGTAAAGAACCCAACATGAGGCAAAGCACAAGACCAGATGATAGATGAGGAATGGCACAAGGACACGGACAAACGGATCAGACTGGGACGGTTCACAATTCATCCAGAGACTCCGGTGGCTGGTGAGGCTCTTCTCTACAGCGGCGATGGGCAAAGAGTGGGCGAGAGAAGGCAGTCGCAAGCATATATGAACCATGAGTGGGGAGCACGATTAGCCAGTGCACTGAATAGTAACGGAGCCGGAAATGCGGCGTTCAGGAAAATACGGAATAACATGAAGGGAAAATATGTGGGCACCTACAGCTTGAAAACTCCAGGGGACACGAGTGCTCATCCATTGGAAAGTTATGCAGCTTAAGGTAGCACTCGGCATTTATAGTCAACCTGACAAAGACAGAATTGTGACACAGAGAAAGTGCTCTTAGAAACGTTTTTCCTTTTCAAAACATGATTGAGTATTTGGTAAGGGCAGAAAATATCCAAAAAACAAATATATATGCACACTAAAACTGAACAAACCACACATGTAACTAGGCCTGTCACGATAACACATTTTGAGTGAGATATAAACAATTCAAAATAATACTGAAACAAATTTATACCACTGATAAATAACTATTCAAGGAACTGCATGTAGCCTGCACTCTTACTGTTTTTAAAGGTACTGTAGTCACAACTGAATCTGAGTTGCCGGTGCCCAAATATGCAGACAGAGGCTGTGAAAGCCCCTGTGAATGCACAGAACCTCCAGAATTCACTCACTGAGCTGCAGAGGCTGCACTAGCACTGATTCATGACTGGCTGCTGGTGCTGGGGTTTAGGGAGTGACCACTTAGATCAGAGAGGCATTTTACATTTAAACAAACTGGGTTTCAGCATTGAAACCCAAATAGAAATCTAAATGAGAGTCTTGTGTGAGGTCATTCTGATTGGCTAATCATTTGGCTAATCATTTAATTGGTCTTGACAGCCAAAAGCACCAAATAATAACATAAACAACTTGGCCATCATTTCCGATATTGTAATCAAAGATAAATCAGCATTATATTGATGTCAGTAAAAGCTATATTTGATTTGAACATGTATTCCTCATATCTGGAACATGAGTATCATAGAATATCTTCATGAAATTTAAAATCAAAATACACACACACACATATGCGTGTGTGTGTGTGTGTGTGTGTGTGTGTATTTTGCTCTTTAGTTAGTATCTATGATGAGTCATAGAAATTATTAATTCAAGTTGAATTATTCAACCCTCTACAGCTGAAATCACAAAAATAACCAAAAACTTTACACAACTGCCAAGAAAAAGTACCCATGATAAATACTGACCCCAAAAATGACTTTTCCATCTATCAAATACTGAAGTGGAAATAGTAATTGCCGTGACAGGCCTGTACCTTCCTTCCCTTGTGTGCGTGTCTGTGTGTGTGTGGAGGAGAGCCTTACCTCAGTGTGTACATGACGCGCCCATTGCTCCACAGGCGGAGCAGTCTGTTGGGGGTGGTGATCCAGTGAGCGTCAGATTTTCGGGAGTTTCTGAAGAAGGTGTCTGGGATCCAGATTTTGCCTACCATGTTACTGTTGAGCATGAGCAGCTTCATGGTGCTGTTGAACTTGAGCCTGCTGTCGTACCATGTCTGAGCGAAGAAGATGTCAATGGTGTACTCCTACACAACAAATACAGGGTGTATAGAAATGTATATAATGAAATGTTATTTCACACATAACTGTACTACTACTAAGTCCCCAAAATCATCCTGTATCCATTTAGTTAGAGGAAGCAGCCTCAGCAACAGTGGCTGAAAGTGTCTTTAAATGTGCAAAAACATGTGTATAGGGAGGAAACTTTTATAATTATATAGTGATAGAATATTTTTCTTCAGTCTTCTTCTTTTGAAAACTATAAACCATGCTGTTAGAGAAATACCATTTCTGAGGGCACTCACTGCCAGCTCAGTCTCCAGTTCCTATTCTGTGTGAACGTTCGACTGCTACAAAAAAAATATTACCAGGGACAGTTAAATCTCTCTATAATCACATGCCTCCCACAAAGTGCAGTGTCAGTGTCGGCTCACCATGTTGATGGGGTCCACAGGCCCAATGCTGTTCACGTACACGGCTGTTTCAATCACTGTAGGCCTCACTAAAACAGTTTACCTTGTTAAACATATTCAAAAATAAAGTCTTTCTTCATAAGAAAAGCAGAAAGAGCACTTACCTCCAATGTCTGGCCTCAGCTTGTTGTCGTAGCCTTGCAAAAGTTTATTGAGAATCAAAGTGACATCGCTCTCATAGACTTTAGGTGATAACACCCACGTCTTGTTAATAGGCACATCTTCATAGTCCTCCTCCTGCTGTTTACTGGACCCAACGGCTGCCCTGCACAAACCACAGTCATATATCAGAGGATCAGTGTAAGCTCTGAACACAGGCTACAGAGAGCAGGCTCTTTGCTCCTATTGTGGGCTGGGACAAGCAATTCAAATGAAAAACAACATAGTGTCACCTTGTGGGTGGAACAGCCAGTCCACACAGGAGGCTGCACACTCCACTGGCCAAGTTTGGTTCCTTGTCCTCTGGACAGATGTCAGTAATATTTACTGCTCATTTAAGCGACTCACCTGGGTCTTGAAGTTATTCTGCTGTTGTTCTGAGCGCTGCTGTGAGTGTGGGGTGTTACAGGACTCACTGAGTTGTTGTATGTGCCGGCAAAAAAAAAAAAAAAATAGTGAAAAAAATTTATGCATTTACATGTACGTCTAATAGAATGTCTCGAGTGTAATAAAACAGGAGCCTGTTTTTTCCCTGGAGGAAAGGGGAAAAGCTATTTAGTTTAAAAAGGTCTATGTTGACATGGGAACACATCCACAAGGACATGAAGCTAACAAAAATGGAAACTCCATTGTGATGTTTCATCAAACAGAAACAATATTGGGCTGTTCACACCAGAGACACTGGTGTTTGGTTCCTGGCCCGGGCTAACGTGTGATGCTGCGGTCGGAGCTCAGAGCTGGCCCCGCAGACGCAGTGTGGCTCCAGATTAGCCTGCGGAGAAAAGACACCGGCCAATGGACCTGGCGCACACTAAAAGAGCACACCTCGCCATGTCGGTCACGGCATCCAACAAGGATTTGGCAAATAAGTAGAACAAGAGGGCGTTTATGTATATGCTAAAGGGTCTAGGCCCCACTGTGGTGAAGAAATGAATGACAGGTGAGCTCGGAGGGGACTCGCTCACACGCGGGCAGCACTCACAAACACACTCTTTATGATTAATGATAAAACAGCTTACCAGAGGCGCAGGAGAGCGAAGAGCAGCCAGGACTTCATGGCTTTGTCCCGCTGGACGCTGTTTGAGCGGAGTGTCCAGCGCACGCAGACTCGGTGGAAGGTGCAGAGCCGTGCCGAGCCAGCGGTGAGCTGCAGAGGAGAGGTGGAGAGGGAGCTGACTGCGCGCTCTCTGCAGTGGCGCTAACAGCCTGCTCTCTGTGCACAGAAGAGCACAAAGCACTCAGCCTCACGCTCTTGTTCCCTTCTATTCACTATCTCCAGCAGGCTGCACGAGGCTGCACTCACTGTGCCCACGGGCACGGCACTAATAACGCCGACATGTCACGTCCAGTCAAACAGAGCAGCGCTGCGTGGCACAGCTGCCAGAAAGAGCCACAGAGCAGAGGAAGGAGGAGGATGTCAACTCGGCCTGTTTCTGTGGAAGTCCTCTTTATATACAGACTATTTATATTTATTTAACTCATTCGTTCATTAGTCCACTGTTTGCTCCCAGCTCTGATAGCCCCTGTCCTCTCGGGCTGAGGGTCAGGCAGACTGTGATTGTGATGTGAGAGTGGACATGCGCCTCCCTGTGGTCAGGCCTAAGATCATATTCTACTTGAGGGAAAACTTGCTTCAAAGGTCAAGTAACTGCAAAAGCATATGGAGTTGTGATGCTCCTCAGACTGACAGTTCTCCACATTACACTCCAGGAATCCTTCTGACAGCCTACTAAAATGTAGCCTAAAGGCTAATTATTAAAAATACATAAACCGCTATCTAAACACATGCAATGGCTTTTTCATTTTGAGACTTGCAGGCTGAAAGCAGCAGGCGTGGACACGTGTGAATGTGCTAAGTGTAGAGGACAGAACGGGCCGCTTAAGGGCTGCTGAGGCATCACTGCGCGCTCAGGTTATGTGCAGGGTAAGCAGCACACAACAACAAAGGCACGCTCAAGGAACACCACACCAGCACTTTCACAGCACTCAGAGGTTTATTAGAATACTCAGAACATGTCATAGGCTAGTCACAGTCATTTGGCATGTTGATTGTCGGAGTGCAATATTTTTGTAATATAGGCTACGTGTAGAAGAAATTAAGACATAGATTAAGTGAGGCAAATGTGTACACAACATTACAGTGAGAGGTATGGTAACTGCACAAGAGAATTTCAATACAAATCAATTGCTTTATATTAAAGGCGCACTACGTAAATTTTCCGGTGGAGGGTTCGTGTGCTCTGCTACCTGCTTGCTCCATGGAGATGTTATTGCTTTGCCCTGAGTGTTCTGTATGGCATTAAAGTCAGTTCCGTGAAACACATGTATGTAATTAAATAACTGAAATATAGATATTTTTAATGCCATGCTTTGGAACATACCAGGCAGAGCAATAACACCTCAAGACAGATGGAGATCCCTCCACCCGACCAAAAATAGTGCCCCATTAATAACAAAAAATATATAGGCCTATGCAAAAAGTATAATTGTAAACATAGAACACTTATACACATATTGATACTCTGACATCATGCTGGGGGTGTTCTACATGTAGGCTATCTGTAATGGTGGAATGCTTAGGGGTTACCATGGTGATACAATGCAGACGTTAGCAAACATGGACAAAAACGTTCATGTGCGAGAGACTTGTTTAACAGCACAAATTAGCTCACTGTTGTAGTTCCAGCTAAATGAGTTGTTTCTCGTCAGATTGTGTTAAAATAAAGCACAGATTAAAGCCTAGTAAACACTCAGACAGAGCAGAGCCTACAGATAGCATCACACCCCCAGGGAATGTTGATGTAGCAGCTGCAAAGTATCCATGACAGTAATTTAAACGCTACATGTATCAGCTACTTATTTAAGAAATAATGCATAAGGGAGTATTTCGGCACTGGGTCAAGGCTATACATGTGAATAAGACAACGAATATCCAATGCACTTTAATGTGGACGTTTTAAAGAGCCTGTACCTGATTTCACAACTTTCTGGGATAGAGTCAAGCAATTGTTTCTGGTGACGCGAGTTGAGGCTCACTGATGAGATGGGAATTTTTAAATCACCAGCTCCAGACACCAATGTGAGAACTTCATTTATCTCACAGAGGGGAACGGCCGAGGCTGAGATTTGAGATTTTAAAATGGTTCAAACTTAAGAGTGGGAGTGTGTCCGCTGAAATGAAGCATAATCTAGGCCTACATAAAAAGTAACACTACAAGAAAATATGTCAAGCAGTGGTGGAGTTAGTAATTTGGGGGCCCTAGGCAAAGTTGAGTTTCGGGCCCTCACTATAATGCGCCATTTTTTTTGTTTGTTTGTTTGTTTTGTTTTGTTGTTGTTTTTTAATATATTTATTGTCTGTTTTACCCCATTGTTCTTGGCACATGCACTTCTCTGTTTATTTGAATTATGGTGGATTGGAAACCAGAACTGAAAGTAGTTTTATTTTTTTTGCTAGTATGATTACAATTTTGTTTACATCTATTACATATGATTATTACTTTTTTTTCTCATGATTAACGTTTAAGAGTAAACTACTCTCATTTAATGTCATATTGAGAGAAAATCAAATTGGTTGGGGGCCCCTCCAGGTTTGGGGGCCCTAAGCAGCCGCCATCTTTTTTTTTTGAGCAAAAAGCTCTCATTTGTGGTGCCTACTCTGCTTATGTGCAAATTCTTATGTTGAGTTAGTGTTACTCAGTTTAAAAATGCTTAAAAAAATAGGGGGAAAAATGACAAATCATGTTAAGGAATCATTCAAAAGAGCCAAGACAGAGAATCAAGTGCCTCAGATAGTGTCAAGGAGTTGGTTTTCCATGATTCTTGGTGAACAATGTGCCTGATTGGATGAAAAAAGATGACCCTGTAAGTAGCCTTTATGATTGTTATTACCTGAGGAAATACTGTAAATGGACAGATTATATTTTAGACTATTTTTTTTTCTTATTTACCAGCTTTTGCTATACAATGCCTGATGTAAAAAAAAACAAAAACATTTAACTTGACAAGAATACATTAGAATCAGGTACAGGCCCTTTAACTTACATGCCCTTCATTTAGTACATTATTGGCAGTGTTTACGATTTCACCATCACACTTACACCCATATTACACCTAGGCCATATATATATAGAATAACATGTTGTAAACAAGCTAAATAAAGGTGCACACGTTCTCAATTGTAATTTCACGCCAAATGTGCTGCAATAACAACTTACGCAATCCATGTCACCTTGCGCATTTAAGTTCATGATTTACTGAACGAAACAACCTAAATCTTCAGTAGAAATGAAAGCAAAGTTTACTGGTTTTGGTGGCAGCAAAGAAGATGAAGAGGCTAAGGAGGCTGGTAGTCCTGCTGCTGCGGTATACAGTTGGCAGAGTAAGTGAAATAGAAAGAGTGGAAAGAGAGTGTATTTATTTGAGATGTGATAGATGAACATTTGGAAGGCTGAAGGAGGGAGGAGTGCTTTTACATGAGAGCAGCTTATTGTTTAAGGCTGTGCCATTAAGTGAATTTTGATCACGATTTCGATTTGAGAGTCAAACGATCTCCAAACTCATATAATCGAGTTGAAATTATTAAAGCGATATTTTTCTGTAAATTTGCACATTTATTTTATTTTCTAAATATAGAGATTGTAGAACAGCTGAATATATACTTTATTTTGGATACATTTATGTTTTTCTATGCCTTATTTCATGTTACAAGTAGATTTTAATCATTTTATGTTTTATACATCGTAAAATTGCTCTAAGGTACATATCTGTAGTCTATATTTATTTTCAATTTGAAAGTTTGGTGCAAATTATCAATAACAAAGTGTTCCTCGCAGTGTTAGGATTGGTTCACTCGACGGTAGGCAGGTACTTTTTTTTTTATTTAACCAATCACTGCTATTTGGTTGTGACGTAAGTAATGCGCCGCTAACAGGGCTAACTGGTATATTAAGCTTTTCCCAAATCCCATAGGACGAAGGGCAATAACGTCTTTCCCCTTGATAAAATTCACCAAACATTCTCTTTGTTCCGGCTTTAAATCCTCAATCTTAGGAGTCGTTGCCAACACAGATTACACGGCTCTTTGCTGATTGGCTTTTGCCCGAATTCGCACTTCCAGGGTTCTTGCAAACCGTCTAGTGTATTCTGACTCCTGACCTAGTCGTTGGAGAGAAATAAAATTGAGTGGAGGCACTAGGTGGCACCAGCCTGGTTAGTGAACAAATGCATCATGTAACTAAAAAAAATAATCGTTTGAATAATTGTGATTTCAACACTGACCAAAATAATCAAGATAGTATTTAGTTAGAGAATACCTGTATTAAAAAGTATATTGTAACCTCTTATGTTATATGGTCCAATCAGAGTACTGTATTCTGAATGCTTAGAATTTTTTCACATATATTTGAGCAAATTTTGTATTATCCCAGTACAGATCTATTGTATAAGCAGCTCTCATGGTCCAAATAAGTTTGCTGTGTGCTGTCTGCATCTAATTATAAAGTGTGTCTGGTGTTTGAGAGCTAGGAAAAGCACTTACAAACTTACAAAAGTGAATTATTCGAATATTCGTGAAGCATAAGTTAACTGAGGAATAACTTTGGGCCACATAGCAGCTTTAAGTTTCATTATATTATATGTAAAACTGGATAAAAACTGTTTGATGTATGGAGAGGATGAGGAGGCTGACCGTTCTGCTGCTGTGATGGAGAAATGGGTTGAGGAGAATGTGTGCGACATACTGTAGCTCAGTTTCCAAGATGGAGGAGAGTTCAGAGAGTGGCTCTGAGATGATGGGTCAATGCTCAAGATCGCAGTCTGTGATTGGCTGACAGTGACAGGCAGGTGACATGAGCAATTACAGTCTCCTTGATTGAATTTACCTCAGTAACCCTAACCATGATCATCTTGTGTAATGGATTGAACCCTTTTTCAGAGGCAGTGGTGACTTTTGTGTTACCGGCTGCAGAATGCCTCAACTAAATGTCTCCATATCTTTGATCACCAGTTCTCGGTTAAGGTAGGTGGCCCAGTAAACCAAATTAAAACTGCCGAAGAGCACGGGGAACATAATGCGGGACAGGCGGTCGATCTTGCTGACACTGTTGAAGGTCTTCTTGGATTGGTCACTCTTAGTGATGGTTATGGCCGGGCTCTTGCTGGGGTCAATGGGAGCGCACTTGGAGATGGTGGGGATGGGGGAGTCCTTGGTCAGGCTCGGGTAGTAGTTAGCCACGGCCACAGCGTACGCGTTGTTCTTTTTGATAATAGACATCTCTTTTCTCTGTGGGAATAGTATGAAAGTGTGATTAATAGTAGTAATGATATTTGCGATAGTTTTGCATCAGTCAAGAGGCAGTTTGTGAAGAAAAGTTGAGAAAAATGTTGAAAATTACAGGAATTCAGTTTAAAATTTCATTTAAGAAATTACAATTTTCAGTGTCTGTTTTATACATTAGATTAATTATGGCGCCTGATTACAGTATGGTTGCTTGATAATTTTTGGAATTATGGAATTACCTCTAAATATTATGTGATTTCTATGATATTATTTCACATCTGCTGCACAAGTCCAACCAGGAAATCAAATTATGAACATGACCAAAAATGTCTTTTAGCAATGTTAACTGTGTGTTGTGAAAACAGTAGTCAGTAGTCTAACCTCTCATAACCCTTTTTTTTTCTATTAAATTGAGAGAAAGAGAGAGAGAAAGGACATAAAAAGCTATTTAAGCACAAGCATTTTCAGAATAGAGACAGAATGGTCACAGACTATTTCCTGTTTAAAGTTAAAAAAAAAAAGTTATCAATAGAATACACTCTAAATATTCTCAGACCACATATGAGCTGTCATAAGGTAAGCCAGAGCCCCCTCAGCACCTTGTCCTCCACCACAGTCTTGCCGTCCCAGGCCCATCCTCGCTTGGTGAAGTAGTTGACTGTGGCAAACTCAATGAGCGCAGAGAAGACGAAGGCGTAGCACACAGCGATGAACCAGTCCATGGCTGTAGCATAGGCCACTTTAGGAAGAGAGTTACGGGCGCTGATGCTCAGAGTGGTCATGGTGAGGACTGTAGTCACTCCTGAAAACACACCGAAGGGGGTTCACTGTATGAGTGTCTTGAGAGTCTAATCACAATGTAAACTATTATCACAATATCCACTTCATGGTAAGTTACAATATGTAAAACAACAACAATAATATTGTGAATAGATTCATGATATTACAAAAATATTACTCTAAAAATGCATTAACAAAACTTTTTATTAGACTCTTACAAGATGAAAATATTGGCAATATGCTTACTCCCCTTGACATCTGATATTGTTGCATATTGTAATAACTCTGCATACTGATGGTGAGCGTCAGTGAGATCAAAACTATGGAGCTCATTCTGTGCAGGTGGCAGAGCAAGCAGCAGAATTAGAAAATATTTTGAACCCTGCACGTATGACCTGGAGACTTAAGTGTTAGAAGAACTGCAAATGAGCACAGGGCCGTGGGCAGGGAACATTTCTGAAGCACTCAAATTCAGAATAATACAGGATTACTAAAACCCCATGAATCACTCAAAAATACAACTCCAACCATTTCATCCTCATTAAAATCTCCAAAAGTCTATTTAATACGTCTTTAGAAAGCCAGAACAACTCAAAAGCCCCCTGCTTAGAACCTCTTAAGTGTTTGTGCCGATGTAATCATATTATACTTGTTGTTTTCTGAGAGACTGTAAAGCATGAGTGACTCACCAAACACAGTTCTAGCAGGGACAGACTCCCTGTTGAGCCAAAAGGAAACCTGTGACAGGATGACTGTCATGATACAGGGCAAATACGTCTGAATCACAAAATAGCCAATTTTCCTCTTCAGGTGGAAGTGTGCTGTCATCACTGTGTATTCCCCTGCAGATGACAAGAAACAAGCAGCACATTTATTAAGACATGCTTGGCTTAATAAACATGTTTTCTTCTTTTAAGGAGTCAAAAATAGAGATAAACAGAGACTCACAATAGCAAATGCTAGTGTTAAGATTATTATGAGAGGAAACATCACATTTTGACGATTATTCACCATTATTAAGACCATGACCAAACAAAAATGAAATTCTCAGCTTTCTTTTACAGCCATTGTCTCATACACATAACCCTTCCTCTTGCATGTGACCAACCTTCTGATGATAATATTAAGTCAGCATGACATACGCAGTCTCATAATAAAGAATTACACTTGTTTTTTTAGTTTTTTAGAGAGTAAATGAAACTGAAAGGACTTCATCTTGCCACAGTTATAATTCTTTGATTAATCAAATAATCTTGACGTCCCTCGCGCTGACCTCCCTTGGCTAAATATAGTACTGTACAAGGTCCTGACCGGTGCTGGACTTGATGGTCTCTTTGCCCACTGTCTGCCCCACCAGGTCATACTGGTTCAGCCTGGATCCGTCCGCGGCCACCTCCACGGACTCGGTGGCATTTCGGGACCAGATGTACGTCACTTCTGTTTTGGTGTAGGCATCTGAAGAAGAGAAACATGCACAGACTTCAACTCTGATCGGTTCTACCATGGCTCATTCCTAAGCAACTAAATAATCAGCATCTAAAAGGCTGTTTAACCTTGTTTTGGGTGATAAAAACAAGAATGTGTTTAAAAAGAAGAAAATGAAGCGAAGTCATGCAGAAGAAACAAGGATATGTCAAATTACAGCTTCCAAATTTCAGAGGGCAGGAGTGGGAGTCCATTGGGAAGTCCTCCAGGTGCATGGGACACTCGGCTTGAACGGTCAGCCTGGATACAAAGCAAAAACACAAAAATGAATCTATACATCTTAAAATAATTGATACTTTGCAGCTACATCACGCTGGGGGGTCGTACGTGTGTATTTATGATGGAATGTTCAGCAGTTACCGTGGTGACAAAGCACACATTAGCAAATACGGACGAAAAAGCTTGTGATCAATACAAGCTTTCACGGTGCTGTTTAGGTGTTTCATTTTCAACAAAACCAGCAGATTGCATTAAAACAAAGCTCAAACTAAAGTCTAACTTGAGTGACAGCACTTTAGACAGAGAAGTGCTCACAGTTAGCGTCATACTCTTAGGAGAATGTTGACGGCATCAGCATTAACAGAGCTATGTTGACAAAACTGCATAACTTCTATATAGTGCGTACTCTAAATAAACTATTTCAAAGTCAAATATTACAACCAATTAGGGCTGTGCAATTAAAGGTGTAATGTGTAACTTTTCTGTCCAGTTGCTAGCTCCTTGTAAGTGCTTTCCCTTAATGTTTCACAGGATGTTATTAAATGTATCTATAGTATTTATTTAATTGAATGTGTTTTATTGCTCAAAAAAAGTGGGCTCTCCTTTTCACAGATCTGACCTTTAACTTCTCGCCTTCTCGTCTCCATGGAGATAGATACAGTCAGTTCGATGTCATACTGTGAAACATTTCAGGCAAAGCAATAACATCTCACTTTAAAGGAGGAAATCATTGGAATGCTACACAGAGCACCTTTAATCCAATTTAAACAAAATGGAGATACAGTCATTTCTAAAAGCATGTGGTTTGGAGTTCAGGCTTCGAAGATAGAAATGTGACTATTTTGTGTTGAATTCATAGAGTGTAAATATAAATGGACATAGCTGCCGTGTTCAAAATAGGTAGTGAACGTGGGGGTGCTCCATCAAGTCTGGCTCCAACTGACTTTACATTGAAAAATTGTCACTCCTCTCTCTGTAACTCCTGCACTGAGCCTCATCATTTTGGTCTTAAAATGTTCGTATTAACCTGCTCTACTTGATCGTGGTGTTTTTATTTTGCCTGTTTCTAGTCCTATTTGCTACTTCTATTTCTATTCCTATTCGTAATATTGAACTCGGCTCAAAATTCGCTTCCATTCGCTGGCCTTGTGAGCTTCATTTGATTCATTTGATTAGTCCACTTCTTGATACACTCTATGGTTAAACGGCAGTAATTAAGTATGAATTGTTGATGAGCAGTAAATTAATACTGAAGGCCAACTGTATTTTTAAATCACTCAGCCCTGTACCTCATGGTGTAGAGCAGAGTCCCGTCCTCCATGATGCGCAGCAGCTTGTTGGGCATGGTCATGTTGTGGGCCACAGACTTCTTGCCGTTGTGGAAGAAGGTGTCTGGGGTCCAGATCTTGCTGGCCATCAGGTTGTTCAGAGGGAGGATGTTCATTGGTCCGTGGAACTTGAGTCGCTCGTCTTTCCAACTCTGGCGAAAGAATACGTCCACTGTGTACTCCTGTGGAATCAGATTTAAATAATGTTATTTAAACACACAAACAAAAGAGGCAGGAAAAAAGAACATAGAAGCCTATTAGGGGTGTGCAAAAATACAAATATATCGATATATCGTATCGTTTAATGTGATGATACAGTATCGATATCATGGGCTGCTGTATTGATACATTGCCAAGAGTATTTTTTGGTATATTTTACTAAATTATTTGTTACATCGCTACAGTTTTGTTGCTTGTTTAGAGAAAGGAAACTTGTTTATGCAACATATTTGAGATTTTCACTGTTTTTTTGATGATTAAAATGTGAGTTTCATATTACGTTTGCACAAGAATTGGTTTAACAAAGACTTTTAGTATCACAGCCATAATTTAGCTTTTATTTTTTATTAAACCGTATCGAGTCGATTTGAAATATATCGTATCGAATTGAAATTGCACTGTATCGAGATATGTATCATATCGTGGCTTATGTATCGAGGTATGTATCGTATCAGCAACTCCTTAATGAGACCAAGCCCTAAAACCTAGATTAATTTTTAATCACAAAATAGTTTTTTACTAGAGTAATATTATTAGAAATAATACTCTTAGGTTTCTCGCCCCTGTATTTTCAGATTTTTTTTTTTTAAAACACCAAAATTTTATTTTTGTGGCATTTTATTCTTTTAATATTCAAGCTCTCTCAAAAATCAGACTTTATTTCTAACATTTATCCCATTTTGAGAATATAACATCACTTCAGTGGTAATTTATTTGAGACTCAAATTTTAACAACAGTGTACAGTCTCAACAACAGTATACAGTCTCAACAGTCTCAACAATACATTTACTTATAGCTGGTAACTTTCAGAATCAGGTGTAGCTGCCCTCTTATTGTCGACATGAATATTGCCTGTAATGTTCCATGAAGACAAACAGGTAAAGCCATGAGGGCAGGTCAGCTTTGTGGAGAAACAAGCCTGCACAATGTTTATCTTTTTTCAATTAATTAAGTGCAAATGTAACACATAAACACACACGTTTGATGCTATAGTGTGGAACAATCCAAGCAGGGCAGTAATATCTCAAAAGAAACAAGCAATTTGCAGACCCGCGGAAAAGTGACAGTGTGTCTTAAAGCATATTTTCGGAAACACAACCATTCCCTAAAGAAGTTATGTTTTATAGCAATAAAGGCCAGCCAAAAGAACCAGCCAAAGCTAAACCATCAGATGACTCATTGAACACTAGAGGGCAGTCTGTGTGTGGATCCCCCGACACCAGGATCGCCCATAAGGAAAGACGACACATCCACCTCTCCAACAAACACACACACAATATTAAGATTTTAATTATATCATTTCTCTGTGTTTCTCTGAAAGCTTGAATAATGCGTAGATTTATACCCCATGTGCTCAGGGTTCACAGCCAGTCTTGGGGCCGTCAGAACATTGGCGTGGTTAAAATCCAACTGTTACCCCAGGCAAGTGTCAGCTCTCATCTCCATCAGCTCAAAAGCACACCACCTCCAACCGCCTGGACGCAGCCCAGCGCATTACACATTACCACAGTGTATACAGAGCCTTGGAGAGAAAAGCCTTTGTTTGTGAGAAGACAAACCATTGTGGAATTGTTACAATATAATAATTATCCTTTGTTGATTAGGCAACTGTGACAATGATAAATGCCCACTTTTCATTCTGTGGTATAATGCACTTACATGTCTTTATATAAAATAGGAGGGCTTGTTTCTGTGAATATGTTCCACAATATGACATTAAACAGCTCTACCTTACATTTATTCAATTACGGGCGGTTTTATAGCTCAAAAATACTTCGAAAAACAGGCATTCTGACTGTGAGCGGGGGTGCCTCTCCACAGATCTGACCGGTAACTTTGTCTAGTTAATTCTTCATGAGGATAGAAAAGTTTAATATCATACTGTGCAACATTTGACGGACCCTCCATCAGAAAAGTTACACAGTGCACTTTCAACCAGGAAGAAAATCCCATTGAGATAAAAAAAAAAAAAAAGCTTCTTTTTCAAGGGAACCCTGGCCAAGAGGAAGCAATTACATAGTTACAACATTCTTATACACAACAATAAAATTACATGGATCACAGATAAGTAGAAACAAGTGCACATTACTGAGGCCGTCTCTGATGCTTTAAACTACTGTACTATTTTCAGATCTGTTATAATGTTGTTTCCTCATCACAAACATAACTGGAGCTGTGTTTTGTTTCATATTTTAACACACAGACTCTCCATCTCTCAAACGGAAAACAGTCTTTTCATGTGGCAATACAAGAAGTGCTCCACTGTGTAATCATTTGGATGATTTCAGCCCATCTCTACTGAACAAAAGGTAAAAGGAGCTGCTAACTTGAAAACGATAGGGGTAACGATATCCAAGTCTCACGAGACAATATCGTCATGGTATGAACCTCAAGTTACGATACTTATTGCGATATCGTGGGAAAGCTCACGATATGGTGGGAGGCTCACGATTAAAGATGTAATGATATCCAAATCTCTCAGTTTTCATGATATACATCTCACGATACGATATTTATTGCAATATTTTGTGGAGTTTAACAAAACTTTTAATATGCTACTTTTTCCTCTTAAAATGCCTTGACAAGATTTAACCCAAAGAAATAAGACTTAAAAGTGCTTAGAACTGTTTTTCTTCTTGTAGTCTGCATTGAAATAGAGCAAAGAATCAGGGTCTACGTAGTTCCCTCTATCTTTTTTGAGCTGTAAAAGAGAATTTTGAGCTTTGGAGATGTAGACAAACTAATAATAAAATGTTCCTCAAACATGTGTGAATGAAATAAAATACAACTCCAGGCGTATTTTGAGGAGACAAATTTGTGTAATATATGACCATAACAGCAAAACATTTAAAAACAAGAGCTCCAAGCAAGTAGAGCTGCGTGGAGAAAAGCTTTCTTAAGCAAGTCTGTGCAGACAAAACGGTAGGAAACAGAAGGCAGCTGATCATTAGAATGCAAGGAGTAAGAGTCAACTCTTGTCTGCGCAATTAAAGTACAAATATAGGCAGTAGTCTAAGTATAGCCGAGTAAATAAAAGTACTGTATATCAATGCCCCTGCCCCCTATTGGTACAAATCACAGTGATGTGTCATATCAATTATAGGTGTTTTCATAGCCCCACCAAAACCTGTAACTTGTTCTGTTTGCGTCATGATGTCTCCATGGAGATAGATTAATGCCATAATGCAATATAATATAAGTAAGTATTAGTATAAGTAGTGTATCCCTCACCAGAAAAGTTATGTAGTGCATCTTTAAAGTGCTTGTTATCAGATTACATTCTCCTCTAGGTTATAATGTTATTTCCTCATCACACACATTCACATTCACACGAACCCTGCACATTTAGGCTGAGTTCTTCTCTCAGACAGAAAGCACTCTGTTCCACCTTGTGATGTCACATGGCATCCAATACAGGAAGAGCACCACTGTGTTTGAAACTCACTAGAAACATTTGGGTACTTTCAGCCCTGTAATTGCCAATCTCTAATGTACAAAAGGTTTATAAAAGGTAGCTGTTAAGTTGAAAACAGCTCCTTCATGACATCACAAGGTGGAAACTTGATCTTTGGAGGTGTACAGACAGACTAATAATAATGGGTTACTCAGTGAATGAAACAAAACACAACTCCGGGTATGTTTTTGAGGAGGTAACTCTGCTGTTCAGACCTCTGCAAACATGGGATTCTTGTCTTAATTGAACAAATGCTCCTGGTTTAAATGTGCTTTGTCAACTGAACCAAGATTTTAAAAATAAAAATGAAACCAAATCTTATCTCAGTAATTACAGAAAAAACACAAGCTGTAGCATTTTTTTTCAATTTGTGCATTCAATGGCATGTACGCTCCGACCATTGTATGACATATTTTTTATTCATATAGAAAAACAGGATTGAGATGTTCTAACTGCTGGTCTAAAGGAAGTGAGTTAAGTAACATTAAGAGGTTTTCTGAGCATTGGAATGGTACAGGGCAGTGCTATGGCTATTAACACAAAGGCCACATAGGAGTGAGTGACATTATCTGATGCAACTTTGATGGAATCGGTAAAAAATACATAAGAAAGGCAGCCCTTTCTCCCTTTTATAGAAGTGTTGTTTCAGTCTCATCCACTTACTGTGCACTCTGCCCTACCTCTGCTGCTGAGCCACTTCAATATTTGAGCAGACCCCACAAAGGAAGCAACAGTGCGCGCAGAGCAACTGTCCACAGCCTTTGCATAAAATCACCAGAACAGGGCACAAAGCATTTAGATAGAGTCCAAGAAAAATACATATTCTCCAAGGTAGTCTAGTCGTGCTTCTACTATGAAATATGCCGATGTGAGCTGAGGTCTGTGGGCACTCACCATGTCTGTGTCGGACACTGGGCCAAAACTGGTCACATAGATGTCAGTCTTCACCTCAGTCACTCGATCTATTATGTAAAAGGACTCTGTTAGACAGCACACACAGTACCACTGCACACACAGTCAGATAGTGTTTAGTCATTAACAATACATACAAAACTTGCATCGTTTTTTTTTTTTTTTTTTTTTTATATATTGCAAAGGTCTGTAGTTGTAAAGGCATACTAAGGCATACTAAGTACTAACACGAGAGAGTGAATGTGTGCAGTGAATAATACCTCCTAGCCCGGGTCTCAGGCGGTTGTCATATCCATCCAGGAGACTGTCCAGGATCTTGGTGAAAGTGGTGATGTCTTTGGAAGACCGTGTTGAGTTGAACTTTGCTTCACAACTAGAACAAATTAAAAATGAGACCACAGTTAATCATTTTTTTCGTTTTAACAGTAAAATATGATCAATAAGCACACATTACACGTGGCAGAAAATACCTCTCGGTAGCCGGTAATATGTCAACATGTGTCATGGATGGTAAAGTTCGTGACACATATGGTCAATCTCCGCACTTACCGGCTGTGGCACAGCACAAGCAGAGACAGTAGGAGCGGGAGGCAGGCGGACCTCCGCGGGTCTCTCCCGTGGAGCGGCGGGAGCAGCTCGGTCATGATCAAAGCGCGCACCCACAGATCCTGATGTCTTCTTTTTATCGCATCCACGCACGCTCTCTGTCACCTGCTAGAACCATGTGTTTACACGAGCCGGCACGAGGAATCCATCAAATTCACTGTTTTCTTCTTCGAGAAGCTTCAAGTTGTGCGCGACCAAAAGCGCTCACCGCTCACTCACCCGTGGCACACGACAAGCTGCTGACTGCCGCTTTCGGTTGGATGCACGGTGGACTGACGCGCCCCTCACGAGCACAGGCCTACTACATGGTAAATCACTATAAGCTGTGATAGAACAATGCTCTAACGTAAAACCACAATATATTTAGCTCCTGTTCTACATTGATTAAGGAGAAAAAATAACTATATTCTAGGCCTAATTCAACTTAACCACTGTAGAACTTAAACTCGTTACACTGCCCTCTGCTGTCAATGAGCTCTATTAACAGCAGGTGGGAAAAGACCTCCTACAATAGCCCACTGTTGACTAAATTATTGATATTTTATATAGGCCTCCTGTCTGTTCTGGGGTCACAGCTCACTGCCACTTCTCACAGTGAATCACGTAATGTAAAGGAACTTTTATATTTTAATAGCCCATGCTCCTGTTGTTTTGTATTTGAGTTGAATTGAATTTAATTGAAAATCTATTTTGGCCTGATCTTGTGAGTTTGGGTTTGGCATAGTATTGATAAAATTGCAAAATGATGCAAAAATGCTTAATTAATATTTGTATTTCCCTGTAAGTTTATGCACAAAAATGTACTCACTGGCAAAGACAACAAGTGTTAAAACTGTGTAGAGTGAAGTGGATATATGATGAGTGCCTTCAGAGCATGATGGAGGGCACAAAATTGTACGCTTTATGAATAATGCAGTGGGCGTGCAAACAGATGGGGGAGGTATGTTTGAAACGGGACTGCTTATAAAAGGGTATACTCTAGACTGACATATACAATTAAAAAAAAAAACATTTAAATGCAATAAGCCTATAGAGTTTTTAATGTGTAAATGTCCTATGAGGCTAAATAGTTGTTCTTTTTCCCCTCTCCTATGGAAGAGCAGAAACACGTGCGCCCTGTGATGTGCGTCGAGAGGAGCACGTACAGCTGCTCTGCACATACAGATCACGTATCCTGACTGTGTTTAGGCTCAAGTGAGTCTGGGAGGCAGCGATAGGCAGAGCTCTTCTTTACTGCAGTCAGCACCCCCTGGACTCGTCACATCCGCGGAGCCTTTTATTAACGTAACCAACGCTCCGTGAGCCCGCTGCACTTCAGGCTCTGGCGTCCTGTGTCCGGGACCACTGGAGCAGAACACGGATGAACTAAGGCGCCTTACGGACTTCATAATTGCACGCGTTTGATCTTTTTTTTTTTTTAAGAGCTCTACTGCCTTTCTGAGCGCGCCCGTTCGGCTAAATGCGTGTGGATGTGGGGGGAAGGACGATGCGTGTTTTGGGGCTCTAAGTGCTCAGCCTGAGTCTCGTACGGGATCCTTCTTCGGGCTCAGGTGCAGCGGAGTGGACATGACGGCCGGTGTGACGCGCGGGCTATGCGGGCTTTTCTGCCTGTCCCTGCTGCTTCCCATAGCGTGGGCTTCACAGAGGTGAGAGAGCATGCATGTTTAATGTCAGTCATTTTTAAGCACAACTTCACTGTTCCATCTTCATTCTAGCGCCAGCGAGCCCAGTAACATGTCGTATGTAAAAGCCACGGTGGATAAGCTGTTGAAGGGCTATGACATCCGCCTCAGGCCTGATTTTGGAGGTACGGCTCGGAGTCTGCAGTGTTCCGCTCCTCCTGACGCACTGGCATAACGCTGCTCTTCTTGCAGGTGCACCTGTGGACGTTGGCATGAGCATAGACATCGCCAGCATTGACATGGTCTCTGAAGTGAACATGGTCAGTACTTTTCATGGGTACATATGTGTGTGTGCTGAGGGCTAGTCTCTGGAGGGAGCGAGCAGAGGAGCAGGTTGCAGTAATTACATAAGGCCTGGAGTTTGTGGAGCACTGATGCAGAGGAGCACAGCCAGAGCAGGTGAAGATGGTTCATTTGAATTTTAAGGAGGACACAGGGTCCGATGCAGTAAAGATCTGCACTTGGTAGAGTGTTACGCTTATTCAAGAATTGATATTAAATAATGTATTAATTCTGCAGATAGACATGCATTAAACATAACCTATGCAGAGGGTGGGGCCGAGACCAAAAGTGCCAGCAAACATGCCCTCTGTGCTCTTCATATTTCAAACATTCACTGTAACATTGACATAGACTTATTTCAACACCAGATTTACACAAGAATTACAATTTTAAAGATAATTCTATTTGAACAAAGAGTGCTAAATAGGGAGTACACCTAGGAAACTTAACAGAGAGCACTGAGAGAGCCCAGAGACTGTACACTACACCAATAATGAGTAGAGGAGAGAGCAACTGCAGTCACATAGATAGACATCAAATAAACACGGAGTACCCCACTGCATTTACATTTACATTTACATTTACATTTACATACATTCACACAGCATCCATATAATGAATTCCACTGCACACAGCTTTAGAACAGGGAGTACCCCAGGGAGTACCTCACTGAATTGTACTGTATCCATAGAGACAGCAGGGACCTCAATGTACCCACATACAGCCGAGAGGAGAAAGTGAGTTTGTATTATTTTGTATTATGTTATAGTGTAAAATGCAGGATAAAAACAGGGTAAAATAGCGTTACTGGACCGTTTGTTGCACATATTTGTATCACCAAATACAAAAAAGAGAAATCATGTACACATCATAACAGCCATGTTGTTGTACTACGGTACAGAGCTGAGAGATAGGGAGTACTCCACATCACCCACATGTAACGATCCAACCAGAGACCAGAGAGTACCCCACTGTATCTATATACAGTAGAGCGCAGGAGGAAGTAGGTCATGCAGCACCACACTGCAGTAGTGATGACAGGGCATGAATTTCTATATTCTTGTTTACTGCAGTGCACAGAAACACAAGTAAAGAGAGAAAAGAAAATACTAAGAGCTTCCTGAGGGCAACCAGGGACAAAGCGAGCTAAATGTGCTGCAGTGACCCACACCAGCCTTCAGAGGTCAAGATGTTTCATGCTGTGTTAGAATGGCCCACTTTAGCAGGTGGAAAGTAGACGGGCTGTAATGTTCACAGGCTTTTGCTGTTCACACGTTGTTTTGACACGAGTTTAGCTGATCAAAGAGGAAGCACGCTTTTGTAAACAGCCTCTTTTAATGATGAAATGGAGTGGTTGTTGTTTTTGTCTCTTTTCTTTTACAGTTCAAATAGAAGCACGCGTTAGTTTGTATGACGCTCAGAGTGAGTGAACGAGGTGATAGGTTAAGAGTAGGTTAAGGATAAGAGTCATGCTGAAGGATTTGATAAAATATCTAATTCAGAGTGTTAAGTGTGATAAGATTTGATTAGGCTTCATGTTCTTAGTCTAGTTTCAGGTCAGTATGCACATTTTAAACACATCTACAGAGAGTTGAAATGTTAAAAATGCACTATATGTAATGTGTATGTTTTGTGGTGTTGGGGTTCTTGGGTTTTTTTTTTTTTTCTTTGGGTATAACATTCCACATTATGGCATTACATTTATCTTCATCAAATTGCAGGTGTTTTAAGTGCTAAAAATAAGTGTATGCACACTTACTGTGAGAGAGGTCACCTGCATATTTCCATGGCGATAGATATATTTATTGCCATACTGTGGAACATGGCTACAGTACACTTGAAAGCGTACACAGTGCACTTTAAACTGATAAACTAATACAAGAGTGACAGCCATTTTAGAACATGTTTGCAGCGATCTAATGTTAGCATATTTTTTACATTATACGTTTCCATGGAGGCTTTTGTACAGTTTGCACAATAATATACTTCCTAAAATAGCAAATAGCAGCCTTTTCCCTTTTCTATTTTTGCTCAATTGATATCCTGTAGCTTTTGCAGCAGAGAAAAACTGTGCTGGGTCTTGTGTCCACAGGATTACACCATCACCATGTACTTCCAACAGTCTTGGAGGGACAAGCGCCTCTCCTACACGGGCATCCCCCTCAACCTGACCCTGGACAACCGCGTGGCCGACCAGCTGTGGGTCCCAGACACTTACTTCATCAATGACAAGAAGTCTTTTGTGCACGGTGTGACAGTCAAGAACCGCATGATCCGACTGCACCCTGACGGCACCGTCCTGTATGGGTTAAGGTAACTCTACTTGTAGAATCATCATCGATACTAACAATATAGTATCATACCAGTGAGACAATTTGGAGACAAGGCCTGGAGGAGATCGTCTTACAGTGCGGAAATCTCACATCCTCTCACCTCCTCTTGTATAGCTCAGTTTTCTGCCTTTGTAGGATCACTACCACTGCAGCCTGCATGATGGACCTGCGCAGATACCCACTGGACGAGCAGAACTGCACTTTGGAAATAGAAAGCTGTAAGTACTCCATGATCTATGTGCTATTTTTCATATTTCAAATGGAAACATAAAAGGGAAATTTCAAAATGTAAATGTTATAAAGCATTCAAGAAGTGCAGTGCATTTAATACATGTGTTGCTACTAATATTGTAATAATATCAATAATTATCACCTGATCATTTCACTTTGAACTTAAGTGGTATCATTTGCAAACTGGATATGGGTCATATTTGTCCTAATTTGATTGAAGTCACAAAAGTTAGATTATCAAAATACAATATTGATACTTTTAAAAGTGTTAATGCTGAAAAAAGGGCCATGTCAGCTGTAGAGTTTTTTAGGGGGGCGCTATAGGCAGATTTGTGATGTTGCCCGCCTGCCTTCGCCCACGGTATAGTCTATAATCAAGTCATTTTGCCAAGACCTTTGTAGGCATTACTCTTTTAATTAAGGCTCCTGAATAGAATTTAACATTGAATTAAATCTACAGATGGAGCCCAGTAATTCATCAGTTCTTTTGCTTGTAGTTGAATTCTTTGCGTAAAAGAATAAAGATTGGATTAGTACACCTTGTTGAGTCTTTGGTTTCACTGTTAATAATCAGACACATTCAGGGACATGTTATTGTGAGATCACGGTTGGCCTTTAGCCCACACTGCCTATATGTACCACAGGTCAGGTCTGAAATAGGACTACGTGCTCCAAATGCCTCTTTGTTAAAACCTTATTGACTGAGAATCCTCATCTGTGCTTTCAGATGGCTACACCACAGACGACATCGAGTTCTACTGGCAGGGAGGAGCCAACTCCGGCTCTGTGACCGGAGTGGAGAACATTGAACTGCCACAATTCTCCATCATAGACTACCAGACCCTCTCCACCAAAGCAGTGTTTGCTACAGGTCAGACAACAGCAATTCAGGGCAGAAAGGGGAGACCTAACCAGACAGACAGGAGGGTGCAAAGAATAGTTTAGAATGCTTTTTAAGACATCCTAGTGACAGAAGGGAAGAGATGAAGAGGCTGAGGGGGCTGATGGTTCTGCTGTTGCAATGGAAGAGGGTAGAGAGAGTGTATATTTACTATTTATCAAAGGCAAAGGTAGCAGGCTTGATTTGGATGAGGTAAGAAATGCAGCCCCTCTAACTGAATTTGATCACAACTGCTGGTCTGGTACAAATCATCTCTGTTTGTATGTCTAAAGATCTGTGTTTATGTCTCTCACAGGTTCGTACCCCAGGCTGTCCCTGAGTTTTAAACTGAAGAGGAACATTGGTTACTTCATTCTGCAGACCTACATGCCCTCCACCCTGATCACCATCCTGTCCTGGGTCTCCTTCTGGATCAATTATGATGCTTCTGCTGCCAGAGTTGCATTAGGTTAATTATTTGGCTTTTTAAATTTGTCTTTGAGGCAAGTAGTAGGAAGTTTAGTACAGCAGAAATAGGAGCAAGTTCAACATTGTTATCTAGCATGAATTTTGAATATGTATTAAATTGGAATATCACAATGGCCAAAATAGGTCTAAAACAGGACAAAGCAGGTATAAAATAGGACTAAACAGGGGTTTTAAAGGTGCATTGTGTAATATTTTTGGTGGAGGGTTCGTCAAATGCTTCATTGCTTTGCCTGGAATGTTCCACAGTATGACATTAAAGAGCTCTACCCTACATTTTTTAAATTACAGGTGGTTTTATATCTCAAAAATACCTAGAAAAACAGGCATTCTTACTGTGAGCGGGGTCGCCTCTCCACAGATCTGACCTGTAACTTGGTCTAGTACCCATGAAGATAGAAAGATTTAATACCATACTATGAAATGCACCAGACAAAGGAAGCATTTGAAGGACCCTACACCAGAAAAGTTACACAATGCACCTTTAAAAAATGCACATTTAAAAAAAAAAAAAAGCCTAAAGTATGACAAATCAACCAGCTATAAAGTATTTCTTAACCACCACTATTAAATCTAAACCTAAATCAGGAATAGCTCAGAGAAGTTTGAATAACATTTATGGACCTAATGGCTGCTTTCTCTCACAGGAATCACCACGGTGCTGACCATGACCACCATCAACACCCACCTCAGGGAGACGCTCCCCAAGATCCCCTACGTCAAGGCCATAGACATCTTCCTCATGGGCTGCTTCGTCTTTGTTTTCCTGGCTCTGCTGGAGTACGCCTTTGTCAACTACATCTTCTTCGGCCGAGGTCCTCACCTGCAGAAGAAAGTGGCGGAGAAGGCCGCGAAGTCCAACAATGAGAGGAGGGGCATGGAGAGCAACAAGGTGCAGGTGAGATAGACTAATCATGTCACGTAGGCTCATTCATTTTAGACACAACCTAGACAGCCTAGATCATAATTTTATAACATTTTGAGTGCATGAATCATCATCTTTGGGGTTACTCAAGTCATCTGCTGCTTCTAAAAGTTCACTCTTTGCTGTGATTGGGTAAACCCTTTTGTCAGTGTAACAGAAGCTGGCCAGTAGGAGGTGTAGTTGAGTAAAACAGTCTGAGCATAGAGAATTAAACGGAGAACCAATGAACAATATAATAATGTTACCAAAATAGAATACAGTTGTTCGTTTGTTAATAGAAGCATTGACTTATATTGGTTTGTGTAAAAAATATCTGAACTGTATATGGTTCTTCAATACACACCGGAGTCCAAAGATTAAGTCTACGATCTTGGTCAAACTATTGTACATGTCTTTGGTTGAAAATTGGCCTCCAAAAAACAAAGACACGGGAAGAACATGTGCACGTACATATCAACTTTATAGATATCTGAGTTGGATCACCATTCTGTGCCCAGGTGGACGCTCACGGCAACATCCTGCTGACGAGCCTGACCGGCGAGATGGGCGGCGCTGACATCATGGGCGCCCTCACGGACCCCCGAGCCACCATGTTCTCCTACGACAGCGCCAGCATCCAATACCGCAAGCCCATGACCAGCCGGGACCTGTACGGACGGCCAGCCATCGAACGCCCCCTCAGCCACAAGAAGGGCAGACTGAGGAGGAGGGCATCCCAGCTCAAAGTCAAGATACCCGACCTCACCGACGTCAACGCCATAGACAAGTGGTCCCGCGTGGTCTTCCCCATCACGTTCACCCTCTTCAACCTGGTCTACTGGCTCTACTATGTGCACTAAGCAACCAGCAATGCAGTAATAAGTTATAAGGGACTTGTTTTGAACATATAGAATGAAAAGTCACAAATCATGTAAATATGATGTAAATGTAAATTATATAAATATATATAGAGAGAATACTTTATAAAATGCTTTTTTAGTTACTGGGATAGGCTCCAGTACACGCCGCCCACAGAATAAGCAGATAAGGTGAATGAATGTACATGCTTTTTTGCTGTTTGTTAGCTCATTTAAAATACAACTGCACAGGATACACGCAGTTACTATATGCAGTCATACATTCTTTCTCTTCTAGATGGTATTTTTCATATTTTAATGTTGCATGTGTAACTTTTTCCTTATTCTAATAGTTAAGAAAATGAATAGAACCAAGAAGAGTTTGCAAATGGGTAAATAAAAGTTGTTGAAAAATGTCTGTACAGTTGTGTTATCACGATGTTAATATGTCAAACTCGATTTCGATACTAAGGAATGGACTCAAAATGCTCAATACTGATTTCGATACCGCTATAATAAAAAAAAAACTAAAAAAAACACTCTTTATTTAGACAATAGGATGTCATTTTCAACATTAAAAACTCCATATTACGCTATTTTCTGATCTCTTATGTTGTTACCTATTATGCTTTTTGTTTCATTCAGTTCAATATTTATGCATATTCAGGCTGAGTTCTCTCAAACAGAAAACACACTATTCCACCTAGTGATGTCACATGTACTTCACTGTTTTTAAACTCCATACACCATCACCAGAATCATTTGGATAATCTCACTCTTGGTATTTCCAATCTCTACTCAATAAAAGTAAAAAAATATAAAACGGAACTTGAAAGCTGCTTCATGACATCACAAGGTGGAACAAGCTATTCAGTAGTTTCTGTACTGTGAATGCGTATCAATACTTGTTCAAATGAGTATCTAGTTTTGATACCAGTTTTAATATCAATTATTATATTTTTGACCATCCTAGTGTAGTAAATGTAGTAAATGACAAGTTATGGTTTACAAGATATTTAAGATTTTATTTACAGTTACAAACAAATTATTTGCTGCTAAAAAAAACAAAAATGCACCAGTGGAACATTGAATTAAACATGGTATTACATCTTTTGAAATAACTCTGGCCTCTTCAGTTATGACGTTCTCATTTTAACTGTAGAACCACCTGGAAATGACAAGTACAAGAATAAATCAAACACTGACTATCAAAAACAGAATCTTGAAAAGGTAATGTTGAGAGTTAAAGACCACATATTACTAGGGATGTAACAATAAGCGAAATACTGCGATGTCGTATCGTCAAAGTTCTCACAGTAATATCATGGACCATCACATAAATTAAAAGTTATGGTGCAGCAATAACTAAAAAAAACTACATAGACCATGATCCTTTGCTCTGTTTCAGTGCAGACTACAAGAAGAAATAACAGTTCTAAACACTTTTAAGTCTTAGTTCTTTGGATGAAATCTTATCCAGGCATTTTAAGAAGAAAAAGTAGCATATTTAACAGTTTTGTTTGCCTCCATAAAATATCGCAATAAATATCGTACCGTGAGATGTATATCATGAAAATATCGTGAAAAACGAGAGATTTGGATATCATCCCTAAACGTGAGCCTCCCACCATATCGTGAGCTTTCCCACAATATCAAAATAAATATCATACTGTGAGGTTCATACCGTGACGATATCGTATTGTGAGACTTGGATATTGTTACACCCCTAGATATTACCTTTTATATTCATTAATTTCCTTTCATTAATGAACTAACCTGGGTTTAACTTTCTGGACTGCAGTTGCAAGAGTAATCTGTACTGCTTGCTGTGACGTAATATGATGTCAGGACACCAGAGACAATAAATAATTTTGAGAAAACATCAACTTGAGATTATTTTCGGGATCATGATTAGTCTGTGATTTATTAATATTACCATGAGAGAAGCCTGATATACTAACTAAACATCAAATATACACATTTCTTCAGCATATTTGTAACGATCTAAACTATATGGTCAGCAAGTTTTATACACACAAAAAATTGTATGTGACATTGTGTTGTGTGTATAATTGCCGCCTTTGCCATTTGTGATTTCATTCAAATTGCAATTTCAGCTTGATTAATTCATCTTTCAGCCTTATTCTCCACCATTTTGACAGATAGCAGAAACACTGGCTGCATGAAGCTTGACTGCTGTGTTCTGTACCTTATTAGCTGCCTCTAATGAAGTGATGAGAGTGTTAAGTTCCTCTCGGGTCATCTCCATGGTAACTGGACGCAGGACTCCCTTTTCCCTCACATCCAGACTCAGACTGAGCAGCGGAGTCTGTAGAGATGAGATCTTGTCACTGGACAGAGCAAGCTATGAAAACAAGAAAAGCATGTTATTGAGAAAGCAATATCCCACCAAGAAAAAATGACCAGGTTTTCAGATTAGAATGTTGAATTTTCTTGTTTAAAAGGAGACATTATGCTTTGTGGGGGGACATTTTTAAACTAATATACAGTATGCAGATCAATATTGTACATGTTGATGCAGTATTGATCTAAAATGGCATAGGTATAGAAACATTCACTGGATTTCTCTGTTTCAACTTGCAGATCTGAGAAGCTTTTCATGGTGGAATTTCACCATAGCAACCAGCAGACTTTGTTTTTATTGTTGAAAAATGGCCACTTGACATTTTGTCGCTCTACATGTATGACTCAGAATCTGATGTTTTTGGAATAATTTGAACTTTCAGTAAGTAAGTAGATACAGAGCACTAAAGCCCTGTATGCAAGATTACTCAAAAAGTGTAGTGTCATAATATGGTTGATAAAACTACGTAGATTTTACATAATATGCCCCCTTTAAAACACAGAGATTACCTTGAGTTGCCAGTCAAAGTCAGTGAGGACAGCAGAGGAGATGGAGGTGGTTTTGTCCAGTAATGCATGGGTGAGCTCTTGGCGTCTGGCTTTTAAAACACTCAACAATATATCCTTATGTTTGGTCTCTGACAGGGCAGCCAGCACCTAACAACCAAACCAATAGGCGTTACTGTAAGAAGAAGGACTGTTTTTATGCATAAGAAATGTTTTTTAAGAGCCTCACTTCCTCATCAGAGCTGTGACCCCCAGCTGCTAAACAAAACAGTCTGGAGAGGAACTTGTTCAGGTCCAACCACTCATCCAAACTGCAGATGGCGCTGTAATCCTCTCTTTGCGGCTGCTTTCGTCCACATACTCCATCCACCACTGCATGGCACAACTGAAAAACACAACACTGATTTTAACAGCAGGGTTTAAAAGAATGACATACACCCACTGAAGAGGATTGTCCTAAGTCAGAATGCTATTGATTAAAGCTGCACTATGTAACTTTTCTGGTGGAAGGTCCGTCACCTGCTCGTTTCCATGGAGGTGTTACCAACAGTATGGCATTACTCTTATCCATCTCTGTAAAGAAAAGCTGGGGCTGGGGGTACATACAGGTCAGATCTGTGAAGAGGCGACCACTCTCCCGCAAATAATGTTTCATGTAATAAATAAATGCAAGATAAATAAGTTTAATGTGATACAGTAGAACATTACAGATACACCATTTACACTTCCATGGACGGGAGCAAACCTGTGGCAGACCCCTACTAGAAATATACAGCAAATGCATGACAGGCTGCATGAGTATTTTTGCTAGAATACATAAAAAAATAAATAAATAAATAAAAATAAAACAGTTTGACATCTTATGCCCACTGGGGTCTTGGCTGGGTACTTACTTTACGACATTCCGTGTCTGAGAGTTTATTCAGTAAAAGAGCCGTCATATTTGCACCATTTCCACAACACAAAGCTTGAACAGAAAAGCACGAGTTTCCGCTTTTTCCCGTGAGTCAGCTGACAGAGGTCACGTGAGAGCTCAAGCTGCGTTCAAAGACAGTATGTGGATTTCAAAAACTAAGATTTTAGGTGTTTTTTAACGTATTAAATTTGTTTACAATATTTTTCACAATATTTTTATATTAGTTAATGTTTATATATTTATCTGGAGTGTTAATAAATTCATAGGGTTGTGGCAAAGATAAAAGCACAACAGTGTAGATGCGTTGAGCAGTGAACGCGGCCCGGAGCTGCCTCCCGTACACATCCTCCCGCTGCTGCTTTGACCCTGGAGCTCAGTGATGCCTCTGCCCGCAGCCGTGTCCCCAAACCGGGCTCTGACAACGGCTAGTACCCCCAGCCTCTCCCCCGGACCAAGTTTTTTCTGATCCAGGACTATGGTTGAGCAGCGCCCGGAGAGACGCTCGGTCTGTCCGCTTTCACTAAACAATAGCCTCAGGTGAGCGACTTTGTTCTAACCTTTCATGACTTCCGCTGCTAGTAAATTGTAAGCATTGCTGTAGCTGATCCTACAGAAGTGCTGCATGCTCGTTTGTAGGTCAGGTGTACTTTTTAAGAAAAATAAACCAAGTTGAGATTATATATAGATTAGAGTGAATTAAAGAACTGAAAGTGGAATTTATTTCGTCCCGAAGGTGCACAAAGCAACAGAAAGATGCAGCCACGATTAGACAAACCACAACATCCAGTGTTCATAAACAAGCACTATCAGATGGCTTAGTATATAGTTGTACAACTGTTGTTACTGTGTGTAAACTATAGCTCTGGTCTGTCAGGTTTTGGTGCAGGTACACTGTTAGGGACATATCGTGTTGCTACTCTGTGATAGCATGAATAACACTGCTCTGAAGAATGGGGGTGATCAGGTTAGGCATGTTGCAGCTAGATGATAACAGCACAGATGCAATGCACTGATCACTCAACCAAAAACATGCTTTGTTTTGTCTTGTGCTACAGTGTAATTTTGTCATTTGAAACTGACTGTAGTTATTGAAAAGAAATCGTGAATTGAGAGAAGACAATATTGACATTTTACAAAGTTGATATGTTTGATATAATAGACCTGTGAATGATATGTTTGTTGTGTAGGCAGCTGATGATCTGAAATGGAGCAGCTGCACTGGGTCAGGTTCCGCTGTCAGCAGCTATGGGTGGCCAACCACACCCAGGGCTGGTACTCACCCGCGAACCTCGTCTCTGAGAAGTACTCGCCACAGAGGAATACTGGGAAGAGGAGGACTGTACTGGCCCGCTGGGGTCCACACCAGGATGAGTACCACAGTATCAGCAAGGCCTACAAGACCAACGCTATCCGCACCACCAAGTACAGCCTCCTCACCTTCCTCCCCATGAACCTGTTTCAGCAGTTCCACAGGTGGGCAAGAGTACAGCCTCTCAGACTCATACACTGTATAAAGAAGTCTCTGCTCAGACCACACACTCTCACATCTTCTTTATTATTATTATTATTATTATTATTATTATTATTATTATTATGTTAATACAGAGTTTGACAATGTTGGTAACAATGTAATAGAGCTAAATCGAAAGTTGTTTAAAGGTTCTATATTTAATGTTGGGAAGTAACTAAATACATGCACTGAAAATACATGGGCCTATTCTGAATAGTAATTTTGCGTAACGTTATTCCGGTACAGTTGCTTTTTCATTTAGTGCTAATCAGAATATAGTTACTTCCCCAAAGTCAAAGGAATGCATTGGAGAACATGATCACACAATTCATGTTTCAAACTGCACAGTATTACTGGGAAAAACGAAAAACTCAGCTCTTGTGGTGAGTGCAAGTGTGATTTTTAACTTCTCCATTGCGTTATAAGAAATGCTTAACCAATGGTACAACAAACATAAGGCTGTTTATAATCCTATATTGCATTTTGACTTTATAATTTAAATGCAACTGTATGTAAAATGACTTAAAATATTTAGAAAACAGTACTATGATTGGACTGGATCAGAGTACTTTACTTTAATGGAGGTAATCAGTATTCTGTAACTGAATACAGTTTTAAAGTATTCTTCCTGTCTGTGCCTAGATTATACGAAATGGATTCTTGTGAAGTTTCACATACCTGAAGTTGTGTTCTTTTTCATGCTCACATGCTTGAGTAACCCTTAATCTGTCTGCATCTCCATAGCTCAGAATGCTCTGTTCCACCTTGTGATATCATGTAGTGATAATTTTCAAATGAACAGCTGCCTTTTATTTTTTGTTTAGTAGAGATTGGCAATTCCATGTTTGAAATTGCCCATATTATTCTATTGAAAGTGTGTGGAGTTTAAAAACGCATTGGAGCACAACAGAGTGTTTCCCATTTGAAAAAGAACTCAAACTAAATATAGAGGGTTTGTTGTTTGACAAGTGTGGACGAAACAGAACACAACTCAAGGTATGTTTGTGATAAGGAAACGCCATTATAACAGATCATAAAATAGAGTAATATGGGGCTTTTAATCTTATCAAAGACATACAGTATTTTAAAGCAGAATAAAAACTGAGAACTATATCCGTCGTACATTCTTTTGCAATACAAACAACATGAGGACACTGCTGTTATGAAACACATTGTTCACTCCACACAGTTTTGCAATAGATACAGTATTTTACCACAAGGTTAATAACATGGTAATACCACAACATCATTTAGATTTAATTATAATGAGCGTGAACTGTCTGTGGCACTGATCTTGTGGTGAATGTGTGCAGAGCGGCCAACCTGTACTTCCTGTTCCTGGCGCTCTTGAACTGGGTCCCTGTAGTGGAGGCCTTTCAGAAGGAGATCACCATGATTCCCCTGGTGCTGGTGCTCACCGTCATCGCCATCAAAGATGCCCTGGAAGACTACAGGCGCTATGTGTTTGACAAGAAAATCAACCACAACACAGCTAAAGTGTACTGCCCGTGAGTACGCTATATTGTTCATACTCTTTCATTTATACAGGCCAATGATTTTGGTATTAGGATTAGTCAAAAATCATCTAACATTCTACAGTGTCTGATAAGAAATGAAACACTGTACTGCTATAAAGAGGAACTATAATTTCATTGTGGTTTCATTTATGTGTAATACACAGACTAAAAACTTTGATTTTATTTATTGCTTCCTGGTCCTTGTGTTTTGACATAATAACCAAAAACAAATAATGTTTAGTTTTTTTACACTCTGCTTTACATCATATCCAGCTTTGAGACTACTTGAATTTATTCTCTTCAATAAGCACAGGCTTATTACATCAAAATACCAAACAGTAACTGGCTGAAATTCCTCTCTAGTTGTAACAAGCTGTGAACAATCAAGTGGGTGAAAGTCCCTGCCCTTTAGCAAACAGCCACTAGGTGAAACTCCTGTCCAGGATTACTGTCTGGTGAAGGCAAAAGGGTGAGATTCCCAGTGTAGTTAAGTGTAAGACTTTCTCATGAGGGAGAATAAATTCAAGGGAGCAGTGCATCTCCTACAGGTCTAAGAATTAAGATAAAATGTATGAACAAAAAAAATGCTAATTTATGTGTGTACTCTTGCAACATCACAAAAAAAACAAACAAAAAACAAAACACAGGTGCTCCTCGATTGCAACTATTGCAACTGGTTCCAGGAATTTTGACGTCTATGCACCTGCAAATTTCTTTTATCATTCATCTGCTGGAATCTGGTTTCTTCATGTTCAAATACAGATGATCCTGTGTAAGATAAATATTTTTATTTTTGCTGTTTTAACAGATTAAAATACAGTATAGCATATATCAATGTGGCTTTCTTTTTTATTTCATAGATTAAAGATCCTATATTATGCAAAATTTACATTACTTTAAGCCATGTTATAATGCTGTTACCTCATCAAAACATACCTGGAGTTGTGTTTTGTTTCATTCATACATTTTTGAGTTGTTTATTATAAGTCTATATCTATATCTCCAAAGGTTGAAATGCTCTGTTCCACCTTGTGATGTCATGCAGTATCTACTTTTTACCTTTAGTTCAGTAGAGATTGGCAATTCCAGGGCTGAAGGTGTATGGAGCTTAAGAAGAACGCAGCTTAAATATGCAGTTTTAAACATGTGTACATAGAACAAAACACAACTCTGACTATGTTTTTGATGAATAAATAGCATTATAATATCAGAAAATAGTGCAAGTCACAAAAATAAAATATTGAGTTTGTATGGAAAATTACTGATAAGAAGTGATCAGGTTCAAGATTGGCGTCTGAAGATTACAATCATATCTCTCTCTGAACTTTTGACTCCACAGAGCATATTGACCAGCTGTGTGTCCCTGTACTCTTTCATTATGACCTCACACTTTGTACAGTATTAGATTTCCCAGCACTGGCTGTAAAAGTTGAACCTTGAGATTATTTATTAGAGGTGCGGTGGTTCAGGGAGGGGCTTACGTCCAGTCTCCACTTTCCCAGTCGTTCATTTTGCTTTAGTATGTTCACTGGACTTTGAAATGACGGCTGGAATATGCGCGAGGAAAGCTGGCATACTGGACTAATGTGTAAACTGAGGCATGGACTTGGACTTGAGCAGCACCGGAGAAAAAGAACCGTGGTGTCTTCTTGTTGTCATGACGATGATCAGCTGACGCTCCTCCTCAAGACGTACCCGAACAACAGGATACGCACCACCAAGTACACGCTGTTGTCCTTTATACCCAGGAACCTTTTCGAGCAGCTTCATCGCGTCGCCAATATCTATTTCATCTTTTTGGCTGCTCTCAACTTTGTTCCTGTTGTGGAGGCGTTTGAGCCAGAGGTAGCACTGATCCCCATTATTCTGGTGCTCCTAGTGACGGCTCTGAAGGACTTCTGGGAGGACCTGCGCAGGTTTAGGTCTGATCGTGAGGTGAACAGGCTCAAGTGCAGGGTTTATTGCAGGTACGCTGACCTGGCACGTGAAAGGTCATGCTGATAAACACACGTGCATAGATCTTTATTGTGATGTAACTACATGTATTTTAATGTTTCTTTTTTAGATACCAAAAACATTGTAGACTCATTGTTTAAAGATGTACTATGTAACTTGCTTGTCCCCATGGAGATGTTACTTCTTTGCCTGAAATGTTCCACAGTAGCCATACCTTTCTGTCCTCTGTTCATGGATTACAGTCATTTAAATTACACAGTATTTTGTTTTAAACAGGTAATTGTTATCGCAAATGTGACATTTTTAATCATTTCATCAGTTTTTATTGTCCTGAAAATCATTGCATTTTTACTGTGAGCAAGGTGTCCTCTGTACTAGGGGTATTCAACTAAAATTTAAGGAGGTCCAGAGAAAATCTCCTCAAGCAGAGGTCCGAGACATCATAATGTCTAAGACTGTCAGATCAATGAAAATACAAGTTAAAAACATTGGCTAAGTAGCGTCACGTGGGTGGCTTAACTCGCACACGATTGGTTTGTATGTTCCATGGTCCATTAATACAGTGCTGTGAAGGCCACTACACAACACAGGATTTTTCGGTCTTAAACCATTTTGAAACGTGCAACAAAAAGCACACACCACAGACATGACAAAAATCTTATGAAACTTAAAATCTCAGATTACAAAGACTGCTGATATGACTGCACTATACTGAGTTGACCTACCTGGCCTGGTGTTTAGTTATTTATTTAGTTTATTTGGGCTCTCCTTACATTTAGTTTACATTACAGGTGTCCTTACATTTAGTTTACATTACAGGTGTTCTTACATTTAGTTTACATTACAGGTGTCCTTACATTTAGTTTACATTACAGTTCTTACATTTAGTTTACATTACAGGTGTCCTTACATTTAGTTTACATTACAGTGGTTTTACATTTGTTACATTAAGTCTTACATTTAGTTTACATTACAGGTGTCTTACATTTATTTACATTACAGGTGTTCTTACATTTAGTTTACATTACAGGTGTCCTTACATTTAGTTTACATTACAGGTGTCCTTACATTTAGTTTACATTACAGTGTCCTTACATTTAGTTTACATTACAGTGTCCTTACAGTTTACATTACAGGTGTTTACATTACATTACAGGTGTTCTTACATTTAGTTTACATTACAGGTGTTCTTACATTTAGTTTACATTACAGGTGTTCCTTACATTTAGTTTACATTACAGGTGTCCTTACATTTAGTTTACATTACAGGTGTTCTTACATTTAGTTTACATTACAGGTGTCCTTACATTTAGTTTACATTACAGGTGTTCTTACATTTAGTTTACATTACAGGTGTCCTTACATTTAGTTTACATTACAGGTGTTCTTACATTTAGTTTACATTACAGGTGTACATAGAAGCTTAGGCCAAAAGGCTGAAGCAGTTGCTTATTAGCACCTACTCCCATACAGTTTAATGTCATATTGTGGACCATTCCAGGCAAAGCAATAAGAAAAGTTACATAGTACGGTACACCTTTAAGATTTATTTGTATAATTTAGCACCAAGTGACGCAGGTTCTTTGAAAAGCAGTATATGTATTTATTTTTCTCACCTCTGACTATTTATATCCCTTGTGTGTGCAGTAATCAGAGGGACTACGTTGACTGCTGCTGGAAGGATGTCCGTGTGGGGGACTTTGTGCGCCTGTCGTGTAATGAGATCATCCCTGCAGACATGCTCCTGCTGCACTCGTCAGACCCCCGGGGGCTCTGCTACATCGAGACCGCCAACCTGGATGGGGAGACCAACCTGAAACAGAGGCAGGTGGTTTCCAAGATGGAGGTATATACTCTTACTGCTCATATCCGCACATTCAAACATGTCTTATTTTATAAACTCCTAAATAAACAATGACCCACTTGTAATATAATCTCATAAGTAAGGTACCAAATGTAAATTCTGTTTCTATATTTAGCAAAACCCTTAAGCGTGTCAGTTGTCAATGTTTAACCTCAATCCATTCAAAACAGACAGGTAATGGTTTATGGCATGTGTACTTTTCCTGTTTGATTAGAGCGTTATTATCAAAGACAGTATGCCAAACATAGATCGACTTCTGGGTTACATCGTGTCATATTCTTATCCTGCATTATCTTTTTATTTCTCAGAATGTGGAGTTTGTACCTGAAGATTTCCACTGGCGTATTGAATGCGAGAATCCGAACAACAACCTCTGCAGGTTCAGAGGATATATGTAAGTTGTTTTAATACACTGAAGCTCTTAAAACGATCATGCACTCCACTCCAGCCCCTGCATATACATAGAACAACAGTAGATATTCATTTGAGCAGGTACTGATATTAAACGTCACATTCACAGGACAGAAATTAACCCCTGAATAGCTTAAGAATGATTTTGAGCTGTATCAAAACACATATAAAACCACATAGATTAGTATACACCATAGACTGTATATATAAATGGTCAAAGCTAATACCGTAGCTGCCGTGTTCCAAATAGGAAGTTTGCATACAGGTTCTTCCAGCTCCTACTGACTCTGGCTCCTGTTGACTTACAATATTGTGAATATTGTGGCCCCTTCTCTCTAACTGCTGCTGTGAGCTTCATCATTTTGGTCTTAAAATGCTTGCATTAACCTGCTCTACATGATCCTGGTGTTTTGTGGCTTTTTTGTCCATATTTTGAACTATGAACTATGATTTAAAGGTGCACTGTGTAACTTTGCTGGTCTGCCACCTGCTTGTCTCCATGGAAATATTATAGCTTTGCTTGGAATGTTACACAGTATAGCCATAAACATTTATCTAGCTAGCATTTATTTGATTACAGGTCTTTTAATTTAATAAAATACCTTGAAAACATGCATTCTTATCATTACTGGAGTTGCCTCTTCACAGATCTGACTTGTAACTTGACCTGGTGATGTCTGCATGGAGATATATGTCTTTATTGCCATACTGTAGTGCAGTGTTTCCCAAACTTTTTTCTGGGGATCCATATTTTAAAAGTCACAAACCATTGCGACCCAAGTTAATAGACATTATTCATAAATCACAAAATAAAGGTGGATTTGGCCATTATTGAACAGAATATTTTATTGTTAACTGAGTGATCGTGTCTCTCTGAACAATTAGTATAATTCAAGTAAAAACAGTAATTGAACCAGCAACAGCAGGAGGTATCCACAAGTTGCCTGTTTGGACTTTAAATGCAACCCATTTCTTTTTCATTTCAACATTCAATTGAACCAGCAATATTGGAATAAAATAGTCCCTAGCTCTCTCATGTGTCAGAACTGTATGTTGCAGATCTACATGCAGATTGTAACAAGGTGACCCCCCAAAAAAATCTCTTACAATCCACCTGAGGGTCATGACCCAGTTTTTGGGAAATCATGCTGTAGTACAACATTCCAGCCCAAAGCAATAACATCTCTATAGATATAAACAGGGGAAGAACCCTCTACCTTTAATGTTGAAACTTACATTCTATTGTCTAAATAAAGAGGTTTTTTTATTATCAACATGGGATTGGAATCAGTATTGAGTCTATTTCTTAATCTCGAAATCAAATTAGAAATGTGAATATCGTGACAACAGTACAGTGTAATCAAGCACATCTTTCCATTTCTTCCCTGTATTTGTACATGATATTGCAGCTGCTTGGCTCCTTCCACAGTGCTGCAGTAGTCTCTGGGGACCTTTATAGGGAACACTGAGCTATCTAATGTAGTCACTGTTGTGTGTGTCCTCAGGGAAAACTCCAGTGGAGCTCGAGTCGGACTCCATAACAGCAACCTTCTGCTCCGGAGCTGCACCATCCGCAACTCTGAGGCTGTGGTGGGCATTGTGGTTTATGCTGGTGAGAAACAGTCTCCATTTTGTAGACTTAGATTTAAATTGAGTCAAACTTTATTGATCCACAAGAGAAATTATTTGGACACAGTAGCTCACACATCACAATAAAATATAATAACAAAGAGCACGGAAAAAAAAAATAGCAAGAGACTGGTCAAATAAGTTATAGTAATATAAAGTGATATGTACAAATAAAGTAAAACATTTAAACAGTGCCATATAAACACAGTATATCACAGTTATATACAAGGGGTTGTAAGGAAAAACAGTGCAAAGATGATATGATTGGTTCTTCCTAACTGTTTATTCATTAAGTCCTTGTAGTTGTTTGCACAATATATCGCAATCTGAAACCGAAATTTGAGGTGGCGCAAACCACAAAGGCTGCAATTGTCCTCTGCAAAGAAAAAAAAAATCCTCTACAAACATGTTCTGAAATGGTCGATTATGTTTTAGTTCATCAGTTCATATTTCAGTCTTCTTTCAAATGTTAATTCCCCCAGATTTAGACTTGTCGTGTCTTGTTCTGCACAGTCAAACATAAACTGACATTGACTTGTGCTGTTTGAATTAGGTCATGAAACCAAAGCGATGATGAACAACAGTGGGCCCAGGTACAAGCGCAGCCTTCTGGAGAGACGTCTCAACACGGACGTGCTGTGGTGCGTCGTGCTACTCATAGTAATGTGTCTCACTGCGGCTATAGGTTTGTATGAAGAGAACGTCTTATCTAATTATTCAGAGGCAGTTTCTCTTTAATATACCAATGTGTGTTTAGGTCATGGCATTTGGCTACAGCAGCTTAAAGATCCGATTTTTCAAGTGGATGGAGAAACATCCCCTGCACTGGCGGGCTTTTATGTCTTTTGGACCATGATCATAGTGCTACAGGTAAAACCCTTTTCCTCACTGGGCCAGAACCCCACCAAAATGTTGGGTCAGAAATCTTTATATACAAAAGTTTACTGGTTTATACTAATTGGTTTATAAAGAGGAAATATACTTACATGAAACCTGTTTTGAAGCAGTTAATACCATCTGCATCTTACAGCAGAGTATAGCTTTGATATATCTTTTTCAGTCACAATCTTGTGATGTGTTTTATTTGTTTTACTTCAATAAAACCTACAATCACTTTCTCCCTTTCAAAACAGGTGCTGATTCCAATCTCACTTTATGTCTCAATTGAAATAGTCAAACTGGGTCAGATCTACTTTATCCACAATGACCTGGATTTGTACAATGAGCACATGGACTCCAGGATCCAGTGTCGAGCTCTGAACATCACAGAGGACCTGGGACAGGTGCAGTACGTCTTCTCTGACAAAACTGGAACTCTGACTGAGAACAAGATGGTGTTCCGCCGTTGCAGTGTCTATGGAGTGGAGTATCCTCACGATGACAATGGTGAGATAGAACACTAAACAAAATTATGAGTCTAAAGGATCCGGCCCCTCTGATGTGTGATTATGGGATGTGGATGTGCAGGGCGCCGTCTGGAAGTGTACAGTGAAGACAAAGAGGAGGCACGTCGCTGCTCCCTCAGCCCTAGGGCGAGCTCCAGGAGGAAGTCTCTGAGCTGCCGCTCTCTGAGCTGTAACCGCAGCTCTGTGTCCCTCAACACTCTGACCGCTGACTCTGAGGAAGAGGAGGAGCTGTCCTGTGCCAGCCTGCGCCGTCCCAGTGCCTTCTACAGCCAAATGGTTTGTTTACATGACAACAGAGCAGCTTCACATATACACCACTATACATCTAACACACTGTTGTGTGCTCAGGCGAAGGAGGTGGTTCCAGACTGTGAGCTGGTGACAAAGCTGAGCTGGCTGCGTGCTCCTGACCTGAATGTGGCCCACAGCTGTGCCAAAGCCTCCTCCAGCCTGGAGATGGCCTTCATCACAGACTTCTTTCTAGCACTGGCCATCTGCAACAGTGTGGTTGTGTCTTCGCCAACACAGTCCCTAAATGTGGTGAGTATAGTCATCTTAGTGAACCACTGCAATGACTTGTAGCATTGCTAAACAACCAGAAATACATCACTGTGCTGAACTACCAACAGATTTAAAAACGAACAGTTCTTGCAATGCAAGATACTCCGTACTGTCAAAATACAAATTATACATTATACTAACCAACTCTGGTTGGCACTAGACTATTCAACTATTCAAAACATGCACTTTTTAACCTGCCTAACCCCAGTAATATAAATAAGATAAGATATTAAGGAGTGTGCTATTCAGTGTGATATTAAGATAAGATATTAATCTATGTGTTCCATATCTACACTTGAACCTAAGACAAACAGTGGTGTGATGTGTTGTGTATTTATATTGACACGTTTGCTGTGTGTTTTAGCTTCCTCAAGCTCAGACACCTCTACGTTCTCTGGAGGAGATCAAACTCATGTTTCAGCGCTTTAACCTGTCTGCACTCCCAGTACTGCCCACTCTGCCTCCCCCTCTGAAGAGCAAACTCTTTACCCGAGGAAAGACTGGCTCTTTCACTCTCCCCAAACCTGCGGCAGAGGGCTGTGATCACACACCAAACCCAGAGAACTTCAGTGTAAATGGTATAACCTGTAAAACATCTAGAGCAGACATGTCAGACTCAGGCCTGGGGTCCAAATTTGGCCTGCGATATATTTATATTTGCCCCGCAAAATCATATCAAATATGTATTAGAGCTGCCCACTGGCTACAGATAGGCTATAGAGACATTATTTATTTAAAATTTTGTTATTATTTCATATTATGTTTGTTCTGGATTCAATGTTTAAGCCAAACTATTATTAAACATTTATTTTAATAAGAAAAGATTTAACATTACATATCTCGAAAGAAGAGAAAACATACAAATGTTGTTGAAATGTTTCTATAAATATTTAGTTTGGCCCATGACTTAGTCCAGGTTTTTAATTTTGGCCCTCTGTGAATTTGAGTTTGACACCCCTGATCTAGAGGGTCATGTCTTTGTATAGATCTAGGACTCATTAGGACAACTTATTTTCCCTAACAACCTGCATCCACAATGTTACAGCATGTTGTATATGGATGGCTTGCTAAATTTATCAATAGTATATAGTTTAAACTAAGGAACCATATATTTTGATTATAGATTCATTATGTTTATAATTTGGTGTTTTGGTTTGCAAGACAATTATCCATTCAGAAAGCATCATGAGCCTCACATGAGCCTCTCATTTGGGTTTCCAGTTGTAATGCTGAAATCCAGTTTTAAACCTTGAATGTCTCTCTCTGATTCATTAACTACATATATATCATCTCATCATTTAGCTCCATTCACTATAATGATATAAGATGGCTGTATAAATTATGGTTATACTATAATGGCAGAAATTAAAATGGTTGCAAGCTGCTCCCCCAGACAACAGTCCAGTCCAAGCTGTCAATCAAATCCTAGCTCATTAGATATGCATAAACTTTAAAACTCCACAGCAGCTAAACAGACCTCCAACCTTTTGTTGGGTTGTTGTCAGACACCCATAACTTGGCATTTGAGGCCAGAATCAGTTTTTAACAAGTGGAAAGTCAACATAGGATTTCATTTTGTGTTGCCGGTTCTGTAGCCAGATCTTGTGGTCAGCAGCCAGATTGCAGCAATGGCAGCCTGCCGTCATTAATTAGTGCTAGTGCAGCCTCTGCAGCTCAGCAAGTGGATTCTGAGCTTGAGGCATGGCCATTACTGAGATTGAGAAAAACTTTGTATGTATGTCTGGTCTATATGCAAGCTAAGGCACTGGTAACCCAGGTTCAGTTGTGATTGTAGTGTCCTTTTTAAAACTGTAAGAGCACAGGCTACATCCAATTGTGCTTTTGGTCCTGTAGGTGGTGAAAAGTTGAATGTTCCTGATGGAGAAGAAGTGCCTACATTGATCCTTCCTGAGGCAGCAGCAGCAGCGGTGGAGTTTGAAGTAGTGGACCCTGAGGACACAGTGCTGTATGAAGCAGAGAGCCCTGATGAGGCCGCTCTGGTGTACGCCGCCAGAGCCTATCACATGACTCTGAGAGCGCGCTCTGCAGACAGCCTGCAGGTGGAGCTGCCCACAGGGGGCACTGTGCAGGTTCCCCTGCTGCACGTTCTGCCCTTTGACTCCAACAGGAAGAGGATGTCTGTGGTGGTGCGTCACCCCCTCACAGGACAGGTGGTGGTTTACACCAAGGGAGCAGACTCTGTGCTCATGGACCTGACCCGCTCCCCCACAGGTAACAAAAATAGTGTTCTAATTGAACTGAAGCTTTTACTCTCTGCCTCAGCACTTTGATTTCTTGTGGAATTTGCCTTTGTCATCATCCTAGTTCCTTCTCTGTGTGTTTGCAGCTTTGCAACTGGCTCCAAATGTTTACAGTCATATACGGCTGCAAACACAGAAGCACCTGGACAGCTATGCCAGAGAGGGGCTGCGCACACTGTGCATTGCAACAAAGGTAAATATGTCACACTATAACACTGATCCATGTGCCCCTGTCCCCTAAAGCTCCTGTGTATGTGAGCAGACAATGGAGGAGGAAGAGTATGAGGTGTGGCTCAAGACACAGCTGTTAGCGGAAAGCAGCATCGAGAACAGAGAAGAGCTGCTACTACGCTCAGCTCAGGCCCTGGAGACCAACCTGACTCTTTTGGGTAACAGTGGATACACTCACTCAAGTACACACACGCACACACACATATGCACAGAGAAGTAGCAGCACCTGTGTACTGTGTGTACAGGAGCCACAGGAATCTTGGACCGCCTGCAGGAGGAGGTGTCTGAAACCATAGAAGCTCTGCAGAGGGCTGATGTCAAAGTATGGATCCTCACAGGGGACAAACAAGAGACCGCTATCAACATCGCCTTTGCTTGTAAACTACTGTGCCCCTCTGACCAGCTACTGACAGCCAACTGTGAGGATAAGGTCAGCTCCCACCCACATGTCAGGACACTTTTAATGTATAATTCACAACAAGTCTCTGTAGTTCTTCATTTGCTTTGCTTGCTTTGAGATTTGTTTTAGAAAGAAAGATCTTCCTTTCAGTTTTCATGTCCTGCACCTAAAATAGTGACGCAGTGTTGTCTGTGATTGTGTTTTGCAGGAGAGCTGCGCAATGTTAGTGCAGGATTTTCTTCATAGACTCACCTGTTATGACACTGAAGCCTCAGGCTCAGGGACCTCCAGCACAGAGGCCCCTAGCACAGAGGCCCCTAGCACAGAGGCCCCTAGCACAGAGGCCCCTAGCACAGGGGCCCCTAGCACAGAGGCCCCTAGCACAGGGACCCCCAGCACAGAGGCCCCTAGCACCGGCACAGCTGGGTCTGTGCTGGTGATCGATGGACACACTCTTGACTGGGCTCTTCAGCCTGAGCTACAGGGAGACTTTCTAGAGCTGAGCAAACATTGCAAAGCCGTCATCTGCTGCAGATCCACTCCACTCCAGAAGAGCCAAGTGGTCCGGCTGGTCCGGGATAAACTTAAGGTCATGACCCTGGCTGTGGGTAAGAGCACCACTACTATTATCATTATCCAAAAGCACAAATAACACTGGTATTAGACAATAGCATAGGTGCTATCTGATGACTCTCTGTGTAATGTTTTAGGTGATGGAGCCAATGATGTGAGCATGATCCAGGTGGCAGATGTTGGGGTTGGGATTTCTGGACAGGAAGGCATGCAGGTACTACACTGCTGAAGACACTGTGAATCTAAGAAGCACAAATAACCAATGAGAAGGTGCTTAATGAATCATTACAATGGCCGTCTCTGTAAATCTCTGTGCTGGCTTTTAGGCTGTGATGTCCAGTGACTTTGCCATCTCCAGGTTCAAACACCTCAGGAAGCTGCTGCTGGTACATGGCCACTGGTGTTACTCGCGCCTGGCCAATATGATCGTCTACTTTATCTACAAGAATGTGGTGAGAGACAGCTTGCATAGTTCATGTGAGAACATGCTTTATCCACTCTGTGGTGTGGTCTTCACCTAACAGTTCATGTGTTTCAGATGTATGTGAACCTTCTGTTCTGGTACCAGTTCTTCTGTGGTTTCTCTGGGAGTGTTATGAGCAATGCATGGGTTCTCATCTTATTTAACCTGATCTTCACCTCTGTGCCTCCTCTGATCTATGGGATTCTGGACCAGGACACGCCTGCAGATGTTCTGATGGCCCACCCTGAGCTCTACCAGAGAGCAAGGACCTCCAAGGTTAGTGTCCTGCTTTATTTGATTATCACTCTATGTGACTACATACATTATAATTTGAATGTGTTCACAGGCCTATGTTCCCTTGATGTTCTGGATGAACATTCTGGATGCCTTTTACCAGAGCCTTGTCTGTTTCTTCATTCCATACTTTGTAAGTCCACCACCTTTGTATCCTCTGTATTCTTCAGTGTAAGTTTACAGTAAGACGATAATATGTTATGTTTCAGGCCTACAGGGGCTCAGACATAGGCAGTCTGTCCTTTGGGTCACCCATAAACGCCTCGGCGCTGTTCATCATCCTGCTGCACCAGGTGGTGGAGAGCCACACTCTGGTCTGTGCTGCTGTGTGTGTGATCACTGATCAGAGGATCTAGTCTATTTTTCTGTCTAATGCCCTGATGTGTCCCTGTGTACAGACGTGGATCCATGGCCTGGTGTTCTTCCTTAGTGCTGGCTCATACTTTGCCTTTGTGCTGCTCCTCAGTGTGCTCTGTGTGACCTGCAGCCCTCCTACTAATCCTCTGGGAGTAGAAACTAAGCAAATGTCCCAACCGGCCTTCTACTTAGTGTGTACTTTAACTACTGTCACAGCACTGCTACCCAGGTAACTCATCCCCACTCAGGGCTCACTCATTTCACCTCGAAGTGCATTTTAGGCAATGAAATAGAAACAAATAGAAATAGAAAGTTTACAGTTGTGAAGACCTGTTTTATCTTCAAATATTATTAGTCAAACACAATTTCTGTGGAATAAACATGAGTGTTTGTGATTGGAATAGGCTGTGCACTCACTGTTTACTGTAAGTACTAATAGAGTGCCCCCTGGTGTTTGTTTCAGGTTGTTGTTTCGAGTTCTGAAAAACTCCTCGATCAGAGTGGGAGGAGCAGAGCAGTGGATTCTGAGGCCACACAGCCCCTCTGTGAGGGGCAACTGTCCAGATGTGGAGCCCACAGACCCTGAGCTGTCCTGACCCCAGCATACACTGTCATTACACTGATGACTGGATGCTGTTGTTAGGTTATGGTTATGACTATGTGAAGGAAATAGCAATGTTGAATATTCACTGATTTGCCCGACTGAACTGCACTGTTTCCACTGGAGAAAGAGTGGGCAAGTGCATGTGAAACTTTTCTCTAATGAGGTGCTATTTATTACTTCACCAGTGCTAAATCCAACGCCATATAGTCCTATTGTGTTGTCCACATCTTTTGTACTTGTCTGAGTTTAATGTTCCTGTGAGGGACATGAGAATCTGTGCTGATTATTTATTACTTGTTTTTGCTTGTTTGAAAAATTATATACTTGTGTCAATGCAAGTTACAAAACCTCAAACACAGAATCTCTCATAATCATGAGGACCGTAGCACATGCCACTTTCAGTGTTTTTGTGTGGATATTGTCAGAGTGGAGGTCTCTGCTAAACGTATGGGGCTGTTGGCACCACTGGCATGTCTCAGGCAGTTATCAATCACCGTGTATGAGACGTGTAGTAATAACACGGATATGCCTCAACTTTTTACTTCTACATATTTCCCAGACTTTGCATCCTCAATAACAGTCACATTTACACTGTTATATTGCTGTTACCATCCTGATGTTTACAATTTTGCATTTGCAAAATAATATTTTTTTTTTTATTATTTTAATATATTGTAATATTATGGTTCGTGAATTTTAAAATGTATTTTCTGGCTCAGTCTAATAATTTTACACTCCACATCGAATCATCAAACATGGATTGCACACACCCGTGTTGCCTTAGGTCCCGTTTTTATGATGAATAATATTTTTTTTTGACTGACTGCATTTACAAACTCCTCAAACCTGCAATAAAGACATTTGTACAGAAAGCATATTTGTTTGTTTGCATGTACTTCTTCCTGGGTTTACACAGTCACTCTTCTACGCTACGGTGGTTTTCCCCAGTTCCTTATTACGCAGTATGGAGCTGGTGCGTGTTCATTGAGCGTGGAAAGCGCACTCTGTAAACTGGACACACTGTCCGCGCTGTGCCAAACACTTTTATACACTTTACGCTCAGCACCGCGGGCATTGTGTCGGACCGAAGGATCATGAGTTTGAGCTCCTGTCACAGCAGCAACTCGGAGGACATGAGCGACGAGCTGGAGACGCTGGGGTAAGTGCGGCTGTTTACGGTCGGAGTACTTAAGTTACTGTTTGATCAAATTATTAGTTATGATTAAAATGCGGAAAATTCTTATTGCTCAACTGCACTGCCAATGAAGTAGGCCTAGTTTTCGATGGAAAGTAGCCTATCGGTAAAACACAAAAGGTTTTTGTAAACACAGACGTTAGAGAATATTATTCAATGTTGTGGTCTACAATTCAAGGGGTTTATTTATTTATTATTTATTTATGCATTCTAAATATAAACTCGTAAAATTGATATGGCCTACTAAAATAAATACATAAACAAAATAAACATAATAAAAAAATAAAAAACAGAACAGATGAGGTGACCAGGAGGGCCATTTTAACCAAAGAACCAGTGGCTGACAAAGTAAGACTATAGTTTTGAGCATTCCAATTGTTTTTTTATTTGGTAAAAAACCCCTGTGCTGTGTGCTGTTTGCTTACAGGTGGTACCACTGTGACCTGTCCCGCCATGCTGCTGAGGCCCTGCTGCTAAACAATGGTGTGGATGGAAGTTACCTCCTGAGGAACAGTAACGAGGGCCCGCAGAGCTTCGCCCTCTCTGTCCGGTAACACCACCTCACCTGTCCTTTGCTTTGGTCAGATCCTTCAAAGCTCCATACACTCCACAAAGGCTCACCCCCTTACCGGGAAAATTATATAGTGCAACTTTATTTCTTAAGTTAAAACCAAAACATGGAACTTTCACAGTGGGAACAGATATGCTTTTATTATCATTTGTTTTTGTTTAATTAAGAGGTTCATAATAGATAATAAACGACTTGTGTATTATGAATGAGTCTTTGTTTGCCTAAATAAAGTGTTAACCTATTCTATAATTTCACAAACAGGGCCAAGGATTCAGTGAAACATTTCCACGTTACCCGCAGAGACAGCAGTTATGTGTTTGGCTTCAATGAGTTCCCCACACTCGAAGATTTCGTAAAGCACTTTGCAAACCAGCCTCTCCTGGGCAGTGACACTGGTGAGTCTGTTTGTTTAAAGTCTATATGACAATATATGACAATATAACTGGAATTACCTCTATACGTATATGTCATCTGCTGCCAGTGTTCAAAGAGGAAGTAAAGCTTTAAACTTGTTGAAATGTAGAAAATAATGTGTGATTATTTGCAACATTTTAAATATAGGCATGATGACTACATTTTAAATGTCCTATATTACACAAAAGTGACTCTTGTGAGCTTTAAGACATGTTGTTATAATGTTGTTACCTCATCAGAAACATACCTGTGGAGTTGTGTTTTGTTTCATTTACACATGTTTAAGTAATCCATTTACACTATTAGTCTGTTTATATCTCCAAAGCTCAAAATGCTCTGTTCTACCTTAGTGGTAGTTTTCAAGTTAACAGCTTAATTTTACCTTTAGTTCAGTAGAAATGGGCACTTCCAGGACTAAAATCATCTAAATTTTCTAGTGAACCTGAACTGAGTTTAGAAACACAGTAAAGCACTTCCTGTATTACCTCATGACAATGGTGCTTTCCATTTGTGAGAAGAACTCAACCTAAATATGTAGAGTTTGTGTGTGAAACAAAACACAACTCCAGGTATGTATTTGATGAGGAAACAACATAATAACATAGATCAGAATATAGTATAGTATGGCGGCCTGATTCATCAGTCTGACCTCGCAGCATTAGGATTCATTCGCTCGATGGTAGACGGGTACTTTTTAAAATTTAACCAATCACTGCTATTTGGTCGTGGCATATGTAATGCACCTCTAATGGGGCTAACTGGTATGTTAAGCTTTTCCCAAATCCCGCAGGAAGAAGAGTAATAACGTCTTTCTAAAATCTTTCTTGATAAAATTCACCCAACATTCTCTTTGTTCCGGCTTTAAATCCTCGATCTCGGGAATCATTGCCAACACAGAATGTATGGCTCTTTACTGACTGGCTCGGACTCGCACTTCTGGGGTTCTTGCAAACGGTCTAGTATATTCCGATTCCTGAACTAGTGGCTGGAGAGAAATGAAATTGCCTGGCCAATAGTATAGACCCTTTCATGAAAAATCTAGTCTGACTTGTCACTTTAATGTGCATGTCTCCGAGGATGCGAGGAAGCATGGACATCCTTATTACACTGACGTATTAACATTTCCTGTCTGTGTTGCCATAGGAACGCTGATGGTTCTCAAGTGTCCTTACCCCTGGCGCGTAGAGGAACCACCTATCTACGAGTCTGTGCGTGTTCACACAGCCATACAGACAGGCCGCACTGAGAATGACCTGGTGCCCAACGCTCCAGCGGTAACTAAACATTTTTGTAACCATTCATTTATCACACTTCACGCTAGAGGCAAACTCAGAGTATTGCTAAAAGAATTGTTAAGGTTTTAAATGTTGGTTCACAACTTTTCAGATGGACAGCTGGGATTAACTAATAAATACAAGCGCAGGTATTGAATATTGAAATCCATTCCACATACAAGTTGAACCAGATTGTTTTGGTATTAGGTATTCACAGTCACTTAAGATCTTAAAGTCACGTCAACTGCCAACAATAACACCTGGATGATTGGAAATGATCAACACATCTTATGAGGGCGCATTCACACTCACATAGACGGCATTACAGAGTATAAACGTGAAATCAATCAAAGACGGGTAGACTGGAGTCAAAAATTGTACACACTTCAAAATAATATTACTCAAGTAGAAGTACAAATTACAGCTCAAGTAAGTGTAATTTAAAGAGACAAACCTTCTCTGGAACGCTCTGCCTCCCCATGTCTGAACACCCCTGACAGTGGAGTGTTTTAAGTCTCGTCTTAAAACCCACTTTTATTCTGTGTTTTGTTTTGTTTTTTACTTCTTTATTGCTATTTTATGATTTTTATGTTTTTTAGTTTTTATTTGCTTTTACAGGTTTTATTGTCTTAAGACTGGTATCACCAAATTTTAGCAATTTACCTTTTTGTTGTCTTCACTTTAAGATCTCTGAGCAGCATGATCACACTGAGCAGAAACTGTTTTGTTTATAAAATGTGCTATAGAAATAAAGTGGATATGGATTTGAAATAATGCACAAAATCTGCTATCTTCAAAGGCAGAGTTAAGGACTTGCAAGTCGAAACTTGGACTCGAATCAGACTTGAGTCACTATTTTTTAGGACTTGAGACTTGACTTGATAAAATGGACTAAGACTTGGGACTCAACGTGGACTTGAAGGTCAGCGACTCTGACTTGAGGCCTGCAACTTGAGAAGACTTCATGCTTCTCCTAAAAAGTATTTGTTTTTTAGAAAATAAATTTTCTCTTTACAGTTGATAAACGCGGTGTTGAATTTTATTGGAGCAAACTGGAACATGTCCCTCCCACTTCTGTTTGTTACTTTGGATGTAACTGAAGTACTGTGATATGGCATCCTCAAATGTACTACAGTAACATACAGTACAATACAGTAATATACAGTACAATAAAGTAAATTTGTGGGAACTACAAAGAACACAATCCTTTCATTTCAGTGCAGACTACATCGGAATCTAGAATAACTGTTATTAAGCACTTTTAAATCTGGATTCTTTCTGTTCTGACCATAATGATTCACACGAAGATCTGGTCAAGACATTAAAAAGGGAAAAAGTGCTTTTTAAGATTCATATACATTGCAAAAATCTAAGCTATATTCGGTACTTGTTTGGTTTAAAGAATTGAAATGACTTGAAGCTCAAAGCAGACAACTTGGACTTGACTTGGACTTATGGGACAGTGACTCGAGACTCAACTTGGACTTGGGACTTGCAAAACAACGACTTGGTCCCACCTCTGTTCAAAGGATAGACACAAAAGGAAAGTTACTCTAGTAAATGTAAATAAGTAATTGTAAATACCCAGCAGGCTGCCTCCCACCTCAGCTGTAAACTACTGCCCTTTTAGAATAATATATTGACCAAAATTCTGTCTTTTGTCTTTCTTTTTTCAGCTTGGTACTAAAGAGGGCTACTTAATCAAACAAGGAGCTATAGTGAAGGTAAGAAGTGGTGATCTGATCCACTATCGGATGCATTGGCTGGAGTCTCTTTATACTGAAATTATTGTATTTATATGCACAGAACTGGAAACAGAGGTGGTTCACGTTGAATCGATACGAGCTGAAGTATTTCCGAGACAGAGAGGTGAGTGCGTAGTGTACTAGTTAGGTTTGATAAGCATTCATAGAGTCACTCCTGATGTTTGTGTGTATCTGTGTGTAGTGTGTAGAGCCAATCCGGACTCTGGACCTTAGAGAGTGCTCTGCTGTTCAGTTTGACTATTCCCAGGACAGAGTTAACTGCTTTTGGTGAGTAATTACCTCATACAGTGTTAATCTTTATTGTGGCTACATTGCTTCCTACATTATTTTAGTGATGTTTTTGTTAGGCTTAGGGAATGTGCAATCAAAACTGCACATAGGCTTAGGGAATGTGCAATAATTAATAGAACAGAAGAATGCAAGGGTTTGCCTGTTAAAGATAATTTAAGGGTCCTGTTGGTGCATCAGTCGTGGTCATACTGGTCTTATATTTACTTTGTTTTATGGTGTTTGTTTATGTGCTGCTTTGTGTTGTGTTGTCCTGTTTTTTTGATAAAGCATGTTACCCCCTGTCCCAAGATAAATTTCTCCCATGGGAGACAATAAAGGATTATCTTATCTTATCTTATCTTATCTTATCTTATCTTGTCTGGCATGTTCCATAGTATAGTATTAAATTATATTGCATTTGATTCATTATGTTTTCTTTATTGCACAAAAATACCTTGGAAAAACATTCTTCCTTAGTGCAAGTGGGGTCATCTCTCCACAGATCTGGCCTGTAACTTGGTTTTGTGGGATCACCTGCTTTTCCTCACAGAGATAGATTCGTTTAATGGCATTTTGTGGAACATTCAAGGCATAGCAACAATATATTCATGGACACTGATTGATGCACTTTTATGGGCTTTACAGTTATATTAGTTTATACAGATGTTAGAGGCCAGGTGTGTTGCCCCAGGACACAACAACACAACAGTATGCACGAATCTGAGCTGGGATTGGGCCGCAAACCTTTGAGTCTGAGGAAGACCGTACTAACTGAGCTACTGCCTCAACTGCCACAACTGGATTATTTTAGTTGGTGACGCCAATGACGACCTTTATCCTGTTAACTAGACATAGACCAGCAGATATTTGAACTTTTTAGCATGCAGTATCTAGCCTGATTTAACAGCCAGTTTCAATTCGTGGAAACTGTCTGACCTTGCAGCATTCGTTCGCTTGACTGTAGGCGGGTACTTTTTTTATAATCACTGCTATTTGGTCGTGACGTATGTAATGCACCAAATTCGGTAGGAAGAAGGGCAATAACGTCTTTCCCCTTGATAAAATTCACCAAATATTCTCTTTGTTCCGGCTTTAAATCCTTGATCTCGGGAATCGGTGCTAACACAGAATATCTGTCTTTGTCTACATCCATCTCGACCACTTTGTTTACTGTTGTGCTGTACTGTTGTGTGGCCGGTGCGCTGGTTCGGGGTTCTTGCAAACCGTCAAGTGCATTCTGATTCCTGCCCTAGTCGCTGGAGAGAAATGAAATTGAGCAGAGGCACTAGGTGGAAAATGTCTGTGTGTCTTAAAGATTTATGGTTTAAAAATGGGCTGTGGGTGAGTTTGTCGTAAAGTTAAATTACAGAATTTGAGGGAAACTAGTAGGCATGGTAGAAACCTAGTCACATTTAATCCCGATGTTGATATGGTGTTTTTGCAAACCCTTAGTCCAGGCTTTGACATGGTTTAAACCTGACTTAACTGTAGACATAATGTAAACTTTATTTTCTTGAGTCTGGTTCAGTTTAGCTTCAGATCTGGAATAATGCTGGTTTAGAATGGTCATGGTCTTTTTGTAAGTGTAGTTATGTCTTAATATGGTCCTTGCCTGAATCTATTTTAGTCCTATTTTAGCCTGGGTTTAGTGTTTGCCTTTTGTTGTTGTTGTTGTTTTGCAGGTTTTTTTTTAGATAATCAAAATCAAAATACATATCAACTCAAAAATATCGTCAGATCTTATCAGCCATCGGTTGATCTGGATTCTAAACAATCGATATCACATATCGGCTGATAATTACTCTTAACCAACCAGTAGACATTGCAATTCCTGTCATTTTAGCTAATCAGTTATTAGGAAACCGCTTTTGTTATTTTTTCTTCATTTTGACGACACTGAAACTAAACCGTCACAGTTTTTGTACATACAGTATATTTTCAAAATCATGTGTTTTAGGATGTTATGTTGATGCTCCTTCTCTACTTTGAACCGCTCCTGGATGAACGAGGGGTTACTTTGTCTTGTCCTGGTCAATATACCCAACACTGACGACACTGTGAGACTTTTAATATTGCATCGCTGCCATAGTCTCAATATTGTCACAACACCAGTGTAATAAACATAGAGCGGTGTGGGCAGGTGGCAGATATTGTTTAAAACTGTACTTTCCCTTTGTCACTCAAGCACAACTTTGTGAACACTGTGCTTGGAAATGGGGAAGTTTAACAGAGAAGGAAATGGGGGAGGGAATATCGGCTTCTATCACAGCTGTATTTAAACTCAGATTTTCGTTGCGTCGACGCGTTTTATTTTGATCTTTTTACTTTAATTTAGTAATTGTAGTGGGTGTGCTTGCCTGCTGTTGGAAGGGTAGCTGGTTTAAGCATTATCTGAGTCATGGTTTAAGTCTGAGTCTGGTTTAAGCATTATCTGAGTCATAACCGTGCCACAGTCCAATAAAAATGACAAATCTGTAATATTGTGCTTGTGTTTGTGACAAGAAGGGTAAAATATCTGCAACATAAAAAAGTGAGCTTCACACATAGTCTGTGGGTTGTGGGCTGTGAAGTGTTTAGTGATGGTGTAATATAATAATGTGTTATAATGTTGTTTCCTCATCAGAAACAGACCTCAGGTAGTTTTTTTTTTTTTTTTTTTCACACATGTTTAACTCACCAACCATGCATATTTATTCTTTTCTCAAACTGAAAACACTCTGTTCTACCTTGTGATGCCATGTGGTAATACAGGAAGTGCCCCACTGTGTTTCTAAACTCCTTCAATTTCACAAGAATCATGTGGATGGAATTGTCTATCTCAGCAGAACTGAAAGTAAAAGGTTAACGAAAACTATCACTACATGACATCACAAGGTGGCACAGAGCGTTTTGAGCCTTAGAGATGTAGACAGACTAATAATAAAGAGTTACTCAAACATGTGTGAATGAAGCAAAACACAACTCCAGGTATGTTTTGGAGGAGGTAACATGTCTTAAAGCTCCCAAGAGTAAATTTTGCGTAACATAGGACCTTTAATGTACAAAACTATTCCAGTTTTATTCTCCTGGTTTCAGTAAGGCAGACTTTGGATTTCATAATGGATATAGCCTGCATATTGACCTGCCTGTACTTTAGAATTTTTGTTTATTATTTTCTTTTATATTGAGTGTTTGTCTGTGCATGTATACTACCAGTCAAAAGTTTTAGAACATCCTCTTTCTGCTAGTTATTTATTGCAATTCAAGTCGTGCATGAAATGGTACAAAGGTAACAACTGAACAGCCAGAGGTAAAAAAAAAATAATAATAAAATAAAAAAAATGTCCAAGCGCTGTCAAAATTACCTCAGAAAAAAAACAAAACAAGATGGTGAGCTTGAAAACATGGAGTGGCCAGCACAGTCTCCAGACTTAAACCCCATCAAGCTGGTTTTGGGATGAATTTATTCAACATTTATTTTGAACGTTTTTCAAACTAAAACCAAAAATAAGAAAAAGAAAAATCAGCAGTTTTCTTCATTATTTGCCTCTAAAACTAAAATGAAAACACAATTTGTTTTTTCAGGTTTCGATTTTGTGTTTAAATGAATAATGGAAAAAATTTATCTTGTTTTTGTGGCTTAAACTGAGATGCCGGACTTTTGCGCCGCATACGGACTGAACCAGGACTAAAAAAGGTCTAAACCAGGACTAAACCAAGACTGAGTGTTGGGTGATCAGGACCAGACCAGGACTGAGACCTGGACTGAGACTGGGACCAGACTGGGACTGAGACCACAACCTGGTTTAGTCCTGCTTTAGTCCGTATGCAGCGCAAAAGTCCAGCATTGGAGTTTAAGTCACGGAAATGGGAAACGTCCGTTACCAGTTTTTTCCATTATTCATTTAAACACAAAATCGAAAACTGAAAAAACAAATCATTATCTGTTTTTCCATTTTGGTTTTAGAGACAAATAATGATGAAAATATGACAAAAAATGAATGACTAAATGATACAGTTTCAAGTGCCACACATTTATGGGAACTTCTGCAACAGACTTGGGAAGAACTTTCTGAAGAATATTTGATTTCTATTGTAAAAGAACGAGCCACGAGTGTGTTCAGCTGTTATATCTGCCAAAGGTGGACACTTTCATGAATCAAAAGTTTACAATACGTTTTGGTCAACAGTAAAAAGTAAAAAGCTGGAAAAAGTGTGGTGTTCTAAAACTTTTGACTGGTAGTGTATTTAAGATGCAGACTTTTTGAAAAGGAGAAATGTATTATGTAACACAGAATGACTCCATGTTTACAGTCTAAACGTAATGGTATATTTCACAGTATGGTGTTTCCGGAGAGGACTTTTTATGTATGTGCAAAGACCGGTGTGGAGGCTGACGAGTGGATCAAGATACTCAAGTGGAAACTGGTGAGAGCGCTGTCCGTTTTCTGAAAGTGAAAGTGAACATTGCATTAGTTGAGAGAGGAAACTAGAGTGGTATACATGACATCCTGAAATAAAATTACTGTTTTCCTTTTTGCTCTTGTTGTTTTACTGGCAAGCTAAATTTGTCAACATGTGTTTCAGTCACAGATAAGAAAAGGCCGATGACCCCTTCCGCAAGAAACCACAGGAGCTTTCATATCTTTTCATACATTCATTCTCAGTTATTTTCAGCTCCCCTATGCTTGGTATTATTTATTGACACAAAACATGGGGGACATTTGTACTACAAAATCAAAGATGCGCTCTGGTGCTGAATGAACTCTACCCACTCGACATGTGTTTGTAAGATGAAAATTGTGTTTTTAAATAAAAGTGTGTTTCTGATTTCACTGCGTCCATTCCTACCTCTACATGCACCATTTTATTTAGATTCTGGGACAACTGCAGAAAAGAGAAGTCACTGAGAGAGGTAGTTGTAGATTTGGTATTTTCTGGTATCTATAAAAAGGCAGATTAAACTCACAAATTCAGCTCGCATCTAACATACATAACCATTCACACGAACAGTGGTTTCCTCTTTACTGTGAGGAAAAACAAAAAATAAAACTCTAAAAATACATAGTTTCCTAGTACTTTTTTCTGCAGAAATTGTTGTTTTTGCATGAATTCCCTTGCAGCTGTAGTCTTGAGTGCAGTTTGGGTTAGACACATAGAAATAGGTAATAGTTTTGAGAGCTTTTGCCACCCCCTTTATAGTTGACTAACCAATCAGCAGAACATGTCTTTAGTCAGCCAGGAATTTCTTAGGTCGACTACAGCCTTCATAATACACTTAAGTGTCAGTTTGTGTGCAATATTTCCTCTTTATTGTATTTACAGAAAGCATAGAAAACATTTGACTTGAATTGGAAGTCCCTAACTGGGTTTACAACTTATGAAGAAGAGTTCAACAGTAGTAGACAGTACTTTACACACAGGTTAGTCAAAGCATTTAGATAGAACACTGCACATAGAGAGGAGGCCAGATGGGGGAGCGTTTTGAAGATCATGTGACCTCCACCACCTGCCTCAGATCGTCTATTAGCGGGGCGAGTTCTTTCTCCAGACTCATGATCAAACCTGCGCACAGAAAGTTTTAACATTTTCAGAATTAATCTCAAAACGGTGAAAGATGCTGCTAAGCAGGTGGGCTTCTAAACTTACCTGTGTTGGCATTACTGCTCGCAATGAAACTGATGACCAGAGGCAGTCGGTTGAACTGTACGATCTATAAATGAATGAATCAAATGCAAAATGACAAGGACACAATGTACCAGACTGACCACAAAACAATGGCACAACGAGTTAATTACTTCAAATTTGAGCCTGTTTGCTGACTTTACAGGAGAGTATGGTAATTACAGGGCGTGTGTGAAATACAATTATAGAAGCTACACCGTGAAAAGGGAAGTACATAAGCAATAGACCTGAACAGTTTTTAAAAGGTACTGTGGTAATTGTTTGGGGTTAACTGAAGTGCAAAACACTGCAATTAAACATATTTACATACTATGATGAAAAATGTAATATGTACTGAATAGCTTAATTGAATTATGGTTAAAATACCAGAAGTACTCTAGGAAACTGAAACCCAAATGGTATCCAGTAGGCATGTTATGATAATTATTATATGGACTTGTTCAGTATTTGAAAGCTGGAACAATATATTTTGGGGCTCAGGATTTATCATGTGTACAATTTCTTTGCAATAATGGGGAGATTTTTGCAATTTTTATGTAATACGGTTTGAGCTGGAGAAGAATGAAAGCAAAACAAACCTTCTATGGCAAGTTATTGGTTAATTCTGTCATTTATTTGTTGCAGCTCAGGCCTTTTAATGATACTGTCTAATTAAAATAGGTTTACTGGGATTATCATACTTTATGACAGTGGCATAAAGTAGTTTCAATATTAGTGTTTATTGCAATATTTCTCTGTAGCAATACATTATGCTTCAGAATTTGACATTGTGACAGGTCTAGTATCTATTTCTAACTGTTTAAAATGGAGCTGTCAGTGCTGTAAATTTAAGTGGCAGGTCTCACTGTAGTAGTTACCTGGTAAGTGTTGTAGTAGCAGATGATGCTCTTGTTCTTGGACAGGCCCAGCTTGCTGCCCTGGTCTGTGGCAAGAGCAAAGGTTGACAGGAAACCCGGTCTCAGAGCATGGACGGGGGCGTTGTCATTAGCAACTGCACAAGCCAGACAAATACAAATCAGTCTGATGTATTTTCCTCTTAAATAAATGATGACTAAAACAGAGACAGTGAGCTGGTATTTGCCCATAAATGGTGGTTTCTGCTGCTGGTTACCTTTAATAACTGGGACACCATCTCTGTCTGTCACCACAATGGCATGAAGACCTTCAACACTGTCAAGACAATACATTCACATAAAATTATTTTGATGAATGTGGTAAGTACTCATGAAAAATTCTTATGAAAACACATTTACCTTTGGAGCTGCTTGTACAGGAATCTTTTAAAATCCTGAAATGAGACATAACTTAAGTCACCTGTATTTGGTTTGTGGAAATTATATTTTGATAATTCAGAATACAAGTGTAGGCTGTATATGAGTGTATGTGATGTTTTGAGTCAGATGGAGACACAAATAAAGTCTAACATATTTGTCAAATTGCTAGAGCATATAATTAGTCTATATTTTATGGTAACAATAGGCTCTACAAGCATGAAGACTAAAAATACCAACTGAATGCCTCATTAATTGCTATATATGTCTGGCCAATTGTATCGTGACCTTTCTAATTTGACACAGAGGCCATTTCCATATATGAGAGTGAACATTATTCTTCTTCTGTAAAGGCAGCTGTCATTCACGCCCTAATGACTCAGTCCCAGAAGACAGGGACAATGCCCACACATAAGATGAGACTTGGGCACACTCACATCGGCCATGGCAGCAGGGTGGATCTGATCTGTGGCATAATACAAAAACAAAACAGGAAAACATGAGCAGCAAACACACAAGGCGCTGTAGTGTGTTAGCACTGTCACAACACGAGCCCTTTATTAAAACATACACTCCATTTAAACCACACCAGACGATCTTAAGTTAAAAAAGCAAAGCAGAAATAATTTTAAGAACAGATTTTTTTTGCTTTAGATGCGTATTTAGCCTTCAAATAAACATTTTCGTTAGAGCAGTGTAAACATACCAGTGAAGACAGCACGGGTCACATGACAGTGACAGGCCACGTGACGTCTGTTCACGCTTCCGGCTCCAGTGGGACAACAAACGGCGCCCCCTGTTGGACGGAGTGAAACTGCATGTTCTTTTTCTCCATAAAAGGGATTAAGGAGAAGTTTGTCATGGTGAAGGGAGGTGCTAAAAGAGAGGACATAAAAAAACCGTTATGTCCACTTTCAATTTTTAGAAAAGGGACAGTATGACGCCTAAAAAATACAGTTTAATGTAACCTTCTTGGTCTGTTAAAAAAAAAAAAAAAAAAAAAAAAAACAGGCCTGTCCCAAATAATTATCAGCAATAATATGAATGATTATATATATTTGGGTCTGAGCATTTTTCTTTCTTTATGATATATATATCTAATGTCACATATAACAGAAGAATAAAAACATAAACAAAAAAAAACAAAATCAAAAGCATGTTATCATTTATTTATTTATTTATTTTGGTTAAACTGAAAAACTTACATCCTTATTGTGAGCAGGCTCGCATCTCCACAAACCTGACATTATTTGGGCCACCATGGAAATATTATTTTGGCTTTAATATTCTCCGTTCTTGTCAAAGAAGAATGCGCCAAAGTATGGTTATAGCTTTCATTTTGCCACGCAATTGTGTATGTGATGTATCACCTCCAGAAAGTTACATACTGTCCCTTTAAATATTTTGTGCTAATGACCATAAATGTTGGCTGCTTATTTAAAATATGTTATTAGATATTATTTTATCAGATTAAGAATGTGGAATTACTAGGCTATTTATATTTTAGGACCCATATTACACAATTTTTGGATCTATTTTATAATATTCCATTCATCCATTCATTTTCTTCCACTTATCTGGGGCTGGTTCGTGGGGGCAGCAGTCTAAGCAGGGACTCCCAGACTTCCTTCACCCCAAACACGTCCTCCAGCTCCTCCATGGGGACCCCAAGGCGTTCCCAGGCCAGCCGAGAGACATAATCCCAATATTTTATGTTTCCTTTTCAAAAACATACCCGGAGTTGTGTTTTGTTTCATTCAGTTTCTGAAAACACGTGACTGTGTGTTTTTAAACTCCATAAACCTTCAGTAGTCAATTCAGTAGAGTCATTTCTGCATAATACAGGACCTTTAACTGATCCCATAAATGCCGCATCACAAAATATTTTGATACACACTTTCTTTCTGAGCAGTTTCTTACTACTATATTGTTGTCTTCACTTATCTCGCTCTTTCTATTGACTGACATTGCACTTTCTCCACAGGCCTCATCCAGCATGCAGGAGAGAAGCTTTGGCCTATAATCCCCTCCCACATCTGCAGTTTCATCTGGACGAGCTTCTTATATCTGACCCTAAGACCGGGAGATGAGATGCTCCAAGACTCCTCCTGCTTGCTACTGCTTTTATAAGTCCATATCAATACAAATGCTGCGCCTTTAAAATATTTCACCTCATGTGGACATTTAGTGTGTGTTACTCGTTATGTAAGCTCAGCCTTTTTAACACATCTCTGTAATTATGCACAGACTGCTGGTTATATAATTGAGAGTATCTTGGGACAGCTTTCTCTTAGGTTTGCACTTGCTTTAAGCTGATTTAACACCACCGAACATCACAGCTTATGTATTGGTCATAGCAGGAGACTATTCCAGATCTGCAAGAATACAAAAACTTAAAGGGCCCATAATACGCTGTTTCTGGTCTGTGTTATAATGTTGTTTCCTCCTCAAAGACAGACCTGGAGCTGTGTTTTGTTTTAACAGGACCATGTTTAGAGGCGTGTGATGGAAATTTACATTGTGGAAAGATTTCTCTCAATCAAATCAAATCATAGATTTGTGTAAATGAATGTGATTTCTACCTAAGATCAGAGCCCTGTAGGAAAATATTGATTATGACTGATAACATTAAAATAGTGATTAATTTATCTTTTAGAAACACATTTGATCTTGTAACTAAAACTCATTTGGCCTGATAGTTAAAGTTAGTTTGAAATGTATGTCCTCTGGTCATCTCAGGCTTTATAAACTTGCTGCTTTGTAACATTCAGTGTCAAATGGGGCAAGATGTGGTAGGGACATACTGCTGGTTAAGAGAGGCTGCTGGTCTCTGGCCAGGGCAGGCCTAGACCCTGTCCGTATCTGCTGTAATAAGAATAAACCTTGGTCTATATTCCAAAAACTCATGAGGCTTCACAAATGGATTAATTATTTATCATCAAGAGATACAGTGCATTGTGTAAGTTTTCTTGTGGAGGGTTTGTCAAATGTTTTATTGCTTTGTCTGGAATGTTTAACAGTACGATATTAAACCTTTCTATCTTCACTGAGACCAAACCAGCCCAAGTTACAGGTCAGATCTGTGGAGAAGCAACCCCGATATGAGATTACTCTGTATTCTATTAGCAACACGTAAAAAGGCAATAATAAGGAAGTGGCTTGAACCTGAGCGACCAACAATTGGGAACTGGACCGTTATTGTGCAAGAGAGCTACACGACAGAAAAGGTTTCATTTTTATTGAAAGAGCAGCTGGACTTATTTGGTCTAAATGGGCAGAGTATGTAAAGCCGGTGAGATCAGACTTCATATAAAACTACTTCATATTTGTAATGTTTTGTTAATTTGTGAAACCTGCTCTGAGTTTGTGTATGTTTTTAAAAAATTGCAAAAGCAGGAACGTGTGATTTCACTTTACACATTGCAATGTATAATCTGCTTTTTCAATAAAAAATAAATTTGAAAAAAAAAAAAGAAAATACCTGTAACTGAATAAATGTAAGTTAGATCTGTTTAATGTCACACTGTGGATCATTCTAAGCAGAGCAAAGACATCCATAGGAACAAGAAGATGATGCATCTTTAAAGTCATAAGAACGCTCGCTAAGAATACTTGAAAACTTTCAAGGACTTAGTTGGCCAACATGTGTGGTGCTACTGAAAAAGAACTTGTAAAATATTAAATGACAAGACATATGTTGATCCAGTTCTGTGCTTTGATGACTCTCCAAAGCCCTGGACGTGTTTTCATTGTGTGTTTGTTTGAACTTAGCTGCTTCTACAACTTGGCTGTGGTCCATATGATGTCCAAGGTATTATGTGAGGAAACCTATACATTCACTGGCATCTCATTCCAGCTCATGTAAAAATGCACTTTTAAATGCACTTTTATGTAGGTTAATTTGCTGATCTGAAAAAGCAGTTTACCCTGAGGACTACCGAAGCCCAGATGGGATAAAACAGCCATGTCCAGAAGGAGGTTTTTAAAATGCAGAAATGGAACTGATATTTTTAAATGCTCTGATTTTTAATTTACTTTGGTTAACATCCTGAGACGAACAGAATGTGAAGATTTTTAAAAATTAATTTATGCCTTTAAACACTTTGGTAGTTTGTAGGGATGTAACAATAACCGAAATATTGTGATTTCGTATCGTCATAGTTCTCACAATAATATTGTGGACCATCACAATATATTGAATTACAAGTCTCTTTGCTTAAATTAAGAGTTATGGTGCAGCAATAGCTCAAAAAAGACAGAGGGAACTACATAGACCATGATCCTTTGCTCCATTTCAGTGCAGAATACAAGTAGAATGAACAGTTCTAGCACTTTTAACTCTTAGTTCTTTGAATTAAGTCTCGTCAAGGCATTTTAAGAGAAAAAGGTTTTGCCTGTTTGAACTCGCAATAAATATTGTACCATGAGATGTATATCGTGAAAATATCATACAAAGAGATTTGGATATTTTTACATCCCTAATCGTGAGCCTCCCCACCATATCGTGAGCTTTCCCTCAATATCACAATAAATATTGTACCGTGAGGTTCATGCAGTGACAATATCGTACCATGAGACTTGGATATCGTTACACCCCTAGTAATTTGTGTAAAAAAAATCAATATTTGAAAGGGGATTAAGCAACTAAACTGTTGGTATCAGAAACATCAGGCTGTAATCAGAGCAGACTTTTGTGATGTCTGAACTACAGGAAATCACAGAAACATTTACCTAGTTTGCAGTAAAGTTGCCAAAAATCACAAGGAACAGCAGATAATGCTATTAAAGGTGCACTATGTAACTTTTTTGGTAACCTGCTTGTTTCTTTGGATGTCATTTCTCTGCTTGGAATGTTCCATAGTATGACATTATACAGGTCTACGTCACATTTATTCAATTACAGGTGGTTTTATCGCTCAAAAAAACTAGAAAAACAGGCATTCTGACTGTGAGCGGGGTCACCTCTCCACAGATCTGAGCTGTAACTTGGTCTGGGTTGGTCTCAGTGAAGATAGAAAAGCTTAACACCATACTGTGAAACATTCCAGACAAAGCAATAACATCTCCATGGAACAGAGCATTTGATAAACCCTCCATCAGAAAAGTTACACAATGCAAAAAAGTGGAGTTAGTATTTAGCTCCTCTTAAACATTTTTACACAGATTTTACCCATAATGTAACCCTATATGAGAAACGTAAAAGGACAGAGTGTGAATTCAAATACAAAACATTTAATCTTTTATCATACATAAACATACTTTCCATAAATGCATTTTGTCAATAAAATCTCTATGAAAAGAAAACATTTTATTGCCTAAAAATGTAAGTGGTCTGTAAGCTGAAAAAAGACAATACTAGCAACTGGAATCCATAATAATGACTACACAAAGTAAAAAAGCATTTGATATAAATAATAATAATATTCTGCTAAATAAATAATAGAACATCAGTGTCACAGTAACTATACAAGCATGCTCCAGACAGTAAAGTGTGTGATTGTCTCAGAGTTGTGATCCAGATTACAAATTTACAAAATAAAAGATTTCCCTTAGAGTGCATTTGACAGGTTTTCACATTTTTCTAATTATTACGTGGTCTGGTGGGATAGTAGCAGTGGTATATATTTATCATAGTTGTGTCAGTTAAGTGGGAGTTTGTGGAAAAAGAAAAGTACAAAAAAAAAAAAATACAGGAAGTAGCAGTAGGTCAGTTCTAAAACAGAATCCCTTTGCTTGTATCATCAACATGGAAAATTCTATATAAAATACAGGGATGATTTATGACACATTTTTCTGACAGATTACACATCGATTAAATTAGATAAAAGTGTTGTCATCTATTCTATTTGTCTAATCATAACTACTGTGCAGTTTTACAAGTTCTGCCCACTTCATTTGTTTCCATACAATGCCATTTTGCACTGGTGATTATGATGGCAAAGGTTTTGACAAAGTATTTTTTTACATTCAGATTAATGTTAGGAGTAGCTTTAGGAACAGTTAATAATTTTTTTTTGTAAAATGAAAATCTAAATAGGACCTGCAATGTGCACTGGGGCGGTTTGCAGCTGAGTGTGAAGCGGCTGGGATGAGGATCAGCTCTTCTAAATCAGAGGCCATGATTCTCAACTGGAAAAAGGCGTCTTGCCCTCTCCGGGTGGGTGGAGAGTCCTTGCCTCAAGTGGAGGAGTTTAAGTATCTCAGGGTCTCATTCATGAGTGAGGGGAGGATGAAGCGTGAGATTGACAGGCGGATCCGTGCAGTGTCGGCAGTGATGCGGTCACTGTATCAAACTGTTGTGGTGAGGAGGGAGCTGAGCCGAAAGGCAAAGCTCTTGATTTACCGTCAGTCTATGTTCCTCCCCTCACCTTTGGTCATGAGCTCTGGGTAATGACTGAAAGGGCAAGATCGCGGATACAAGCGGCCAAAATGAGTTTCCTTCACAGGGTGGCTGGGCACTCCCTTAGCGATAGGGTGAGGAGCACAGTCACATTGGAGGAGCTCGGAGTAGAGATGCTGCTCCTCCACGTCGAGCGGAGCAGTTGAAGTGGCTCGGGCATCTATTCCGGATGCCTCCTGGGTGCCTCCCTCGGGATGTGTTCTGGGCATGTCCCACCTGAAGGAGGCCCCGGGGAAGACCCAGGACATGCTGGAGGAACTATGTCTTTCGGCTGGCCTGGGAATGTCTCAGGGTCTTCCAGAGGAGCTGGAGGAAGTGTCCGGGGTGAAGGAAGTCTGAGAGACCCTGCTTACACTACTGAACCCGTGACCTGGCCCCGGATGAGTGGAAGAAAATGGAAGAATGGATGGAAAATCCTAAATAATTATGTTAACTCCTTTTTAGTGAAAAAAGTACTCTAACCTGTCATATGCACTTTCATTTTCTTTTTCTTTTTTACATTTGAACACAGTTTTAGCTTAAAAATAAAAGTCTCATTGTGCATCTCTGGAAATGTGCTTGACTCTTTTGTAAGTATACAAAAAGTATTTCTCATCACTCAAAAATGTCTACGCGTTAAATTCAACACTGTCAACAACAAGCTTGTCTTCATTCAACGCAATGACAAATAAATATTCCAGTCTTGGTTCAAACGTACAAACGCTCATGAATAGCTCAGAGCAGTCCGTCAGTTTTAAGAGGCTGGGTCAAGAAGGCAAAGATCCATCTGTCTAGGCCCCAGTGCCCTAGATCCACTCAGCGAGAGCCCCATCACCATTACGACCATCATTAGGAATATATGGACCAGTATATGATGTTAAAGAGGATGTACGCTCCGGGAAAGACCACTCTGGAGTATTTGTCTATGGCGTGCGTGTCGATCCAAATGTTCACGTAGCCCCTCCCCTTCACGTGGCCGGTGAGCTGGGGGTCGTTCAGTGCCACCTGGGCTAACATGCGCTCCTGCCGCCCACCATTCTCAGGCATCCCATAATGCCCTGTGGTGTTAGGGTCCATGGAGCCGTAGCCCGTGATCTGAGGGTCTATCATGATCTCGTCTGGATTGCCAATACCACACGTGCATGGCAACTGCAAGGAAGATAGGGTTGGGAAGACAGTGTCAGATTCTAATACTAACAATGATGATAATATTAAAAAAAAAACACTCTTTCTTTAGACAACAAATTATTCATCAGTTAATTTCAAGAATAAATTGTAGTACTTTCTTTTAAATTACCACGTGGCCTTATATCTGTGTAATCCCTCAGTGGTCCAGGTAGTCTATGTGCTCTTCTACTTGTTCTGATACAGCTCAAGGTCATTCTAAAGCTTCAGGAAAGGTTCATTTCGGTCCTGTGTGACGTTTTAGTATTGATACTTGCTCAAATTACTATTTAGTTTCGATACTAGTTTTAAAATCAATTAATATCTGTAAAGCTCTATGTAGACATAAAAAGCACAAATTATCTTTATTTTATGACATAATGACATAAAATAATAATAATAATAATAATGTCATAATGTCACTAATTTAGTTTCAAGGTCAATTTAAGAGGAAGAAATACTTGAAGGTAACATTTGTGGTTCTGCAATTTGATTGTCTTTGTTTGTTTGATTGTCTTTGTTTGTTTGGAATGTTTATGGCATTGAATTGCAACGATTCAATCAAAGAAAGTTTATATTGCTCATACCTACTCTGAAAAACATGCATTCTTAAGGCCTATTCATACCTCATAAGAACATAAGAACTTTGTTCTTGCTCTTATCACGTCAAGAACAAAAACAAAGCTCTTATGAAGTATGAATAGGCCTTTAGTGTGAGCAAGGTCTCTCATGCTTGTCTCCATGGAGACAGGGAAGTTTATTGCCGTACCGTGAAACATTTCAGGCAAAGCAATAACATCTCCATGGATACAAGAAGGTAGTGGACCCTCTACTAGAAAAGTTACATAGTGCCCCATTAAATCTTCATGCAGCACAGTTAAACCTAGATTCATTTCATGCACATAACGTTCCTTCACATCAGAGGGGACACATTTTAGCTGGATGTTATTCTTACTTCTCCCTGAGGCCGGCACTGAAATTTGGCTCCATATGCCACAGCATTTGGCACATGAAGAATTAACGATTTTCACAAGCTGCAGTCTCAAAATGTTTCTCTGAGAACATCTTATAAATTTTAAAAACGTGTCTTTGGAGATAAATTATGCCAAACTTATTTATTTTCTGGGATACCGCAAACACACTTCTCCAGTACTTTGCGAAAATGTGAGTCACAGTTTTCAGATGGGCGGGATTGACAGATGGATTAACTAGTGATGCAGCATTGTCCACCCGGATCAAAACAAATATCACTACTTATGGAAAAAAAACAAAAGAAAAAAAATTCTAGGGAAACAATGAGCAAAGCACTAAACTCATTCATTAAAGCTGACAAATACCCTCCTTCGTTTCACGTGAGTGTGACTGCACGATCACATTCATGACCACACAAAGCCACCCCAAGGTTATAGTGCACTTTTAACCCCAAAAACAATGGAGTGATTTGTGTTGCTGCAGTGAGCTCACCCTCTCTCTGAGTTTCCTCTCTTTCCTCTCCTGCACGGTGGAGAGGTAGTTGACCGCGGCGTACTCTATGACAGATAGAAACACAAAGACGAAGCTGACCCACAGGTAGATGTCCACAGCTTTGATGTAGGACACGCGTGGCATGGAGGCGTTCACCCCCGTGATGATGGTGGACATGGTCAGCACTGTGGTTATGCCTGGTGGGAGAAAATTATGATATCTAAGGTATTTAAGTTTGTAGATCAACATGAAAAAATCAGAAGAACCAAAAATTGTGTTGTCAATTTGGTTTAGGTATTTGCTGACAGATCTATCAAATTCAAAGGGCCCATATAATGCTGTTTTCTCATGTTATAATGTTGTTTCCTCATCACAAACTCCATAACCCTTCCAGTCTTTGGAGTTAGCTGTTAACTTAATCTGTAGAGGTATTTTAGAACACATGTACTGAATAAATGGAAGACAGACCGGGTTAAATTTGAATGCCATACTGTGAAACTGTGCGACTGCAACAAAACACAATTCCAGGTACGCTGGAGGTAACAGCATTGTAACACAGCTTAAATTTAGTATAATATAGGAGTTATCCAATGGTACTGCAGATTTGTTGTGTAAATGTGTGAAAATGCACAATCCAGATGAAAGTACACTTAGTAAAGAACCATGTGTTACCTAGAGGCACCCTGGCAGGCACAGCCCTCCGGTCGATCCAGAAGGACACCCAGGACAGCATGACCATGAGCGTGGCCGGGAAGTACGTCTGCAGCAGGAAGAAGAAGATGTGGCGCCGCAGAGTAAAGTGGATGTACAGACGATTGTACCAGCCTGGAGACAAAGATACTGTTACACACTGAAAACACTGTGCTGAGCTCCTCTGTCATGGACTGATACTTTATCTGTGTGCGAGAGGGAGAACGCTGCAGGCTTTTAAGCTGCCTACAGACGCTACAATTTCATTTTGGGATTAAGTGAATCCTATTATGTCTCTTTAAGTTTTTAAAAACAAAATTGCTCCATTTTACTGAAAAGGTTGGTAGCACTACAAAGTAAAAATGAATACTGAAATGTCACAGTGGTAATAAAAACATCTTTTGGAGCAGACAACTTTTTCAAAACAATTTTTCTAACCGTATTTGTGCAAGCTCAAAGATAGCAATAAGCTTACTTCAGGATGGGTCTGTGTGTCTCACATGTTATCCCTTTATAATAATTATATAATATAGTTATTAGCATGACATGTCTTAAAGGTGCACTATGTAACTTTTCTAGTAGACGGCCCGTTTGCCACCTGCTTCACTTCCTGTTCAATGTTCTACAGCATGTCATCAAATGTATCCAGTATTTCCAAGGAGACAAGAGCACTAGGCTAAGTTACAGGTCAAATCTGTGGAGAGGCGATTCCACTCACTGTAAGAATGTAAGTTTGGGAAGGTATTTTTGAACACATGTAATGAATAAATGGAAGACAGGCATCTTTTAATTAATGGCATATTGTAAAACATTCCACTTAGTGAATACTTAATGAAAACCCTAACCTTATTTCATATCCTAACCCTGACTCTTAAGGTGTAGCTCTTATGAGTGTGTCCAAAAGGGTCACTGGCTGCTCCATACCTGTGCTGCTGTAAAATGCCAGCTTGGTGGTGGTGTGGAACTTCTGAATGAGGAACTGGGACAGAGAGATTCTGTCATCAGTGTTCAGAGACTCGTTCCCTTTTTTCCAGTAAAGCATGAGGTCATCATCTGTGTAGGCATCTGCAAATGAAAAACAAAACAAAATGTAAATGTACTTTGTGAATACTTACTTCTTGGGTTTGTTTATGAAGAGCCCAAGCACAGAATGCACACTCACAGCTCTCAATCTCCAGTGAGCATGTTTGTGTGTCCAGGGGGAAGCGGCTGAGGTCCATGTTGCACATCGCTGTAACTGTGACTCTGCAGAGAAAGAAGAAAAATGGAAATCAGATGGAACCAAACAAGCAGAACAACAAACAAAATAGCCTGACCATTCTGAGCTGTATTACTGTCTGTGTATACTCTGTGAACACTCAAGAGTCGCCCAGGGACATTTAAATACACCACAGAGATTATAAATAGCTGTCAAATGAACCAAATCAGTTAAATTCAAGCTCATTAGCATGTGTAAAACTAATGATTCAGAATCCTAAATTCCCATAATAAATGGGGCACTCAGTGACTGAGGCTGGAGCTGGGATCATTTGCATTCCCTGCAGGGCCCTGATGCTTCAGACAGATAGTGGTTCTTAGTTTAATTTGTGCCTTTATCTGTCCTCCTCAAAGCCTTTCTGGATCATTGCAGCTGCAACACACAGACCACACACACCACATTTAGACCTGCTGTGCATCTGTACTTTTTATACGTTATGGTTCTAAATCAAATTACTATGCTGCAAAATGATCTCACATGTATAGTCTTATTACATCTCATTGTCGATTCACTGGCATGCCTCTTCAGTCTGGATGGCTGATGTCCAATCATAACATCGGATTTTATTTGATTCTAGGAATGTAATGAATAGTGATGTAGGGGAATATCATCCCATCATATCATCATATAACATCCACAGAAGTGGGTAGAGAAATTAAAAGGGTGACAGGTCTTACTTAATTTCAATGCATGCCCTTATTTTTATTTGACAGTAGTTAATATGATTATTCTTTGTTTAATGTTGCACCATAAAACTGAAGCTCCTAGTTTGTGAATTTTGTTTACTTACAATGGCAATAAAACATATTCTGATTCTGAAGTTTTAGTATCAGGGTTTCAGCTAAAGTCTGCAACTGTCTTCCTGAAAATGTGAGACAGCTCCCCCTACATTTCAAATCCAGGCTCAGAAAGGCCTAAAATAATCTTGAAAATTATTCTATATGTTTCATCTTTGCTGTTACGTAAAGCGCTGAATTACTTTGGGAACAAATTGTGCTCTATAAATAAAAGTTCCCTTGCCTAGTTCTAGTTTTTTTTGTTATAATAATAAATAAATAAATAAATAAAACCATTAACAAAAGTCAGTTTTATCTAGAAATTTGACGAAGACAAACTCAGATAGCCTCCATTTGCTCATATTAAAAAACTTATAAAAACAGAATAAAGGCTGAAGGAGTGAGACCTGAGGCTGTAGAGCACATTCCCATCGGGGTAAACGCGCAGCATGACGTTGTCCGTGGTGGTGTCGTGGATGAAGGAGCGTTTGGAGTGAACGAAAAACATGTCCGGCACCCAGATCTTCTTCACCAGGCGCGAGTCAAAGGTCATGCTCTGATTATTGGTGCTGGGGAAGGACAGGCGCTCGTCCTTCCAGTAGTGACGCAGGTACAGGGTCATGGTGAAGTCCTGGAGGAGAAGAAATCAACAAGCAACTATTTTAAGTTTTTCTTGTGTATTTGAGCAAAATTTGTCTTACTCCAGTACAGATATATTGTAAAAACAGCTTGAAGTCAAATAAGTCTGCCACTCCACAACTAGCATGCTAATAGCGCACCAGCCTTTCTTTGTGGTTCTTGGACAATAAAACAGATGCAGACAGAGCATAGCAGTTTCATTTTGACCCTAAGAGCTGTTTTTTTTTTACTTTATTACATGAAACAAATTAGGTACAGCCTCTTTAAGTTCCATATTTCTTTGGAGACAATACTACAGAAGGGGTAAAATAAAGAAACATTTGGAGTAGTGGAGGATTTGTTAACAGTTCTTACCATATCCACCTCCGAGATTGTGTCGAGACTTTCAACCTGGACATCTACTCCGACAGGAATGGGGGGACCTGAAAAAGTCCACATCAGTTTTTTTTTTAAGTTTTTTTTTAAATTAAATAATTTTGCAGCACTACAAAACAAAAACAAAACAGACATCAACTACATGGATCATGACAGAAAGGGTCCAAGCTTAAGCAAAAGTACCAAACCCTATTAAACAACAACCAAATTCCAAGAAAGAAAAGAAAGAAGCGCATGAACAACAAGTTTGCATTTACTACTTCACTTACGACTCGCTGTACATATAAGAGACAAAATTAAAACAAACAAAATTTTATGCATAATTCATTCATTCCAGAGCTCTATATCTTTCAAAACATAACGCTTTATACTCTTCACTCAGGTTGTTCCATAAATATAGAGGGGTTACCTCTACCAAAAATGCAATCACTTTTTTTTCCTTAGTTCTTATCTTCATTTATTTATTTTTTTTTAAAGATGCCAGCTTTGATTTGTTTTTTGTTTTTGCTTATGGTCATACAAACTAATAATAATGTTAACAAAGGCACAGAAGTTTATCATTTATGATTTTAGAAAATAAACCATAATGAGAATGAAAAAATATAAGGATTTTTTTGTTTTCGTTTATGTTTGTACAAACTGATACTAATGTTAACGAAGGCACAAAAGTTTATCGTTTATGATCGTACAAAATAAAATGCAATGTTAAATAAAATGTTGATGAAAAGCGTATGTTTAATCAATAGTCGTGGTCTACCTGTGGACACAGTAGCTCTAATCTAATTGTTTTTTTCACATCAGTATTTAAAAAAAAACATCATCAGAGCATGAAACAAAATTAATCTTGCAGCTCACAAAATGTGAATCTGCAGAGACTTTTACCTTTGATCTATTTCACCCATCAGAGAGAATTTTCATCTCTCAAATTCTTCATTTTATTGCTAAAAACTCCTGTGACAGAGAGGATGGCCTTTCAATCACAACTTTCATCTTGCAACAGGAGTAGGCGGCATGTTGGCAGAGTGGTAGAAAAGGATTCGAGTCTCTGTTCAGATGGGGTCATTCTGTGTAGACTGCATGTTCAGCCTGTCTATGGGTGGGTTTTTCCAGGCAGTTAAATTTCTCCTATCAACCTAAAACATGTAGAACTCCAGAGAGGCACAAACTCTGGGGATGAGTCTCCATTAATACTGCAGAGGGCCACTCATGTTCAAATTCATATTTTCAGAAAACTTAACCTATTTTGACCATATCTTAACTTTATATAATGTTGATAATGCAAGTGTGTATTAGTGACACTTTGCAATTTGCAGGTGGGGGTGCTCTACATGTATCTCTATTGGCGGAATGTTCAGCACTTTCCATGTTGACACAATGCACACATGAGCAAACACTGACTTACTTACTTAGATTTAGACTAAACTTTATTGATCCACAAGGGGAATTGTTTGGACAGAAAAGTTTTCAGGTTGTGTGAAAACTCAAGAATGCAAAATTGATTCAAACAGCGCATTTTCAGGAGTGATCAATATAAGTGTTCATGGTCCAGTTTAGGTTTTGATTTTCAACAAAAAAACTTGAGAGTGACTAACAAAAAACTGTTAGCTTATGCTAGACATCAATATGCTGACATCAACTGTAAAGTACCAATTAATGATTTCAGTCCCCACAATGATTTAAATACTCACTCACTGCTCCTGACAGATTGGTCAAGCAGTATTGAAGAATGGGTCAAATGCAGAGGACAAAGTGATGGACACATGTGTAAACATCTGCGTCACTGCGTCCCACAATGAGGTCACAGTAATGAACCGAGGTCGATGTGATGGAGGATAAAATCTCTTTTTGGGCAAACCCAGCACAAACATCACACTAAATGTCTAAATGTGCCCTGGTGAAAATGGATTGTGTTGAGGGTACCTCGGGTCATTCCAACAGCAGATTGTGGTGTGATTAAAAAACACACTGTGTGGCACTAACCAAAATAGCATGTGCTGTATCACTTAAGCGTCAAAGCAAACACCCATCTGGCAGTGCACTCATATCAAATAGAACAGTTTTTAAATGGGAAGAAAGACTGTGAATGAATTGACCGTGAAAACAATGTTTTATAACATTTTGTTCTAGGACGGAATGATTTTGGGGAAAAATTTCTGACAACCATTGTGATTGCAATTCGATTTGTGAATTATGTTGTAATTGTGTTCTACAAAAGACTGAAAAATGAAGTGACAAACTAATATGAGAATCACATTTCAGAACATGTTTACATAAATCTAAAACACAGGGTTAGCAGCTTTACTGTATGTAGAGATATTTTGCTTGTGGAGGAAATGATGATACTTGGTGATTTACAAATTGCATCCATTCAGATTGCTTGATTTAATTTTGATTAATCTTGGGGCCCTATTTTGTTATATTTTTTCTTAAAATAGTAAGTCTGCCTATATCTAGATCCCACAGTAAAAACATAAAGAAACTAATGCACTGATACAATACTGGTATGTGATATTGGAGCCGATATTGAAATTTTGGTGGAACAGTCCAAAGATACTGGTTCAGCCGATATCCCATTTTGGTGTATAATTTGGTGTAATAAGACGATTTGCTGGAATGTTGGTCCAAAACATCTCAGAATATTAAAATTGTGTTTTTACAAAGCTGTTCTGTAATAAATAATAGTCACAAAACACACTTTTACTGTAGGCTACTTGTGCTTAAAGAAAATACATTTTCTTTTCAGTCTCTGTCCTTCTATCAGCAGATATCGGGTATCGACATTAGTAACAGAACAGAGAAAGCTGGATTGGTGCATCTCTAAAAAAAAAAACGCCAAATCCCTTTAATATACAAGGAGACAAATGACATGCCCTGACACTACACAGACAGAGAATGTAACAGCTCCATCCAGCTGCCTGGACATCTCATTAAGACTGGAGCTTAGCCTTAGGAGCAACCAATGACGTCTTATCCCCTCACACTGGATGACCCATAATCACATATATAAGCATAGCGCACGTTACATACACTCATGCACACGTACACAGATATACACGCATACGCACATACACAAACACACACACACACACATGGAGTTTGATATAGTTTACCTCCAAAAGCAGGTCTCATGGTGAAGTCATGGTCATCTATTCTCAGGAGCTGCTCAGATTTAGTCATGAGGGACTTGGTCATGTCTGGACTGCGCTTGTAGATAGGACTGGAAGCAGATGTAGAAGAAAGAGTGATGGATATGTTAATAGATAAGACTAGGGCTGCAAAGAACGGGTAGTTTTGTAGTCGACTAATCAGCAATTAATTCTGAACCCAAAAAAATTGAAATACGGTGAAGGCTTGTAGACAGTGAATATTTACAAATAGTTTAAGTGTATTAATCTAGTTTGCCATGTTTTAAAAATACCACTATTTTTCAATAAAATGTATAAAATGTGTCTTGACATGTAACCATAACGATTATCTAAACATGATTACAACTGCTTTAATAGTTGAATACGCAAAATGTGTTTCAAATATAACACAAAATATCACATAAAATACTGACCCTCCAGTTTTGTGGCCTCCACCATCATCCATGCGAGCTTCTCTTCGTGACCTTCAAATGGAGAAAAGTTTCAGTTAGGTTTAAACAAAGAAGAATTACCAAATAAAATATTGCAATTAGAATACAAAATTAATGTGTGACTAAACTTGATATCTGACTATAGGTCACAATAATACAAATAAACAATAAATAAATAAATAATTACATTAATTAGTTAAATATAAAATAAAATAACCTAAATATAATCTAATTAATCTAAAAGGAAAAGGGAAAGATACAAAACCCTTTACTTAATTTCACTTATTAAAACGTTCTTATTTAATTTAATTTATATTATATTATTTCTTTTTTCTTGTCTTATTTATTTTTTCTTTTCCTTTTGCATCTATTATTATCATTATTATTATTAATTTTCTTCTCTGTGGTGATGGACCCATATACACAAGCTTGCCTTTGGGGAGTCCATGTTTTGTTTTAGTTTTTTCACAGTAAACACATATGGCATACATAATATAAATCAAGTACATGTACATATTTATATATATGTATAAAGGTGTACCTTGTGGGATTATAATTTAAAATTGTGGAAAAAAAATAAAATTGAAATGAACTGAATAAATGCGAATAAATACATAAATACATGGGGCTCAGGATTTACAGTATTATTTTTATATAGTGCGCTAAAGTGCTTTAGTGTAAGACAATTACTCATTGATGGTTTCTGCAGCAATACTATATGTTGTACTTAAGAGATAGGTATGCATGAAGATATACACCTTTTTTCTAAATTTAGCAATAATAGGACTGTTTGTCGTTTGTTTATTCTATTATTATTCTATTCCTGAAATGTGTATAAAATTGTAGCCCTGACTTTATAGGCCATAAGAGGTTGCTGCAGTTACAATTAGCGCCACGTGTTAAAATAAATAAAAAGCTGACGCACACGGACATCTCTTCAGCTGCTTATTTAGGCCACATGCAGGAAGAGAGATGAATTCCCCAAATCCTAAAATGGATTAATAGAGTAAAGCATGCTGTGGTTGACGGGACAAATCCCTGACATGCATTTAGGAGCTACGAGTGACACAGAATGAGGGAGCGGGCACAAAGGCACAAAGGCAGAAGGTGAGAGGGGAGGGTGCTCATGCTGCTGGGGGCTCATGGCCAGTGGGTGCTACTCATCTGGGTCTCTGCAGCATCTGAGAACTAATCCTCTTGGCAGAAATGTCTCTCCAATCCTCTCTCCTCCACTCTCCCTCTCGTCTCTCTCCTTCACTCTCCCTCTCAACTCCACTCTTTCTCTCTCCTTCACTCTTCCTCTCTCCTTCACTCGTTCTCTCTTCTCCACTTTCCCCCTCCCTCCCTCTCTTTTCCACTCTCCCTATTTCCTCCACTCTCCCCCCTCTCCCTCTCTCTCCTCCACTTTCCAACTCTCTCATCTGCCCTCTTCCTCTCTTTCACCTTCCCTCTTGCCCTCCCTCTCTTTCTCCCTTTCCCTCCCTCTCTCCTCCACTGCCCTCACCCTCTTTCTTTCTTTCTTTCTTTCACTCTTCCTCCCACTCTCTCCCTCTGCCCCCCCTCACTACCCCCATCTCTCTCCTTCACTCTCCCTCTTTCTCACGTGCCCTCTCTCTCCCTTTTACACTTTCTCACTTCCCTGCATCCTTCAATCTTCTCTTACTCCCTCCCTCTCTTTCCTGTTTCTGCCTGTTTTTCTAGGTATTTTTGAGAATCTTTCTCCCACTCTCTCCCTCTGTCTCCCCTCTTCTCTCTCCTTCACTCTTTCCCCCTCTGTCACGCTCCCTCCCTCTCGATCCCTCACCATAGATGCATATTAGAGGTAATAGGATGCATTTTGTAAAGGTCAACCTGGAGATTTATGCACACAAAACGCAGCGATTCTATTCACACTATAACCTTTGATATGTTTAAGAAGAAGCACCATGCATCCATCCACACAAGGACCCTATATTCTCATAAATATACTCTACACAAAGGTTGAATTCAAAGGGGATTATCTGAGAAACATAGACAACATTTTTCCATATCTATATTTTAAGATGCTCTGGAAAAAAATGCAAGTAAAATAAAACAATAGGAAGATATAGCAACATTCTTTCAGTCTCTACTACGACTCTAATTCTGCTCTCGTTTATTTTCTATGTCCTCTTATATTGGTATTTTTACTCCGTGATGGGGCAAGCTTCTGTTGTCCCGGACAACTTCCCCACACGATAAAAAAGAAGCACGCTCTGATTCATTGTGCGTAAGTGATGACCAACTTCCAGCACTGTTTCTGAGAAAAAAGATTGACATTTTTTCATTATAATCTTGTTTTATAACTAGACATATTGTTCAATGTTCCAGGCTGTAGAAATAGCAGCTGTTGTGAGTGATATGTTTTGGCGAGTATCAAAGGGCACCAGGATTACGGCCGAACGGGGCATTCTGATACAGCCTCATTACTTAGCGTCGCCGGGCAAACCTTATCAGACCAATGACACATTCACCCACACACGCTGAACTTGTACTCGATGCAATCAAGAGCTCTTCTTACAATACAATGAGTTCTGTCTTCTTTCTAATAGGGATTGTTCAATATTTCATCTCTATTTTTTTCTACCAGTGCGCTAAAGAATTCTCTGCTATGAATGTTGTGTTGTTGTCTTGTGTTTCTATTTGTAATTTTGTTGTTTACTTTATCACATTAAAGGAATCTTGAATCTTATATTCCCATTTTTGCTCATGAGTCTATTCAAAACGACAGATTTGACAAGGACAAAGTGGAAATGAAACACAGGCACACACAGGCTGGGATAGTTTGGAAAAATATCACTGCCAATTCTTGCAAAATTCTCAATATTGAATGAATAAAGATACTGGAAATGAACCATCCTAGAATGCAGTATTTCAAGGTAGCATTCTAAGTATCTATAATAAGATGAAGAGTTCCTATAAGAGCTTTTTCTTTTTCATAGATGTGATGCCATAAGTTACCACTGATAAGGTGAGTAGTATTTATAGGTTAATAGCTTTATATTAGCTCTACTGAAGCCTCCGCTTTCTCTCTTTCTTTCTTTTTTCTTTTCCACTTTTCCAAGAACATCTCCAGCGATTACACACACTACAACGGAAGAGTGGGCAGACCTGAATGGATACTAACTATATACTAACTACACTACATACTACTACTATATACTAAAGAAGGTCATGTCTCCGGGTACACACATCCAGATTTGAAACATTTCTACAACAACTGGATTAAAGACAAAAAGTTACAAGCAGTACATTTATTAATTTGGGACGTCTTGTGGTTAAATCATCTAGCACTGTAAATTGCGATATACTGTAATGAAGAAACAAGAACTAAGTAAAAAAAAACAAAAAAACAAAAATACGGCTGGGTATCATTAAGAAGCTGCCGATACGATACATATCTCGATACATAGGCCACGATACTCGATACAGTAAACTTACAATTCAATGTGATTTATTTCAAATCGATTCGGTGCGGTTCAATAAAAAATAACGGCTAAATCATGGCTGAGATACTAAAAGTCTTTGTTAAACCACTTCTTGTGCATAGTTCATATAAAACGCACCTATTTTAATCATCAGAACAGTGAAAATGTCAAATGTGTCGCATTAACAAGTTTTCTTCCTCTAAACAAGCAACAAAAATGTAGCGCTGTAACAAAATAATTTCATAAAATATACCAAAAAATACTCTTGCAGATATACAGTATCAATACAGCAGCCCATGATATTGATACTGTATAATCACATTAAACGATACGATATATTGATATTTTGATATTTTTGCACACCCCTAATAAAAAATTTTAAACTTAATGTAATTTTTTATTTCATCCATGCTTTTTGGAAATGTATTTTGTTTCTGAAATACGTAATGGAAACTAAATTGAATAGCCTTTTCCAATGAGGTTCGCTCCATCACTTAAACCATTGATGCACAAAGGTAGCAATTAGCCTAAAATAGTGACCTAAAATGACTTTGAATGCTGTCCGCGGCTAAATGGCTTTTGATTGGCCGGAGGCGGTTATGGGCTAGCAGAACACAACACGGGGAAGTAGCACAGAAATAGATGTGGGGATTTAGGTCTTCCTCTCTCTTTCGCTCTCTCTCTCTCTTCAATCTGGCGTCTGAACGAAATGTGTGCGGCCCTGACCCCTCCCCTACAGGTTGATACATGGAACACGGGACTAAACTGTGTAATACAAGCAGTGACCTTCCATGCCCAGTCCTGACCTGGTCTCAAGATATGACAACACGAAAGATGGTTGTATTATTAGATATGTTGTACTGTATCGCACAATGCTACACAATATTAAACCAACATAATTATGGGACTGGGTCTCCTTTAAGGGTCTTTATACACTTGAGGAGTGATAATAAAATGTCAACTGCCGAAAGTTTAGGATGTTGATTAAAAAATTTTATAAAAATTAACCTGGACTGAACATAATGAATTATTTTAATATGATTTATGTTAGCTTATGTTCCTATACTATACATAAGAGTGTTTTATTACCATATGATTTTCCTTTTTGTTCTTCAAATGTGTATTTTTTATAGTACAAGCACATTGGATTTATGTTCATCATAGGAACTGTGCTGTGGTCCAAAGCAAGAAAAATATCTGATGGAGGCTTTTTTTGCTGAAACGTTATTTTGAAAATAAAAAAGCTTTTGGACATCAGCCATTTGAGTGTGCTATGCATTTTTTCACTTTTGTCTTGCTGCTCCTTGCATTTGCACCTCTATAAAAGTTTTGGTGTGCGTTTTTGGTTTCTTTTGATATCATATGAACTGTGCAATATGAAGAAAATTATTATGATATATTTTAATATTAATATAGTATCTATTAATGTTCACTGCTTATGGCAGTTTTTGAACCATATCTTTTATCTTTTACAGTTAAATCATTTTACCTAATATTTGTCAATGTTGTTCTACTTTATGTTTGTAGTCGCAGTAATAATGCAAGCTTGAGTTTGACTAAATGTGTATTCTGTATTCTCATTGAAATTTATGAATTATGGTTATGGAGTTTTGCAGGTCTATATATCATACATTGATTCCAATTTGGAGATTTTTATTTTATTTTTTTTATGGCTGATACTACATACATTATGGACAGTAACAAGGCAAATAGACATACACAGATATACAACCATTCACTCTCATATTAATTCACGTAATTTAACAAGAACTAAGCTGTATTTGATCAATATTTATCAATGCTGAAGCCTAAGCACCACTCTAAACATTTGTTTTTTTGAAATCCAGAAGTACACATTCAAATGTTACTAGATATTACATATACAACAACTTTTCACAATTAAAAACAATGTAAATATGTAAAAAGCCTTATTGTCTGTGGTCTTGGTAACAGAAAAACATACTGACAGTTAATATGTATAATCTCTTTTCTAACTGTTGTATTTATTACCTGCTTTGTTTGTAGGTCTCCAGCTTGTGACCCCTGGCCTGGCTCATCTTCCCAGTGGCCCCGGAGAGGAACCAAACACAGAGCAGCGCCAGCACAGCATCCACCTGCATTGTTCCGTGGAGGATGAGAATCAAGAATCACTCCCCTCCGAATCCCAGAGCGCTCCGGTGTCCCCCTCACGCATTCCCCTGCTCCCCTCCTCCGCGCGTGCCTGCCAGAGTGAAGAGAGAAACAGCACTAGTACAGAGACTCCACTGGCACTGTTCTACATGGAGTGGAAAACATCCTACGGTGGTTAATCTGCGCAGTGGGAAAAGCAATTTTGACTAAAGCCATAAATCCTTGCGCGTCAGATGGTCCAGATTTGATCCCTTCGCTGTGGCGGATGTGGCCGGCTCTGAGCTCTGCCGTGCATGTGTGCTCTGCTCTACTCTAATGCGCCCATCCTCACAGTGATGCAGCATTTGTAAGGTCAGTGTGGTGGAGAAGAGGCTGGCACACGGTACACAGTCCGGAGGAGCCAAAAGGATGTTCAGTGCTCTGCTTTGATGCTGTCACACGAAATATGGAGTTAATCTGGGGAGTTAAAGGTCTGATAATAGGCAAAATGAACTCTTGTGAGATGTAAAATAGAGTATCTCCAAAGTTCAAAATGCTCTGTTCTACCTTGTAATGTCATGTAGTGGTAGTTTTCCAGTTAACAGTTTACCTTTAGTTCAGAAGAGATTGGCAATTCCAGGGCTGAAATTATCCAAATGATTCTAGCAAAGGTGTATGCAGTTTAAAAACACAGTGGAGCACTTCCTGTACTCCCACAGGACATTGCACGTTGCAACAGAATGTTTTCTGAAAAGCTCAGCTGTGTTAAATTTTGCATGTGAATAAAATAAAACAACTCCTGGCATGTTTGTGATGAGAAAACAAGAAAATAGTGTAATATGGACCCTTTAAACTGTCATATCCACCGTCATTCACACTTTATATTTGGCAGTTGCTGTAAGTGAAGTGCTCATTATTCAGTGAAAGGTACATTTGGATCATTGCATGCATAAAACTTTCTGGGTGCATGATGTGTAGCTATTGTTTAGAAAATGTTCAAGCTGTAGGCCTGTCACATTAACACATTTTGAAGTGCGATGTATTGTTGGGAGTAAATATACGATAATATTGCAACCAAATAAAAGCAGAATTAACCCCAAAAAGTATTCTAAATCATAGCCTAGAAGAGAAATGCACGCATACATTAGGCACATGAAGATTATCATTGTTATTGCTGTCAGGAATGTTACACAGTATGGAAATAAACATTTCTTTCTCCGTGTAGACAAGAAAGTGACCTGGACATGTTACAGGTCAGATCTGTAGAGAGGTGGATCTAGGCAAGAATGTATGTTTTTTAACATATTTGTTCAGAAAAAAAGACTGAATAAATTAAATAAATACATTTGAGATGTATAATGCCATACTGTGGAACATTCAGGTTAAAGCAGTGACATCAATAGTTACATAGTGCACCTTTAATTATTCAGTATATATTGACTGATAAAGAGGAAATGTGAATGAATAGTAATTACAGAATTAAAAATTAAACTTTTAATTAATTAATTTTATTTTAGTAATATCATCCTCCTAGGCTATTTGAACTGTAGAGAAGTAGAATCATAGTATGTCACATGTTGTATGTTGTGTCATGAGTAAAAGTGAAGTGTTTTATGCTTATTTGGCCTGAATGAACCGTAATAGGTCATCTTCGCCTGCTGACATCACAGCGGCATGTGCCTGCCTTGTTATTTTGGGCTAAAGAGTTGGATTATAAGGCATCAATTTAGGTTAGGTCAGTGACACAAATGTCAAACCAGTCAGAAATGTGAAAGCAATGTCTGTTACAGCTTTTACTTCAGTTATTTCACTTCAAAATGCACTATGCAACTTTTCCAGAGTGTTGTCTGCCATATACTTGTCTCCTTGGAGATGTTATTGCTTTGCATAATTTATTGTATGGCATACATTACCTTATTTAACCTTTTTGACCACAATCCAGCTCCACATCCAGCAGTTGTCACCTTAAATACAATAAATGCATAGCTTAAAAAGGTTTTAAAAATATAAATAACAAAATGAGCCAACAAAACAAAAAAGACAAGTTCATTTTTTTTTTACATGAGACAACAATAGAAAATAATTGGATATTTTTCATGTTTGGGCTTTACAGGAGAATTTGCTGAAATCGGCCAAGCTCTCCTCAGGTGGATCCCTAGTTGTTTTGATCACATGAGGGTGCTATTTCTAAGCACAACAGTGCTCCAAATGCTACGTAGTACATAACATTAATTCTAAGTCATTTTAATGTTCATACTCCACGTCGGAAAAGACAATAAAAGAATAATAACTAATAAAAAAGACACTCAATCCATAGATCATAGGACTGTATCATAGATCCACACCATGCACTTACAAAATGGGCGGATCTTGGGCGGCTACAGGAATCAAAGTTATCTCTATTATTTGACTGTCAGGCATTACTAATGTTTTACCGAAGTAATTTGGGGTGAAACAAGTAAAAGTCGAAGCAGCAAAATATGACGACATAATTTGCTTTGGATTTTGCCTGGGTACATTTGTATACATTTAACAGGTATTGGTAATGCATGTGCCTAAAAGACTAAACATAGGGGAAATTATTACATACAGCAGCCATTGGTTTCTGCCGTACTGGCGCGGTTTTGTGAAGTTGAGTTGTCCTTTTGGAGCGATTGTGCCACAAACTACAATCAAAATTGTAGAGACTCAAATGTCCGATCAGACATTTAACTGACATGAATGATATTAATGGCAACAGGCGGGATTGTTGATATAAACGGCATATGTTGGCGATGTCGATAACGCTGTCCGTTAGCAGACAAGCTAGAGGCGCGCTCTGCGCTGGCAGAAGACACAGTCTCTCCTTTCACTCAGAATCTTGAAGATGAGTTTTGCCAGAGAAATCAAGCGTAAGTACCTTGTCATGTTATGATTTGCTATTTGATTTCCTATTTCAAGGCTATATTCATCAGACACTTATTTGCTACAGAGCTACAAAAAGCAAAGAGCAAGGCCCAGAACAATAACAACCTGAGAGAGGAAGCAAGTATCTGCAATCAGCTGGGAGAACTGCTGTCTAAAAGTGGTAAGAGCTGTGAGTTTAAGTAACTATTGAGAATACATTCATTTAAACTGCATGATCTTGTCATGAGTGTGTGATGTGTAAACATCTGTTGAAAATGGCTTGTATAGCTATGTCATGGATAAAATATATTTTAATGCTATTGACACTTAACGGTTAACGTGGTTTTGCTGCTGATTCAATTAGCAGTTTTGAAACCTTTATCCTATTATAATCCATGCTTCTTATCAAATTCCTTTTGCATTCCTGATCCCCAAACACTGCACTCCAAACTCTGCAGCTGCAAGTTTTTTTTTGTTTTTTTTGTTTTGTTTTTTTGATCACTTGCATTTTTATGTTTTTATGTCATAGGTGATTATGAGGCTGCCATTCAGGAGCACCAACAGGAGCTGTCCCTATCTGAGGTGCTCAATGATGTGATAGGTCGAGCTGTCGCTAATCGGAAAATAGGAGAATGCTACGCTGAATTGGGAAATATTGACGCTGCTCTAAGGGTAAGTCATAGTTTTAGTTTTGTTTGGTTTAAGTAATGTTATTACTCAGAAGAATCAGCTCCTATAAAGAATATTTTTCCTTTCAGTATCAGAGGCGTCACTTGGATCTGGCCCGTTCTGTCTCAGATCATGCAGAAGAACAAAGAGCTCTTGCTACAATTGGCCGCACTTATTTATTCCGTTTTGAGTCTGACCAATCAAGAAGCAGTTTGGAACAAGCTGAGGATGCTTTTAAGAAGAGTCTTGCCATTGTTAATGACCGCCTTGAAGGTCTGTGTATTTTCTAATGCTTAACTATGCTTTCTATAGCATTATAGTTTAATATAGCTCTCACTGGCATCCATTTATTGTACAGGGATGGTGCCAGAGCGGGAGCTTTGTGAGATGAAAGCACGTCTCTTCCTGAATCTTGGTCTGGTTTGTGATAATCTGGGAGAGCCCAAACGCTGCAGTGAATTTATAAGGCGCAGTGTGTTCATTGCAGAGTAAGAAACTCTCTTGGCATACTGAATTCATCTTATTATACTAATGTGGCACACAGTTGACTGAGATTTCCCCATTTGCATCTATCTTATTTGATATTTGTTTTGTCTTGATATCTAGGAAGAGCCAACTCCTTGAAGATCTCTATCGGGCCAATTTTAACCTGGGAAATATTTACTTCCGCAATGGACAAGCCTCAAATGCAGTGCGCTGCTTAGAACAAGCCAAGGAATGTGCCAGGAAAATAAAAGAGAAGCTTAGTGAAAGCGAGTGTTTTCACTGCATTGGCAAGGTTTGAGCTGACCTTTGTTAATTAAAGTCAAATATATCTGCATTTTTCACATGTCTATATTTGTTATTTCATTACAGGTGCAGCTGTCTCTAGGGGATTTTGTGGCTGCCAGACGCTCTTTAAAGAAAGCTTTGCAGCTGGGATCCCAGCAGCAAACAGACAAACAGGCAGTGAAGAAAGCATTCAAATATGGTACTTTATTAACTGTCTATTATTTATTACTGTTTTTTGCATTTCTGTGTAGCTAAGTCATTGTTTTCCAGCGGACAAAGGGTGTAAACTGGAGGAGGAATTAGGAGAAGACCAGGGCAGACGACTCAGCCCACATCAGGCTGTGGAACTGACAGAGCAGTTGGGAGATCTCTACTGTAAAGTGGGCTGCTACAGTAAAGCCTTGGATGCTTATCAGGCCCAAGTAAAAACATAAATATGCTCTAAATAATATTTTAGCATCACTTTTTGTTTGACCTGCTTTGATTGATACAGTTTTGTCAAACATTTTTAGTTGACTGGTGCAGAGGCAATGGGGAAGGCTTCTCGAGAGCTGGCTGTGATCCATGTTTCACTGGCTGCGACCTACACAGATCTAAAACAGTACAGCAAAGCAGTGGAGCACTACAGACAGGAGCTCATGCTGAGAGCAGGCAGCGCCTCAGAGGTACTCTGTTAGTATACTGATAAAAGTCTTTTTCCAATATCCTTTCATGTACAGTGTGAAATGTAAACAAACACCCTTGCATCTGAAATGTTTTGTGATATATTATAACAACATTAACTATTTTACTTTTCCTCATTGCAGGAATGCAGTACATGGCAGAACATTGCAGCAGTTCAGGAGGAGGGTGGCTGTGACTTCAATGACGTAGACCACAGTTTCAGTAAAGCACTGGAGTGTGCTCAGAAGACAGGACATGCCAGGATACAGGTAGGATAAGATGTGAGCTTATATCTGAAATAATAACAGCTATGCTTTTCTTCAGGATTTGGATTTCATGATTATATGACTATTAGAGAACTGCCTCCTGGCAAAAAGAAAACCCCACCAAGTCAAACAGTTCTGAGCTTTTGACATAATTTATTTCCTAAATTCACCCATAATTAGGCACTGAGTAACACAGTTGTAATTTAAAACTGAATATTTTCTTAACACTAATATATTCTTTCCACAGAAACGTGTGTTGAGGCGCTGGCTTTCATATCAGCGACGAAACGGCTCTGCCAAATGTGCGGACACCGAGGCCCATCTGCAGGAGCTGTGTGCTGCAGAGGGCTGGAACCCACACGATAGTGAGGGAGAGGAGGATGAAGAGGAGGACATGGACAATAGTGAGCCTCTGGAGGACAGTGACGTCATCCTCTCTGACTCAGGTACTCATTACTCTGTGCTGTAGAGGCATGGGCCTAAGTGGATACTTATGCCTCTTCCTTTGACATTTTATAGATGATGATCTGGAAGGGTATGACAAGATGGTGACAGGAAAAAGGAAGAGTGGACGAGTAAGTTCATATTTTGCTTTCACTTTTGACAACCTCAGTGTCTTAAAGTGTAATTCATTTTCTGCTTTAGTGGAACAAGCGCAATGAGAAGGGTGAGACCTCTCTTCATAGAGCCTGTATAGATGGAAACCTGAAGCAGGTCCAGTACCTTATTGATCAGGTGAGATACCCCAAAATACTTGAAAACCTGTGCTTTTAAAACAAAATCACTTAATTAATGAGAAATATGCATAAGTATGCAATTAATGAGTCCAAATTACAATATTATTTGATAATAATAAAAAAATTCAGACACTCTACTAACATACTACATTCTCACACATCACTTGTGTATGACCAGGGTCATCCAGTGAATCCCAGAGACTACTGTGGCTGGACTCCCCTGCACGAAGCCTCTAACCATGGACACTACGGTAAAATAAATTCTGATCACAAAACACATTTCTAGTAATATAAATTTTTGCTCACCTAAACTGTATTTGGCAGACGTAGTAGCAGTGCTGTTAGATCGCGGGGCCTACATTAATGACCCCGGGGGACCTCTGTGTGAGGGGGTCACTCCTCTACATGATGCTCTGGCTTGTGGAAACTTGGCTGTGGCTCGGCTCTTAATAGAAAGAGGAGCATCTGTGACTTTATGCAACTCAAAGGTAACTGTTTTGAAGAACAATGGCATGAAAATGGGCATAACATTATGAATGAAATTTTTATCTTCAAAGGGAGAGTCAGCCATGGACACCTTTTGTAAGTGGCAAAGGACATACAGCAGGGAGCTGGACAGAGAAACCAAGCATGAGTGTGCTGTTACAGAGAGACTACTGAGGAAAGCACTGGCAGGATTAGGTAAGAGATAGAATTAAAAGAAGAGATAGCACAATATATAGCATGTTTGTCTTTTGAACCTATGCCCATCACTGAAAGATGCTCATCGGGATATCTATAAAAACATGTATCTACTGTACAATTTACTGTTTTAAAAAAAAAAAAAATCTGGTAATTACAAAAGAATAAGAGTTGATCACAAAAAAAAAGATCAAGAGCCATCTGCTCAGTAAAAATGAAAACATGACATCCTGATTATTTGTGATTTCAAAACAATAAGATTTAAACAAGTTTATGCAGAAGATCACGTGCATGTATACTCAGACTTTACTGAGTTTAATCCAAATATTCCTGTTACTGTGTGCCGCAGTGACTCCTGCCTCTGTTCCTGCCAAGCCTCTGGATGCCTTAAAGGATAGCCAGCTGTTTGACGCAGAGAACTCTGAGCCCCTCACCTCTTCCAGTCAGGACCAGATCCCTGGCAGCAGGGCCTCACAGGGACACTCAGCAGCCAGCACGCCAGCACTCACCAAACCAGCACGCAGCAACAGCTCACAGCAGAGACAGCACAGGCACCGGGCCAGAGGGACAGATGCTCTGCTTTTCTACGGGGTAATAATCTGCATTTTGGCAAAAAGAACCATTTTAAGATTAAGAAGTCTTAAATTGTGTGAGAGGGACCTGGTAGTATTAAAAATAAAGCACTTAAACATGTCCTTGCCTTGTCCATTGCATCTGTTGTTACGGTGAGAGACAGTAGCTCCATTGGTACTTGAGTACCACTCATCTGAAGGTTGGAGGTTCAAATTCTGATCTTGATATTAATACAGTATCATTGGTAGAGTGATCCCCCTGGCACACAGAATTGCGGTGCGATTCCAGCTCCCACTGTTGAATACTGCTGTTGTGTCCTTGGGCAAGACACTTAACCCTCCCTCGCTTAAAGTGTCTGTATTACTTATACTGGTGAATGTATGAATAGGAGTGTGGTTCCTAAAGCTGTTTTAATGCCTTGTAGAAAAGTGCTACATAAATGTGAGGGGGGGTTTAGGTCTCCACTGTCACTGGTAAATTATAGCTCAGAAAAAGGTTGGGAACCACTGCTCTGTAAAATGCATCACTTAAAATTAACCTAAAATATCCTTTATATCCAAAACATTTTAAACTGGTATCTGACAATACAATACGTAATGCCCCAAATCTGTTTCTGTGTCTTTTTAGACTAACAGCAGCTCTTCAGATGACAGTGACACAGATGCTCCTGTGAGCCCTCTGCGCCCTGTGCGGCCCAGACACAATGGGATCCCAGCACCCTCCAGTCAGAGAGAAGCTCCCAACAAAAATGATCTCAGCTCAACATTAAACTCCACTCAGGACAGCATAAGAGACACTCCCGCCCCTTCTGTGTTTGAGCGAGAGGAGTACCACAGCGCCATCCGGAGCCTGGGAAGCGCCAAGTCTCGTCTGCACAGTTCATCACAGTTCTCCAGCGCCCCAGCCCCATCTACCAGCAACAGGTCCGCTCTTGTGCCCGAGGAGGAGTATGTAGCTGATGACTGGCTGGAGGATGACATGGGAGATATTCAACCCAAGAAGAAGAGGAGGCTTCAGGTGGAACAGAGCGGGTCAAGAGCAGAGAGCAGTGTGTCGACGGGCAGAAGCCAAATCAGACACACACATTCAGAGCACACAAGCAGAGGTAAGAACACATCCTGTGAGAGTTCACTATATTTATACTCACAGTTTACCTATTTACTGGAGTATTCTGGACAAGGTATATTGTAATAAAAAGAAAACTTGTACTGAAAGATTTTTTACATTTAATTTCACTTCAGTCAGTCTTTTCTAGAGTGGATCTTGTGCATACTGTTCATTCTATCCTTGGGCAAGACAACCACATTGCCTAGTATGAATGTGGTACGGGTTTGAGTGTTGTAAATCCACTGTATTATTATTTACTTGTGCTTGAAATTTCGTCATTTCACATTGACATAGCATCAGTTATCAACATGTGTTTGTATAACCAATGAGCATCAGTCAATGTTATAATCCATTTTGTGTGGGTGTGCAGTTCTGCCCTCCTCCAGCAGGGGTGTCTCTGTGAAAAAGAGCAGCTCTGTGAAGCCGCAGCAGGTGAAGATGACACAGATCCCTGGAATGGTGAGACTGGGGCGCAGAGAGGTCAGCCGCTGTCCCAGCCCCAACATCACTGATGAAGAGGACGTGAGGGCCCTGACTCCTCCCCTTCCTCCTCCTCCTCCACACATGTACTCACAGGTGAGGCAAGACCGCTGCAGGCCAGGCACTGTGTATGGATCTGTATGAATGACCTTTTATACCATGTTCAAAATCATGTTAATTTTTCATATATGTTATAGCCTCAAAACCACACTCTGCCTCCACCAATCCGAATGAGGGTCAGAGTTCAGGAGGATGTCTTCCTTATCCCTGTGCCACAAAGGTTAGTCAAAAATTGGAACTGTATGATATTTTATGAACTCAATAGGGTTCAGGTTTTACAAAAAAGGGGTTGCCTTCAAAATTAACTTTGGGGGGTCATCCATTCTTTTTAAACAGATGTGAATGATTTGAAGATGATTTGTTTTATTACGAAAAAAGTTATTACAAGAAAAGTTGACAACTTTGACATCTACCCGTGTATATATAATTTTTATTGTGTTTTTAAGATGACTACAATGACAACTTTAAAACAGTTTCGTTACTATCAGCGTTTCCTAAATCAAAATAATTGTGTGTAAATGTGAGTTTTACAGAAAAAAAATGACATTACACTGCATCCCCTTTAACCATTGTACCTCGTGTGTCTGTGGCAGTGAGGCGGACTCGTGCACTGTGGCGTGGCTATGTGAACAAGCAGCCCAGAGGTTCTACCAGAAGTGTGGCCTGCTGCCTCGCCTCCAGCTGCAGAAAGAGGGCGCTCTCCTCTCACCACAGGACCCACTGCTCGCCGTGCTACACACAAACGAAGAGGTCGGCATGATGAAGACGACTGTGTTAATACTAAGTACAAATGATTAATGTGTGTCTTTTTCAGGTCCTGGCTGAGGTTTGCTCGTGGGATCTACCTTCCCTACCAGAGCGATATAAAAAGGCTTGTCAGAGTCTGGCAGTGGGTAAGAACAAGAAAACAACACTGAAAACATAACATAAACATAGCTCTACTCACTTCCTTTTTGAGAATGACTTAAGGTGACTCATACTTGTTGTAGACCATATCAAAATTAGATTAGAAGGATGAGCAATAGAATAGGAGCAAACCAAGTCAAGACTATATAAGGAGTAAGCAAAATTGGGCTCAAACCTGTCTGAAAAAAACTTTCAAAAATGGCTATAAATGTCTCAAATATAACAAACAAAATGAGTTTTTAATACAACCATCTTAGCAACCATATAATATGATATACAGTAACAAAGGGACATACTTCTGTTTTATATTCAGTTAACCTAAATATTAATGTTTTTTATTGTTGAAAACTGAAATGCTAAAGTGGGGCTAAACACTCTGCAACCTCAACCACATTTCAGATAAAACTGGGCAGGACCTGAAGGGTGAAAAGGGGTGGGGTATAACAAGCAGCATATCCACACATCCAAAACACGTGACTGTAATCAGGGCAGTCTTCTGTGATGTCACCAACTACTGGGACTCAGAGGTCACTGAAGGCAACACAAACTTAAATTTAGGCGTTTTGTCCTAAAAGCTGCAAATTAACTAGTTTAAACTGAAGTTGCCCAAAATAAAATAGAATAGGAACAGTAGATGCGATTAAAACACCATATATACAATTGGTAGCAAAAAAAAAGTGGATTTAGTGTTTAGTTCATTAAAACTTTCTATCTTCATGGAGACCAAACCAAGCCAAGTTACAAGATAGATCTGTGCAAAGGCAACCCCGCTCAAACCCACTTGTAATTGAATAAATGTAAAATAGAGGTGTTTAATGTCACGCCATGGAACATTCAGGTAAGCAGGGGACAGACCCCCAACCGAAAAGTTACACAGCGCACCTTTAATGTTTGTGTTCTGTGGAGCAGAGGAGAACCGCCGCGTGAGCCGGCTGTGTGAAGTGCAGGACGGGGGCTCCTGTGTGTCAGTGTGCAGTCTGAGCTTGGCGCCCTCCTCTCTCACCCCCCTCCTGCGGGCGCTCAAACTGCAGACCAGCCTCACCGAGCTCCGCCTCTCGGGGAACTGTCTCCACGACGACCTACTGCCCGAGCTCGTGGCCACCGCCGTCACCATGCCCCGACTGCGGCTGCTGGACGTGTCAGCCAATCACATCACGGGGGCGGGGCTGGAGAAGGCCGTCGCCGCTCTGAAGGGCCACAGTCATCCTGCTTTTCCTGTAAATAAGCACATACTCACACACATTCATTTTTACAACTTTATGACACAATTAATGGTCCTATATTACGCCACATGGACCTTTTGATATTTAATTCTTGTGAGAATGTTTTTACGTAGTCAAAAACATACCTAGAGTTGTGTTTTGTTTCATTCATGAGTAATCCTGCATTATTGGTCTAGCTACATCTCCAAAGCTCAAAATGCTCTTTTCCAACTTGACATGTCATGACTTTTTGTAGTTTTCAAGTTAACAGCTATATTTTACTTTTTTTTTTTTTTTTAGTAGAGATTGGAAATTTCAGGTCTAAAATTATCCAAATGATTCTAATGAAGGTGATTGAATAAAAAACTGTAATTGACGACATTTTGATAATCTGATAACTCCAGAAATGATCAGATTTGCGGTGTGCATGTACACATAGCCAGTGTTTTTGTGTGAAGTGAGGTGCTACCAAATGATTTCAACATGACTAAAGTTCACATTTATATTTATAGTATCCAGTAAATACAAATGAACTGTCAATTTCCCAAGTATGATTGTAAACACACTTTAATTTTCAGTGAGACAGTGTACAATATTAAACTTTACAATAATGTAAATGGACCTGAATTAACCAAAAGGACAGTTTTCATAGGCAAGTCCCCCTACCAGATGGTAATAGGCTCCCTAAAATTTCAGAAATTCATGTAAAAGGGAATTTGTTAAAATACAAATACCATTCACACAGTTATATATTCATATGATCATAAAAAACTAAACAAAAATATATGTATATAAACTTTTAGCACCCACATGTCATCACCATTTAGCATGTGTGAAACCAACATGATTTTTCTGAGAAGTAGCCACACCGTTTCTTGTGACAAACTGAATGCACGTAATTCTCTGACACTTTTTTATTTGTGGTTTTAACTTGCGTCACCTGATCATTTCAATTGACTAAACCCAAGAACACAAAGAATACAATATTAATTTCAGCAGCCCCCGTCTGTGTCAAATATTGAAACTTTACAGCAACCTCCCCTGGGGGGATTTCTACATCGATCTATTGGTAGAATGGTGACACAATAAGCAAAAGTTAATCTGAGAACTCAAAAAAAAAAACAAAAAAAAAAAACCCCACAAATTGCATTTAAACAGCACATTTACACTAGCCTATGATCAATACAAGGGTTCATGATCCGGTTTAGGTGTTTGATTTTCATCAAAAATGGTGAGTGTGAGTAAAACTATTGGGGAATGCTAGCGATCTTGTGACTGTAAGTTCTGTGAGTGGTCAGTTCTTTACGGTCAGATTGTTTTAAAACTAAGCTCATATTAAAGTCCAAATCGAGTAACAGAGCCCCAGACAGAGCAGTACCTCCAGTTAGTTTCACACCTGCAGCGAAAGTTGAGAACTTCAGTTGCAAAGTATCAGTTGGTTTAGAGAATGTTATTGTCTGAAACAAAGCAATATGACACTTCTCTTTTTTCTCCTTGTGTTACAGTGCCTTGAGGAGCTTGACCTGAGTTTTAACATTCTGGGCGACGGCGTATCCGAGCCTCTGTCCTGCCTGCTGAGCTGCTGCCCTCTGCTGGTCAGACTGTCCCTGCAGGCGTGTGGTCTGACTGCACGCTTTCTGCAGCAGCACCGGCTCATGCTGGCCCAAGCGCTTGCAGGTAAAACGACATGAACAGTCTCCTTTTTAAGTGGTGCTGTAAACCAAGGGGGCTGAGACTGACCCTTTGCGCATTATAATCGTTGCTGATTGTGGTAAAATGGCTTAAATGGCTATTCAGAATATTTCTGTTGGGTCTTATTAAGCCTATAGTTAGACCTATGAAAAAGAAACGGCTAAACTAACACAAGAATGACATGCATTTCAGAACATATTTGCATAAGTTTAAATCCTCCTAGGTGTGTATACAGTAACCGAAATATCGTGATATCGTATTGTCAAAAGTCTCACAGTAATACCGCGGGGTGTCACAATATATCGAATCACACATTCCTTTGCTTAACTGCATTTTTTTATAGTAGCAAGAGCTAATAAACATCAGGAACTACATATCCCATGATTCATTTCAACGCAGACAACATAATTATGTTTTTTTACTGGAATTCTTGGGATTATGACGGTAATAACACACACCAAAATCTTGTCAGGGTATTTTAAAAGCAAAAAAGTGTCCTATGTACAATTATATCAGCCTCTCCAAAATATCGCAATAAATATCGTACCGCGAGATGCATATCGTGATAATATCGTAGTGAGAGATTTGGATATCGTTACATCCCTAGTACACAGTAAACTGAATCTTTTTAAGTTTAATACATGCATCGCCATTTTATTTACAGCACACTTTTTTAGGTTAGAGTCGTTAAATGTATTGAAAATTAGATACTAAAAACTAGACACACATATATTAGTACTAGTGTACACCCATGGACCACTTTGGAATATACTTGTACAACAGGGATTACACCAGGGGTCACCAAACTTTTTTCTCTGAGGGTCACATTATCACTCTTGACTGTGATGGGGTCCGGGGTCTGGTCGGCCATTTAACAGAATTGCTTGACCCTGGCGACGCAGATTGTATTCTTTGAAAACCGCCCCACTTTCTTTACATATCAGACAAACTGCACGGTCCTTACACTGAACAAAAAAATAACCAGTCTTCCACTGTTCTTTGAAAACTCGGCGCTCTCTGTCAACTTTTCGTACTTTAACACTAGTCATTTTGCTCTCTTTAACGTTGACTGCCACTGTTTGATCTCGAGTTTGTCAAGTGACGAAAATTTGGTGGCAAATGTAAATATGTCATATTATTTAAATATAAATACTTCATATAAATAGAATTTTTTTATTGAAAAAATCAACAAAAGACAAGATGCAGACATGTTATTATTTGCCAAAAAGTTTAAAAAAAAAAAAGAAAAAAAGGCCATGACAACTTTTGAAGATTGCCACACAGGGCCAGTTCAAGTGGTGGTGGGGGGCCGAACAAAGACACATAGACGACCGGAGTCAGCCCGCGGGCCTTAGTTTGGTGACCCCTGGATTACATAGATATAAGGCCACATGGTAATTTAAAGAAAGTACTATTATTTAATGTTGACAATCATGTTCTATTGTCTTAAAGTTATTATTGGCATTGAGTATCAAGTCAAATCCTTAGTACTGATATCAAGTTTGAAATTTTTGTATCGTGACAACACTAATCGTGCTGCACCCCGTAACTAACTCACCAATATTACACAGTACATTTGAATATTTTCACTGATAATTGAGCATGTACTAGTATATCACAGTATTGCTACCATTACTGCTTCTCTTTACCTGCAGGTATGGGCCATCTGAAGTCTCTCTGCCTTTCCCACAATGCAATGGGCTCCACTGGCTTTGAGCTGGTGTTAAAGACAGTACCTCTACACAGCCTCACTTATCTGGACCTATCGGCGGTGCACAGTGGGCCAGCCGATCACCCAGCTCTGGAGCAGCTTGCCAAACTCCTGTCCCAGGTCTGAGGGGGAAATGTTCAAGTCTGTGTTAACTGCAAAAATGTGGTTTTAAATCTCTCTTTCTCTCTCTTTCTCTTCCTCTCTCTTTCTCTCTCTCTTTCTTCTTTTGGTTTTGTAGAATGAGTGTCCTCTGACTCATTTACACCTGGGATCAAATGGGCTGACTGACAACAGTGTGGTCTCTTTGGCTAGGTTAGTACCACAGTTTAAAATGTTATGACTAGGGAACGAAAAATTTTTTATTTAGTATCAGTCAAGGTTTGGTATACAAAATCTTATTCTAATTATGTCCACAAAATCTATAAACATTTATTCAACTTTATACTTTTTCATTCATTTTATTATTAATATTATTTATTCGTGATTTTAGGATAATATCAAAATGTGTTTTATTTCCTATTTTTCTTTTTTGTTTTGTACATTTTATCATACAGTTTCAGTCAACAAACATGACTTGAGCTGAACTTTATTTGCAACTGTTGCCCACTGTGTTGTTGTAATGTCCTATATTGTTGTGTGTTTGTGTGTTGGTGTTGGTGTTTGTGTTGGTCAGGTGCCTGGTTTCGTGTCCATCTCTGGTGAACTTGAATCTCTCAGGAAACCCCTCTATCACCTCAGCTGGCCTCTACCACATCCTGGCTTCTTTGAAGGAGGCGGGGCGCTCACTGAACCACCTTAACCTGCAGGGTGAGTCAGAACATTTAAAATAAATCACCTCTGTTCTCGATTAGTGTGCGAGTTACAGAGAAATGTAACATAAGGTGTATTCATATGTGTGACTGTTGTCCAGTTCACGCAGTTTAACATCTTCTATTTTATTACAAATGAATAAAGGTGAAAGACTGGGAACTAATTAGAACTAAATACTACGTAACTTACTGAGTGTAATAATTTTATGTTATCTGATATGTATTACAGAATATTGGACCTTGTTACCACAGAAAAGTCATCAGAACACAACAAAACTGACATGAACATTTTGAAAATATGATATCAGTTCATTTCACTTTTACCACCTGTCCAATATTCAGCATTTTTAACATTCTGATGAGATACAGTTTTATAAAGGTTCAGCACTGGTAGAATTTATTTTTCCTTTAAAAAATAGTCACTCAAAAATAAAGTAATATTGGAGTTTGAAATGTATATTTAAATCAAATGTATTTGTTTGGAGGATAAGCCCCTTGAGATGTCTTGCCATCTCATTTTTGAGGGGGTTCTCAGAGTCACAACAAAAGAAGACAGATACAGGAGCGCAGACAGTAGGCTTGATAAATTCAGGAAAAAAAAAACAAAACAGAAAAAACAAAACAACTAAATCAACACCGCCATACACACGCACACACACACGCACACACACGACTCTTAGACACTGAATAAGTCCAAGTCTAAAACTATGACAGAGTTCAAATATAGTCACAAAATGAAACAGGATGAACAGCAAAATTCAACAAGATGATCAAAAACAATTACACAGGTTTTGTAAATATTGCACCAGAGCACTTTTAAATGAAGAGACAGAAGTTAAAAATTGGTCCAATCAAAGGGAGCTTTATATTTAAATGATTTATTTTTTTTTTTTTTTTTACTCTTTCATTCATGTTACTTTTCTGGTGGAGGCTTCGTCAAATGTTATTGCTTTGTCTGGAATGTTTCACAGTATGATACTGAACCTTTCTATCTTCATGGAGACTAAACCAAGCCAAGTTACAGGTCAGATCTGTGCAGAGGCAATCCTGCTTACAGTCAGAATGCCTGTTTTTTTTGCCTGCTTAGGTATTTTTGAGCTCTAAAACCACCTGTAGATGCATAAATGTAAAGTAGAGCTGTTTAATGTCATACTTTGGAACATTTCAGGCATCCTAATAAGCAGGACTTCTAATGGTGTGTGTTGTACGCAGGCTGTCAGGTGAGCGGGCCCTGGGACAGCACTGGTCTGGACGGTTTGACAGATCTGGTCCGGGACATGAGGCTCTGTTCTCTCTCGCTCAACAAACTAGACAGAGAAGCCCTCAGACACCACTGGGACACACAGGGACGCTTTGTGGACAGGAACGCCAAGTGTCTCATGACCACACTGTCTACAACTTAAGACTAATGTGAGTTACTACATTGTACAGTGTAGCTTTCAGTCCTCTTTTTTAAGTCTTTACCAGAATTCTTCAGTTTTGATGTAGTTTTTTTTAACCAAACTTCTTACTGTGATGTCTGTGTACCTATTTATGTGTCCATGTGAAATCATGTGGAAATGTTATGTACTTCTGTTGTGATATTTGTGGTCTTATTTTACTGAGTCTGTCTTGGATCAAAAATATTAAAGTATGTAAAATGTATAATCGTCTCAACTTGGCATGGAATAAAAGTTTGCTGATTTGTGCTGTTAAAGAAGTCACACTCAGTATTGCCCAACAGTTCAGTTTCTCACTTTCACCTTTTTTGTTGAACAGGAACATTTGAACTTGACAGTATTTGCTACTGTGTGCATAAAGTGTGTCTCTCCACGTTAACGGATGAAGATTACACAATACATACATGATATCACTGCAAAGGATACACGCATTCATATATACTCATTCATATACACTGTATCGTGAAAATATGTATATTTTCTAAAAGGAAACAAAACAGGGCCTGCGCAAAGATGTGGTTTGAGAAGTGAGACATTATCAGCAACAACTTTGTTCTCGTGGTCAGTGTGCTTCGAGGGGACTCATGTAAATACCAAAAAATCATACCACAAGAAGTGTATAGTCTTAGTACAGCCTTTTATTTATTTATTTTTTGGATGATAATGAATGCATATTGTAACAAAAACAAATCCACATATACCCCACATAGAAATATTTTACTGTGGTATATTACTCATCCACGTCATCACCACTGAAAATTTCTGCTGGGCTGTTGTAGTAGAGCACTTCCTTTGGCCTAGAGAGAAACAAATATTTAATCACTGCCATCACTGTATTGTTATTGCAAAGTTCTTGTAGATTGAAACCGACTTGCAAGCCTTGGTGCGGACACAGATGGTCCGGACATCATCGGTGGTGGTCAGTTCCTCGATGAGCACCCCGAGGTGCTTGTTCACAAACTTCTGGCACAAGGATTTGAGGAGACCGATGTTTTTACAGACAGCCAGCAGTTTGGCCTTAATCGACTGTAAACAGCAAGATCATGTGTGTTCATTCAGTTCAAAGTCTGTAATGGAGTACAATGCTGCTGTGTAAACTTACTTCAGCTGTGGCATTGTTCCCAATAATTTTTTTGACGTTGTTCAAAGCCCATTTACAAGCCCAGCACACTCCTGGGAGCTAAAAAACATTTGCTATGGTTACTTCTGAATTTCTAGGAAAAGTTGGTAACATATGCTATTTTCTGATCTACCTTATAATCTTTCCTCATCATAAACACACCCAGAGTTTTGTTTTATTTTATTTTATTTACACATGTCTAACACACAAGCCCTGCATATTTAGACTGAGTTCTTCTCTGAACTAGAAAACACTCTGTTCTACCTTGTTATGTCATGTGGTAATACAAGCTCCACTGTGCTTTTAAACTCCATACACCTTCACTAGAATCATTTGGATAATTTCAGCCCTGGAATATTCAATTTCTATTGAACAAAAGTAAAAGGTAGCTGTTAACTTCACAAGGTGGGACAGAGCATTTTGAGCTTTGGTGGTATAGACAGACTAATAATAAAAACTCGAGCGTGTGAATGAAATGCCCATCGATTACTACTGAACCTACTTGGATGACCAAGTAATTGCATAGATATAACACTATTGTATTATAAAAGAAAGTACTATGATATAATCTTGAAAATCACATAACTGTGATATCTGAATTGGTATTGAGTATCAAGTCTATTCCTTAGGATCTTGACAACACAAAGACAGACTGAAAATTTAGGTGGGCTAATATAGAGGAATATGTGTATTTGTTTTATAAAGTAGGTTTGATTTCATTTGAGTAGGCAATTCCAACCCTTGTGTAAAGCTAGAGGCAGCCCTGTATCCAAGTGATGCGACTTCAGATCTGTGCCCCAACAGGTGGCCGTTAGAAAAACCACAGTGGGTAAACAAAATTTTTCATTACCTTTGTCTCAGAGACTTCCGCCTTGTTCTGGTTTTGTTGGTCATCGATTGCCACACATTTGCCCTGAACCATCCACACTGAAACAAATCAGGACCAGTGAAAATATTGTAAAATTGACCCAAGAAAAACAAAATCACAATCTCACCAGAGCAAGAGAGCAGAACACAGAGGACCACAAGGGAGGACCTGTCCATCTTTTGAGCCAGTGCTGATCCTGTAGTGGAGATATGAACCTCTGTGTACCTTTTATCCTTTTATATATGTCATAGGTGAGAGGGGACGGGCAGGGGTAGGAGGGGGGACAGGGGGGTTATTTGGAAATCACACCTAAAGCACCACAATGACACTCAGCCCACTGCATTTTGAGAGACAGTTTCAGAGCAACAGTAACCTACTTATCACTCACAACCACCAGTGATTCCGAGCAAAGCCTGAGAATTGAGGTTAATCTGACTTTGGAAATGTACTTTTCACAAAGACGCCAAGACTTTAGCATAATATGTGTTTTATTATTTATTATTAGAACATGTACTAATAATACTAATACTACTTCTACTACTACTACTACTACTACTACTGCTACTACTACTACTACTACTACTAGTAATAATAATACTACTAATAATAATAACAATACTAATACTAATACTGCTTCTACTAATACTACTACTAATATTACTACTAGTACTACTTTTACTACTATACTACTGTAACCGGGTGATTAGACTATGTTGTCCTGCTGTGTTGCGTCCACCTGTGCGTCCACCTGTGCGAATCTGTGTAACAGATTGCCACTGCTGCATTATTCTTGCTCTTTATTCTTTATCTTAGTGTTGGTTTTAGTTGAATATTGATTAACAGTAGCCGAGGTCTTGGAGGGAAGTGCAATATTTGGTCAGGGGTCAGTGCAATGCAAGGTTAGGTCTTTGGGTTGGCACAAGTCACTTTCGCCCAAATAGGCCTCCTTAGCACGAGCACTTTCACTAGCTTTAATTTTATGCCCTTTATTGTAACGAAGTCTACCTCAGATACCTTGGCACAGGCACTTTAAATAATATTACATAATTCAGGTTTACAGCGCACCCGCACTTTAACTTATTGTAAATGTAGGGTTCAACTAGTGTTTGTTTTTTTGGTATTAACGTTTGGTTTGGATTATTAATTTGATTTGTTGTGTTTTAGTTTGGGGTGTTGTTGAGTCCTACATTTATGATATTTGAGGGGTGTATCAAGAAGGGAACCAGGAAAATGAAATGTTTCTTTTAAATGTTTAGAAGATTAAATAAAGATGTGTAACTTTTATACCACATTGCCCTTGTCCTTTTTTATGCCAGAACGGATTCTGTGAGTAAATAAGGGTTCTCGGTCGCAACATTACACTACTATTAAAAATAATAATGTATTAGTTTTATATAGCGCATCTCCAGATGCTCAAAGTCACTGTACAATTTGGTGCATTACACATTCACTTCATACACTGTGGTGGTACCTGGAATTCCCAGCGGTCTCCCACCCAAATACTAACCAGGCCGAGCAACGTTTAGCTCCAGAGATCTGACGAGATCAGACTTTGACAAGGAGGTTTGGCCATGTGTTATAACATTAGCTCAATATATTTTTTTAAATTTAAAATGAATTATAGATCAAACATCACTCATGTCGATCGGAAAGAGACCCATATGTTAAATGAATGCAGTGTCATTTAGATTCACACCCCTCACCTCTGTGAGAGCAGCAAGTCACGAAATGTGAGAGCAGCAAGTCTCGAAATGTGAGAACAGGAGTGGAAAATAGACAGGTCACTTATTTTTAGCTGCTTCTAAATAGTTATAAATGACTTAAAGGAAAATACTGAGACAAAGGACAACTCACTTTAACCAGAAGATGCACATTTGGGGGGGGGAATAGTTTTTAGAAGAGACTTAGACTCGGACTTAGACAAACATTATTGATCCACAAGGGAAATAATTTGGACACATCACAATATAATATAATAATAAAGAGTAAAATATAAATGGTAAAACAGACAAAGATGGTCGGTATGTAATGGTGATTGGTGAGATAGCAGGCACAGAGATTACATTGCTCAATCTTTATGCCCCGAATGAAGACTGTCCCAGATTCTTTAAGAGTATAGCATCAGAGTTGGCAGACAATGCAAAGGGAATTATTTTGATTGGGGGGGACTTTAACTGTGTGTTAAAACCATATCTAGATAAACTACCTATGGGAAAGGGCCCAATATCTAAAAAGAAAACTACTCTTTGTACTATGATTGAACAACTAGGCCTAACAGATATTTGGCGTCATTTGCATCCGAGAGAGAAGGATTTTACTTTTAGATCACAGGTACATGGTAGCTACTCTCGATTGGATATGTTTTTAATCTCAAACAGTGACTCCTTTAGGGCCAGTGAATGTAAAATTGAACCAGTAACAATCTCAGACCATGCACCGGTTTTGTTAAAATTAAAATTAGGACCTACCAATCAGTTTAAATATTGGAGACTTAATGTATCCCTGCTAAATGATGTAAACATTAAACTGGACCTCCAGACAGCTCTAACAGAATATTTTGAAATGAATGAAACAGGTTCAATTTCACCTTCAGTATTATGGGACGGGAGTAAAGCTGTCATGAGGGGCAAAATTATAGCCATCTCTGCAAAACTAAAAAAGCAGAGGCTCTCTGAACAGAACGAGCTAGAAAATCGACTCAAAGAAATGGAGTCAATATTCCAACGTACTCATGACAAAAGAGTGTTGGCATCATTGACAGAAAACAGAAAAAAATTAGATGATCTATTAACTTATAAAGCTGAGGGAGCTCTAAGATTTTTAAATAGAAAATATTATGAACAAGGAAATAAAGCCAGTCGGCTGCTGGCCTTCCAGTTGCGTAAAGCTCAATCTAACAGAATAGTGAGCAAGATAAAATGTAATCAGACAAATCAGATGCTCACACAACCAAAAGATATTGCTAAAGCATTTGCTGACTATTACCAAAAACTGTATGAGAAAGAACACCTGCCAGGGAAGGAAGATAGGATAAAGACATTTCTAAAATCTATCAAATTAGCAAAACTAACCACAGAAGAAGCTGACTCAATAACATGTCCTATAACACAGGAGGAAATAAGGAAAGGCATTCTTAAATTAAAAAATGGCAAATCACCGGGGGGTAGATGGGCTATCAGGGGAATATTATAAAGCTTTTGTCAGTGTTTTGGTACCCGTGTTAAGTAAAGTATATAATTACACCTTGGCTGAGGGAGACCCGCCAGGATCATGGTCAGAGGCAGTGATTAGTGTAATACCAAAAGAGAATAAGGACCTAACATTCTGTGCCTCTTACCGCCCAATAAGCCTCCTGTGTGTAGATATGAAAATTCTTACCTCAATTATTGCAAATAGAATCCAGAAATGTATTAAGACTCTTATAAAGCCTGATCAGACAGGTTTCATAGCTAATAGACAAGGATGTGACAATGTTAGGAGAGCCTTAAACTTACAAGTGATAGCAATGAGACGGAACACCCCCGGCAATGCTTCTTGGCTTAGACGCCGACAAAGCATTTGACCGGGTGGACTGGTCATTTTTGGAACACTCCCTTAAACATATGGGTTTTAACGAAAAATTTAATAAATGGTGTGTCAGGTGTCACTGGCGTTGCCCACGTGGGCGTTGAAGTCCCCCAGTAGAACAACGGAGTCCCCAGTTGGTGCACTGTCTAGTACCCCTCCCAGGGACTCCAAGAAGGCTGGGTACTCAGCATTGCTGTTCGGCCCGTAGGCCGACACCACAGTGAGAGACCTGTCCCCGACCCGAAGGCGCAGGGATGCGACCCTCTCGTTCACTGGGGTGAACTCCAACACGTGGCGGCTGAGCTGTGGGGCTATAAGCAAGCCCACACCAGCTCGCCGCCGCTCCCCGCAGGCAACACCAGAAAAATGGAGGGTCCAACCCCTCTCGAGAGGTTGGGTACCAGAGCCCAAGCTGTGCGTGGAGGTGAGGCCGACTATATCTAGCCGGTACCTCTCAACCTCCCGCACAAGCTCAGGCTCCTTCCCCCCCAGTGAGGTGACGTTCCACGTCCCTACAGCCAGGTTCTGTGTCCGTGGACTAGGTTGCCGGGATCCCTGAACCCGACCTCTGCCTAGTTCACAGCGCACCCGACCCCTATGAAACCCTCTGCGGGTGGTGAGCCCACAGGAGGGCGGGCCCACGTCGTCCCTTCGGGCTGAGCCCGGCCGGGCCCCGTGGGCGAAGGCCCGGCCACCAGGCGCTCGCTTTCGAGCCCCAACCCCAGGCCTGGCTCCAGGGTGGGGCCCCGGCTGCGCCATACCGGGCGACGTAACGGTCCTTGTTTGGGAGGAACGGCCTCCCTGATCTGAACCCGAGTGGTGTTCTGTTATTGGACTTCTGTGCTAGTCACAGTTTGTCCATAACAAACACCATGTTCGACCACAAGGGTGTCCATAAGTGCACGTGGCACCAGGACACCCTAGGCCGGAGGTCGATGATCGACTTTGTCGTCGTGTCATCTGACCTCCGGCCGCGTGTCTTGGACACTCGGGTGAAGAGAGGGGCTGAGCTGTCAACCGATCACCACCTGGTGGTGAGTTGGATCCGCTGGCGGAGGAGGAAGGGCGGAGGAGGAAGCCGGAAAGAACTGGCAGACCCAAGCGTGTCGTGAGGGTCTGTTGGGAACGTCTGGCGGAACCCTCTGTCAGAGGGATCTTCAACTCACACCTCCGGGAGAGCTTCTCCCAGATCCCGGGGGAGGCTGGAGATATGGAGTCCGAGTGGGCTTCATTCTCGGCCTCTATTGTCGATGCGGCTGCTCGGAGCTGTGGGCGTAAGGTCTGTGGTGCCTGTCGCGGCGGCAATCCCCGAACCCGGTGGTGGACACCGGAAGTAAGGGAGTCCTATCGGGTCTTGTTGGCTCGTGGGACTCCTGAAGCAGCTGATGGGTACCGACGGGCCAAGCATGCTGCAGCTCGTGTGGTCACAGAGGCAAAAACTCGGAGCTGGGAGGAGTTCGGAGAGGCCATGGAGGAGGACTATCGGACGGCCTCAAAGAGATTCTGGCAAACCGTCCGGCGCCTCAGGAGGGGGAAGCAGTTCTTCACCAACACTGTTTACTGTGCGGGGGGAGAGCTGCTGACCTCGACTGGGGATGTAGTCGGACGGTGGAAAGAATACTTTGAGGATCTCCTCAATCCCACCGCCACGTCTTCCGAGGAGGAAGCAGAGACTGGGGACCCAGAGGCGGACTCGTCCATCACCCTGGCTGAAGTCATTGAGGTGGTTGGAAAGCTCCTTGGTGGCAAGGCTCCGGGATTGGATGAGATCCGTCCTGAGTATCTTAAGTCTCTGGATGTTGTGGGGCTGTCTTGGCTAACACGCCTCTTCAACATCGCGTGGCGGTCGGGGACAGTACCTCTGGACTGGCAAACCGGGGTGGTGGTCCCTCTGTATAAGAAGGGGGACCGGAGGGTGTGTTCCAATTACAGGGGAATCACACTCCTCAGCCTTCCCGGTAAGGTCTATGCCAGGGTACTGGAGAGGAGAATCCGGCCGATAGTCGAACCTCGGATTCAGGAGGAGCAGTGTGGTTTTCGTCCTGGCCGTGGAACACTGGACCAGCTCTACACTCTCCATCGGGTGCTCGAGGGTTCATGGGAGTTTGCCCAACCAGTCCACATGTGCTTTGTGGACTTGGAGAAGGCATTCGACCGTGTCCCTCGTGGTGTCCTGTGGGGGGTGCTCCGGGAGTATGGGGTTCGGGGCCCTTTGCTAAGGGCTGTCCGGTCCCTGTATGACCGGAGCAGGAGCTGTGTTCGCATTGCCGGCAGTAAGTCAGACCTGTTCCCGGTGCATGTTGGACTCCGCCAGGGCTGCCCTTTGTCACCGGTTCTGTTCATTGTTTTTATGGACAGAATTTCTAGGTGCAGTCAGGGGCGGGAGGGGGTCCGGTTCGGGGACCACAGGATCTCATCTCTGCTGTTTGCAGATGATGTTGTCCTGTTGGCTTCATCGAACCAGGACCTACAATGTGCACTGGGGCGGTTTGCAGCCGAGTGTGAAGCGGCTGGGATGAAGATCAGCTCCTCCAAATCCGAGGCCATGGTTCTCGACCGGAAAAAAGGTGGCTTGCCCTCTCCGGGTGGGTGGAGAGGCCCTGCCCCAAGTGGAGGAGTTCAAGTATCTTGGGGTCTTGTTCACGAGTGAGGGGAGGATGGAGCGTGAGATTGACAGGCGGATCGGTGCAGCTTCAGCTGTGATGCGGTCGCTGTATCGGACCGTTGTGGTGAAGAGAGAGCTGAGCCGAAAGGCGAAACTCTTGATTTACCGGTCAGTCTTCGTTCCCACCTTCACCTATGGTCATGAGCTCTGGGTAATGACCGAAAGGACAAGATCGCGGATACAAGCGGCCGAAATGAGTTTCCTCCGCAGGGTGGCTGGGCGCTCCCTTAGAGATAGGGTGAGGAGCTCAGTCACACGGGAGGAGCTCGGAGTAGAGCCGCTGCTCCTTCACGTTGAGAGGAGCCAGTTGAGGTGGCTCGGGCATCTTTTCCGGATGCCTCCTGGACGCCTCCCTCGGGAGGTGTTCTGGGCATGTCCCACTGGGAGGAGGCCCCGGGGAAGACCCAGGACACGCTGGAGGGACTATGTTTCTCGGCTGGCCTGGGAACGCCTTGGGGTCCCCCCAGAAGAGCTGGAGGAAGTGTGTGTGGAAAGGGAGGTCTGGGAGTCCCTGCTTAGACTGCTGCCTCCGCGACCCGGCTCCGGATAAGCGGAAGAAAATGGAATGGAATGGAATTTAATAAATGGTTAAAAATTTCCTACAGAAATCCCAAATCCAGAGTTCGAGTCAACGGCCACTGCTCAAACTTCTTTCCTCTAGGGCACGGGACACGTCAGGGCGATGGGCTTTCTCCATGTCTGTTTGCTCTTAGCATTGAGCCGCTGGCAGAGCTCATTAGGATGGATCCTCATATACAGGGTATAAGAGATGAGGCTAACATACAACACAAATTAGCACTTTTTGCTGATGACATTTTATTATTTCTGGAAAACCCGCTTACCTCCATCCCACCTCTGCTACAGCGACTCAGTGAATACAGTGCTGTGTCTGGATATAAGGTTAATACAAGTAAATCAGAGGCAATGCTGGTTGCTGGTGAATGGCCTACTGAATTAAATGATCTGGTTACATTTAAAAAATCAACCAGGGGATTTCGGTACCTTGGAATCAATCTCACACCTAAAATTTCACAACTATTTACTTGTAATTATGAAAGATTAATTAACGATGTTAAAAAAGACTTAAACAAATGGGATGCTCTACCTTTATCATTCCTGGGCAGAATAGAATCTATTAGAATGAATATTCTACCAAAATTCATATTCTTATTTCAATCTCTCCCTACATCAGTACCACAATCTACATTTAAAACACTTGAAAAATTGATATCCAAATTTATCTGGCAAAATCGAAAACCAAGGATACGACTGAAAATATTAACGACAAAGAAAGAAAAAGGAGGGCTTGGACTCCCTGACTTAAAACTTTATTACTGAGCATCTCAACTTCGAATATTGTCAGCTTGGGTGGTCAATGATCCCGAGATCTTATGGATTTCTATAGAACAGAACTCTATACCAGGATTGTTAATCCATTCTCTTCCATTTATGGGCCAGCACTTATTGAAAAAGGTTAAAATTGATAATCCTTGGATTTTGCAAACACTAAGGATATGGAACGTAATTCAAAAACAAACTAGAGGTGTGCCAGGGCTTTCTAGGGCTATGCCCATTGTAGGTAATATAGAATTTCTACCATCCATGTCAGATGGTGTTTTTAAAAGGTGGGCAGACAGTGGTCTGGTAGTTATTCACCATTTATTTAGTGGACAAACATTTAAATCTTTCTCACAACTACAAGAGCAATTTTCCTTGCCCCAGAATGACATGTATAGGTATTTGCAGATTAGAGATTATTTGACAAAACATCCACAGTGGGATGTTGTAATGAGAGAGCCTACTAATATAGAAATGTATTTTGTTAAACTGTTTGAAAAAGAAACCAGAATGAAAAAAATCATATCCTTAATGTATAAAAACCTATCTGAAAACATATCAGATAATACGCTCCATGTTAAACATCAATGGGAACTTGAGATGAATGTGATTATAACAGATGAGCAATGGGAAGATATGTGTTTATATTGTCACAAAGGAATTGGAAGTCAAAACTGGAGAGAGTTTGACTGGAAAACAAAAATCAGATTTTTCAGAACTCCACTAAGGACATTCATGATTAAGACTACCACCACCAATAAGTGCTGGAGAGGATGTGGTATGGTTGGAGACCACACCCACATCTTTTGGGATTGCCCAAAGATAAGAACATTTTGGGAAAGTATCAAAAAGAAGACTGAAGATACAATTAGATCAGATATTCCAATGGACCCTCTACTGTTTTTGCTTGACTTATATCCCAACTCACTCACTGATGACCAACAGTACATTTTACATGTACTTTTACTAGTGGCAAGAAAAATAGTAACCCTGAACTGGCTCAAGCCAATCCCACCAACGATTGCTCAATGGACACAAAAATTTAAGTACGTTTATCAGATGGTCTGACTGCCCAACTTCAACTCAAAATGGATATTTTCTTAAGGCGATGGTCACGTGTACCATCTTTATTTGACTGAGTAGTTTTTTTTCTTTTTTTTTCTTTTTTTTAATGCCCTGCCTGACTACTGTACTTAACTACATATGACTAGAGTTATGAGCCAAATCTCGACACTTGTTTTTGTTTGTTCTAATGTAAATTGCCTGTTATTTTGTACTTTTGGCAATAAAGTAAAAAAAAAAAAACATATATAAATGGTAATAATACATTTAAAATAAGTAGCAAAAAACAAGAGACTGGTATCATAATAATTATCTAAATAAGTAGGATTTTTGTTATGCATTTGTTTTATTGTAATTGTTATAATTATTCATATTTTTATGATTACATTAATAATCTAGTATTTCTTTTACAAGCAGAGCACATGAAAACCCAGAAGGCTTTTTTTGCCGAAACGTTATTTTGTTAATAAAAAAGCTTTTGGACATTGGCCAACCGAGTGTGCTATGAATTTTTTCACCCTGGTATAGCTCTTTACAGGCCATGTAACCTGCTACCACCATCAGGATTACCTTGCAGAACAGATACATTCTGCATAAAGAAAATGCAAAAGAATCAACAAAAGCATGTTTTTATTTTATTTATTTATTTATTTTGCTCGTTGTAGGTTATTTTTTCAAAGAGAGACATATGGTCTCATTTTTGGCTTGACTAAATATTCCACAAACTGATGTGCAACATACACACTGTATATTGTTGCTCCTTATTATGAATCCTCTACTGGACCATCTTTATTGCCACATCACATATGTTTTCTTGCACAGCCGAAGCTGTCGACACAGTCTCAGAGGGCACACCTTGTTGGTGATGGTGTTGATGAGTTTTTTCTTTAGCTTCCTCAGCACAAGCTTACAGGCCTTCTGCAGCAGACGACTTTTAATACGGAGACACACACGGTTCAGGAGATTCTCGATCTTCTCCTGTAACAACATCACACATCAGGATGGACTAGTATAAATATATCAAGAAGGAGTAAAAGAATGTGGCCAAAAAAAGTGTGCAGAAAAGTACAATTTCTTTAAAAAGTTACTCAAGTAAATGTAACTGAGGACTGCCCATATCTGACAGCAAATATACTTCCAATAATAAGAATAATACTGTTCTGTGGTAGACGTTACGTATTCACTACAATGTACAAGTGGTGCATCTGTTTTTCTTTCATAAACATCAAGGGGGAGACTGGAAGCAAGAGTTGACTATCCCCTTCTACTACTTTTTCCAGCCAACACCAATGAGACTCACCATTACTTTCACAAAGACAAAGTGGGTGAAGTGTCTTGCCCAAAGATACAACAACACACTACCTTTGAGCTGTCTTTGCTGAGTTGACTTTGGACCCATTTCACAATGCGTTTGCAGACTGAACAAGCGCCAGGAATTCTTCTGCCATCCTGAAAGATTTAAAATATGTAACATTGCTTTTCACAATTTATACAGTTTAGACTGGTGCTTACAACTAACAAGAGAAAGGACTGGTTTAAAAGTGTACCCTTTTTGGTGAGAGGTGTCATTTTGTTTCCATGGAGATGTGACCACTTTGTCTGTAATGTTCCACAGTAATAATATTCTACATACTGTATCTATTAGTACCTTCATAGAGATAAGGGCAAGTTACAGGTCAGATCTGTGGATGCATGTCTTTTGAGAGAAGAATAAAAAAATACATGTAATTCCATAATCTATAACATGTCAGGTAATAACATCTCCATGGAGACAAGCTGATCCTCCATCGGAAATGTTACATAGTGCATCTTTATAAATACATATAAAGAAATCTAATGTTACAGTACAGGGCTGATTGTTGCTTTTGTGCCTCACCTCTTGTCGCGGAGGTCTCCATGAGTTCACAACAGCTGGAAAAGAAAATAATTTAATATTGTGTGTTTGGGGCAGAGAGAGCTCCAGGAGGGTTGTGGTGGTTGTGGTCTTACCGAGGCAGATCAGGAGCAGGGCGAGGCAGCATAGAGCTCTGGTGGCCATTGTGGCTTTGTTAGAGTTTCACTGCACATTGTGTGACGCTTCTGCAAACTTCATGAATCAGCAACACACTTATTTTTATCTCTGGTTTGTGCAAAACTGAACAAAACAACAGAAGGAAGAAAGACCTCACCCAGTCTGTGAACCAAAACTTACTTAGACCTTCTTCCAAGGCCTAATGCAAATGTTATTATTTTTGCAGATTTTTTTTAAGGAGATAACATTTGGATGAAGACAAAAATATGAACTGCAGGACTAATCCAAGAATCATATGGATTTCAGAATTTTTAGAGGTCTAATCTACAGACCAAGGCTCTGTTTCGAGAAGCAGGTTTAGTCCAAACTTCTGAAAAGAGATCCACCCAGAGTTTTCAGTTTCACAGAGAGAATGAACCTAACCTGGTCCAGAGCATGTTTTATTCCTCTAACCTCTAAGAAGTTTAAATGTTTAACTCTGAGCAGATGCATGAAATATGATGCTTAGTTTGTGCTGTAGTACTTTGCTGTACTGTTACTCTTGCTGTATTTATGAATACAAACTGGTGTCAAAATTATGCTCTGATATAGGAATAAAGTGTACGCATGATAAGCTCAAGCTTCAGCCTCCACCTTTTCAGTCTGTGTATGTTAAATATGTCTGTCTGTGAAATAATGTCAGAATATACCTGTGACTGAAATCAATCAACCAATCAAAACCCTGACTTTAACCTGAGTCTGCTCCTGAAGAAGAGCTCTGACTGGACAGTTCACTTATGTATTCAGGTTTTATGATGAGAATTTAACTGAAAGTGAATTTATTTATCACTTTGATACATTTAGTTTCAGTTTGTAATTTATAATATAGCACAACTCACTGATTATGATAACTTTGGCCAAGTTTATCAGCTTGATACAAGCAAACAGATCAATTACTACAATTACTCAACACACTTTAGTCCAGTTACACTTCACCGTTAAGGGCTGATCCCACCGTGTGTGTGTGCAAACTGATTTGTTGGGCTGTCCATTTATTTTATTTTTGTATAGCTACCCTTAAAACGTGAGTTAATTTAAAAGAAAGAAATGCTTTTGAACATGATTGTCTCAATAAACTTTGTACATCATATGCTGCTTCGTCCTTTGTTTTGCCTGACCTGACTGTTATTTATTTTAAAGGGACCTTAACCTCTCCCTGGTTACAATAACTTAGCTTTGATCAATCAACATTTATTGTTTTCTGTTTATTATTACATGTATTTAGTATTTATATTATGTTCTTAAATCTTAATGCTATTTCATATTCTAGTACTTAGCTTTTGACATTTAATCACTTTTAGGATGTGGGATTGTTTTTAATGACTGTAAAGCACTTTGTGTATGAAAAATGAAAAACTTAAGTCTGATGATGTGAAATACAGTATATGTTTGTCAGTGTTGTGCATGAACGAGTTCAAAAGAACGCGTTCATTGAACACGTTCATTTTTCAGTGAACTTTGAACTGAACGCAACACTTTAGTAAATCAAGAACTTGAACGTGAATTTGTTCAAATTATGTGTGATGAACGACGTACGTCACTGTTGGGGTTCAGTTAAACGTCGGAATTTGTTTGCACCTGACGAGTGACGATCTGCTCGCACTTCACCTCGCGAAACCGGCAGCTTTAGCGGAACGTACGGGCTCTTGTGTCTCTCAATGGGAAAGTCAATCAAACTTGACTGAGTGCGTTTAGCTGCTTGTATTTACCTTCTGTACAGGCTGACCACGGCAAACGCAAGGATTTCAAAAGTAAATTTCAAAGCACTAATTGAACAGTGTATGTTGATCTGGGCTCTTTCACATGATACACAACTGCCCAGAGAGCACAATGTGCTGATGGTAAATGCACAAATACAACAATAGATACGTACTCTCTGTGTATTTTGACGGGGATACGCGCCTACGCGTGTAGAGCGTCAAAAAATAGGATGGATCCTATTTTCTGAAATCTACACGCACAGGACGTGCTGCTCCGCGCGCTTATTATTTTACTTGGTACAAATGTCAGTAACGCGCGTCACAATGCTTTTTTAACCTGGATTGAAATGGTGGGTTTTTCGTTTTTCTTCTTACAAATTTGTTAAAATCACCGCGATATCAGCAGCGGTGAAACGCCGGAGGTTCGCCCGCGTAGACCGTGATCCTGAGCGAAAGGACCGACGCAGAAGTCCGCGCTCCACCGAACTAAACGCAGCTGACGCCCGATCGCACTCGGGGTTCTCTCAGGGGCGGTCCTAGATTCCAAGTTCTCGTCCAGGATTAGTCCTGGTTTGGTCCTGGTTTAGTCTTGGTTTAGACCTGGTTTAGTCCTGGTTCAATCCTGGTTCAGTCCTGGTTCAGTTCTGGTTTAGTCCTGGTTTAGTCCTGGTTTAGACCTGGTTTAGACCTGGTTTAGTCCTGGTTCAGTTCTGGTATAGACCTGGTTTAGTCCTGGTTTAGACCTGGTTTAGACCTGGTTTAGTCCTGGTTCAATCCTGGTTCAGTCCTGGTTCAGTTCTGGTTTAGTCCTGGTTTAGTCCTGGTTTAGACCTGGTTTAGACCTGGTTTAGACCTGGTTCAGTCCTGGTTTAGACCTGGTTTAGACCTGGTTTAGTCCTGGTTTAGACCTGGTTTAGTCCATATACGGTGCAAAAGTTCAGCATCTTAACAGTTCTTTTGGTGAGAGTAAATTAAAAGTGCTGCAATAGTCATATAATGTTTTACATTTTAAATACAGTAATATTGTAATGTAACAAATGACTTTGAAATGACAGTAACAAGTCATAAATAACACATTACAGTTTTAAAGTCACTTGTCCAACAGTGTATCTTGTAAAGTTGTTGTAAACTAGAAGTCAGTTTGAAAAATAAATGCAGCCTTTCATTTACAGATCTCATCTAAATATAAAATGAACTGAACTTTGAGCTAGTTCAAAATTAAAATTGTGAACTATGAACATGAACTATTCACTTTGAACAAGTGTGAACTGAACTTTGAACTAGTTCATGAAAAGTGTGAACTTGCACAACACTGATGTTTGTATTATCTGTATTTCCTCACCATGCCAATTTGTAGCTCAATTGAACGACCACAGATATTGTGGTTAGAACACCAGTAGAGGGAGCTGTAATTTCACACACGAGTATTTCTGAGACAGCTGAAAGGAGCTGTTACTCAAAAGGTAACCTCAACTTACCACATACTATTCACAACAGAGAAGTTGTACTAGAACACAGCAGCACAACGACAACACTGATGGAAATAATGTAACAAAGAAACATTTTATTCTTATACATATGTACAACAGAACAATATCGGTTTTCCAAAAGCTCAGTGCAGGTCAGTATTGTCTCTATACATCATGCTATAAATGCAGTCATTATAAAAGCAGATTTCTGTACACAAGCGTCCATGTTATTATGAAACCCACAGAACACCTCCTCTCTGGTATGGCAGACATTGTACAGTCAAAGTCTTCATGAAGGAAATGCAGCTGTTAACCCGTCCCAGATATGTCTCCAATACTAGTCCGACATAACCATACGCAAATATTTTAGTTTGGGGATCCTATATTAATTGTTCACTGGCTGTAAAGTGGTTGGTTAGATTCTTGTTACCGTTTACTATTTTTTAAACCAAACATTATGAATAACAGTTCTCCATTTACCATAAACTAAAACACAATTTAAAGTCCATAGTGAATCTCAAAAAACGTGTCCTTTATTAATTGCACCCCACTGGACTGTATATAACCTGCCCTCTTGCTGTTTAAAGGGTACTACAATCAAAATTAAACCTGGAGTGCCATTGTCTTAACCTACAGATAATGTACACATGCATGTTTTTCTCAGCATACGGACAGGCCACGTCACTTGTGAAAATCTCAAAACCTCCAGAATTCAGTCAGTGAGCTGCAGAAGCTGCACTAGCACTGATTCCTCATTGGCTGCAAGTGCTGGGGTTTAGGCTGTGACCCTTCAGATGAGGGAAAGTTATTTTAGGTTTAAACCAACTGGATTTCAGTGTTCAAACTTGCAACCCAAAGTAGAGACTCGTGTGAGGCTCATTCTGCTTTCTGACTGGATAATCGTGTTGAAAATCAAAACATCAAATTATTCCATAAATAAATGGAACATCAGTAAAAGTTATATTTGACTTGAACACGTCTTCTTCGTTCCGTTCGAGGTTATGACATTTTAAATCAATATGTTACTTAAGCTGTTCTACCTCACCTTATATCCAGCTGTCTTCTCTCAAATCAACCAAATCATTAACCAAACTATTTGTGACTGTCAAAATGATCACCAATGATCAACATTGTAAAGATGAGAAATAAACATTAATTGTAAATGCATTGCCTAGCAGAATCTAATAATGAAATGAAAAGGGCAATGTAAAAGTAATATTTATAAATCTTAACAAATACATAAAACAGTTTGCTAAAAATGCACTATCAATAAACTGTCCTGTTGGGCTGTGTATTTATCTACACCAGTATTTATCAAATACTTCTCGAATTATATTATTAGTATGGTGAATTACTTCAGTATATTTATCCAGCTGAACTACAAACAATTCTTCCTAAGTCTCATCTCAATAAAGCACCCAACTATTTTAATGGGCTTCAGTCTACTGCAGATCAAAAGATATATATATATATTTTATTGTTAATTACTATGAAAACAGTGCTAATTTTCCAATATCCACAGACAAGGGCGTAGGTTTAGGGACGGTGGGGACATGTCACAACCAATATTTGGAAAAGACAAAATAGTCCCTACCAATATTTGCCATTTTATTTAAATAAACAAAAATATTAATTTATTCTGATATTTTTCCAGACTCAGTAGTATTAATTTAACACGTTTTAGTTCACATTTAGTTTATTAGATGTTCTGAGATGTATTCAGTGATATGATGACAGGGTTACCTCTGCTGCTGTTTCATTGGCTGCAACAGAGTGATGTCATTAGTGGAGCCAGGAGCCTAAACTGGGGAAGCAGCAAGACAGGGCCAGCACCCGAAAATGGTGGCTTGAGCAGACGTGAGTGAAGACGCTGCAACTATGAAAAACTTTTCAAAAGGAACTTACTTGGCTTCATTTTCAATTAAACTTGCCTTATAATGTGCCACTGAGAAAAAAGAGCGATTATCGCCTACTTGTGCACCAAGATCAGCCAGACTCTACTGACAATATTCCATGGAAAAATGTACGGACATGACCTCACAAATATCTCATCACCAACAAGCAAAGGGAAATCTGCTACAAACTTCTACATCACTGTTATCTGCTAAAGAATCATCTTAGAAGGGCAATGGACACAAACTGTACATTTTGCGAACTGAAAAATGAAACCACCTCTCACTTATTTTGGACCTGCCCAGACTCTGTGTGTTTTTGGAAAGAATTCATAAAACATATGGAGGTTAGCTGATAATGTCCCCACCAATACTGAGACCAAATCTACTCCCTTGTCCAGAGATACCATCTTTTTACTCAGATTTTGGATTATTTGTATTTATAGACGTAATGTGGTTGTAGTGGATACCCTCCAAGACAGTAAATCATCTCATCTTCTTAAACAAAGTGAGACAAACATACCCAAAAGAATGTCTCAATAAATATACAGCTATATTCATGGGTTTAGATTCCTGTTTAAAGGTGCCATTTTGAGTACTGCCAGCCATTCACAATCATCTCATCTTCTTAAACAAAGTGAGATTTGAAAAAGTCAGTTCTATCTAGAGCCACTTCAGGAGCAGGAGCAGTCCTTATGGTGAGGGGTGGGTTTTTTCTCAAATGATCTCCAGAACATCACAGGGGACGTAGCCTCTCCTTTTGCCACTCGCCACTCGGATGAAGCCGCTGTGCTCTGGTTCACTGCTCACACAGATCTGCACCAACGAGAACGACGGTCAACTAAAGATTATTTTAGTACTCAACTATGACAATGTTATTTTTTTGTACATTCAGATTTTTTAAAATGTGTAAATATGGTAACTTCAGACTTCTTCTTTTACCCAAAATGGATTCTTGTGAGCTTTAAACCTTTAAAGCTTTAATGTTATAATGAATGACCTGGAGTTGTGTTTTGTTTCATTCACAAATGTTTAAGTAATCTAGCTGTATTAATCTGTCTACACCTCCAAAGCTCAAAATGCTCTGATAGTTTTCATGTTACCCAAGTTACTTTTTACTTTTTGTTCAGCAGAGATTGGCAATTCGAAGCCTGAAATCATCCAAATGATTCTAGTGAAAGTGTATGTAAGTTTTAAATACATTTTATAACAAAGCAGAGCTCTTCCTGTATTACCACATGACATCACAAGGAGTGTTTTCTGTTTGAGAGAAGAACTCAGCCTAAATATGAAGGGTTTGTGTGTTAAACAAATGTGAATGAAACAAAACACAATTCTGGGTATGTTTTTGATGAAGAAACAACATGAAGAAAATAGTGAAACACAGGCGCCTTAAGATGTATTATTGATAAATTCTGACATTGTTTATTCTTTTTGTTTTTGTCTCTGTCAGAGCTGTGCACTCCAGTTAATGCTTATGATTATGAATGTATAGGTTGGAAAACTAGTTAACCACCATTATAAAAACAAGTTTTTCCATAAACGTATCATCAATCATCATCAAAACTGGACAAGCCCCCAAAGACCAAACTATGAAAAACAGAAAGCTGGGGGTCTCATCTCCACCAGGGAGTTCAGTGTCCTCACATGCCCCAAAGCACTGTGGGAAGTTAGGAATCTGGCTTGAATTCAGACAGAGGAATATAAATAATGAATTATTAATTTCAGTAAACATTGCAAAGAGTTTACATAGATTATGAAACAAATACATATTACTTAAACCATATTTTCTTCATGTATATAGCTCAGTCATTATTGTTTGACACAATTTAAAACTCCAGCCAAATGCAGTTTTTACTTTAAACTGAATGCAAGCTCCTTTCCTCAGAATGCTAAATGGATTGAATACCTGTCCTTCCTTCAGGGTGATCTGGCCTTGCTCTTTACAGCCAATGAAAGTCCTGTTACACCTGTACACCTGGTCTCCGCCCCGCACCTGATGAGCAAAGGCTGCTGGGAAATATCCGATCCTGTCCTCGATCACCCCCTGAAACAAACACCACCACGCCACATCAATCAATGACGGATATAAAAGTCAAGAGTTATTGCAATATTGCTTTTTTACATTTCATACAGTATATACACATGTAAGACTAAACACAGAATCAAAATAGAGGAGATCACTGAGCCCAGATACAGCATGTGGCCTCTTGTCTCTCGTGTATGTGCCATGCATCTGTGACCCAGCCTGTTGCACTGTCCCTGTACGTTATCGCTATGTATAGAATGTTCCACAGTATGGAGTTAAATGTATTTATCCTAATGGGACAAGCTGGCTGACAAAACTAGGCCAAGTTACAGGTCAGATCTGTGGAGTGTGTGTTTTTCAAGATATCATTGACATAAGGATGAAATAAAACTACTAAAACAACTCACTTTCCACCAGTCATCATTGGAGTCATCAGCCAATAGAATTCTGTCCCCAGCTCTGGAATAAAAACAAAAGTCTTTCAGATGTGTGGTTAGAGATTTTATTAACCTATATCTGCTGTCACATATTTACTGAAACATTGTCAAATATATTACTTTCACAGTTGACAAAGCAGCAATCCTAGAACACGTTTTGGGTCACAAATAAAAACATCTTTTGTGCTGAATGATTACACAGTGTGTTTAATCATATGCAGGTTTTCTGATCAGAAAAACAAAAGCTATCAGCCACTTCATTTTCTTTTGTGTTTTTGTATTGTAATAATTATAAAAAACACAATGATTGTGAATAAATTTGAATAGAAAACTAGCACAAACATGAAAAGCACTGAATAATGTGGTTTCTTTGATTACCATCACACAACTCAAGATCTCATTATTTTGTGAATGTATGGACTAGTGACAGCAGAGCCAGATAAAAGCAGAGGATGCCAAAAAATGGACTCAAGAGAATTGTTTTCTCAAATAATATTGCTCAAGGACAAGAAAAATGAAGCCAAAGATAGTGATTTTATTTTATTTATTTATATATTTTTTATTTTTATTTTTTAACCATGAATCACTCCTGTGTGAATGAGGGATTACACTGACTCTAGTGGGCGAAGAAATAAGAGTAAATAAATAAATAAAAGTATTTAGGGAAACTACTACAAACAGGAGTGACTATCTTGTTGTAATACCCAAGTTTTAGTTTAGCTTATTTGAGCACTGTGATTGGATGGACAAAACCTTCAATAATGCACAAAATCTGTATGTTGTAGAAGACACAAATGTTTAATATAAAGTTTTTGTAACTTAAACTTTTACTCAAGTCCTGTTACACTGTAAAATATATTTGTCAACTAGGAGTAAAAGCATGGTCTCTAAAAACTATTCCAAAGCAAGAAGTACAAATGTATTAAAAAGTTACTTAAAGGGCCCGTATTATGCTATTTTCTGTTATAATATCGATCAACATTTGGATAATTTCAGCTCTGGAAATGCAAATCTCTGCTCAACAAATGGTAAAAGGTGGTTGTTAACTTGATCTTTGGAGATGTAGACAGATTAATAATGCAGGATTACTCAAACATGTGTGAATGAAACAAAACACAACTCTGGGTATGTTTTTGATGAGGGAACAGCTTTATAACATGACTTAAAGGGACAGTTCAAAAATTTTGGACATAGGGCCTCATTTCCTAGTGAGCCAGAGTGTTGGAGACGTGTGGAGAGACTTTTTAAATATTCCATCCAGTCCTTGTATTTGCAGAGGTCGCTGGTGCTAGGCTAGTGCATGTCAATGGCCATAGTTAGCCTGCCACTAAAAACAGTCTTACCCACTCCACAAAACACATGAAGCAAATCTATTATAAAGCCAGGCTATCACTGTGAATATCTAACTTGATAGAATAATTTTAGAAGTAAAACCAACCTTGCGTTTGAAGGATTTATGTCTGAGCAACAGCAGCGAGTTGTACTTGTTGCAGAAAGCTTGGCAGCAGTGGACTGATATGAGAAAATAGTCCCTCAACATGGGACAATTCATGCAATGCAAGGTTAGTTTTATTTCAAACATTATTCTATCAACGCAGACATTTACATCGACAGTCTGGTGTTATAAATGTTTTGCTTCGGGTGTTTTGTGGAGTGTGTAAAACTGTTTTTAGTGGCAGGCTAACTATGGCCATTGACATGCACTAGCCTAGCACCAGGGACCTCTGCAAATACAAGGACTGGATGGAATATTTAAAAATGTGTCTCCACATGTCTCCAACACTCTGGCTCACTAGGAAATTAGATCCTTTGTCCAATTTTGTGTAATATAGGACCTTTATGTCAACGCACTTCAGATCTTTTACATTTCTGAATGACTAGACTCTTCATTGTGGATGCAAAGTTGAGTCCTGATACTTGTACGTGATCTATGACGTTCTTCCTGACTGGAGCTGATGTTGCCTCTGCACAGTGGAAACTCTGTGGACTAAATCTGAACGGCCCTGGTCCCTCAAAGCCCAGATTGACTGATATTAATAGAATCTCACAGGTGCTTTAATGAGGCCACTGAAGAGAATAAATCTGTGAGGACTCCTGCCTGAAAGAGAGGCTAATTAGATCCCTTTGTATTCTTGCTTCTTTCACGGTGGAGAGCTGCCAGTGCTTACGATGACCATTTAAGTGCATTATCAAGGACAGAAAGGCCTAACAAAGGGGTTTTTTGTAAGAGATACTTTTAGCAACGCATTCTTGTTAAAATCCTTATCACTGCAATAAACTCGTTCCAATAAACACACTGCACACACACTTTCACTTTCTCAACACTTAATACTGGCTACTACTTAAGAAAATTGGCCCAAACTTGGTAGAAGAAAAAAAAAACATACACGGTGTGACTTATTACCTGACAAATTTGTAATAAACTTTTCAAGGTAAAAAAAAAAAGTTGGTAATGTTTTATCTTTTTTTAAACTTTTAATTCTTCTGGGTAATTCATCTCCACATCTAAAGCGGTAGATAAAATCAGAAGGATTGGTGCATTTTTATGGTCAGTAAAAATCAGATAAGTGGGATAATCAGATAATTCAATTATAAAATGTTTAATTCAATTCTTGAGTATTTGGAAGAATATGGAATGTTTCGCAGTATGGCATTAGATGACGGCATAGGGCTAAGTGACATGTCAGATCTGTGGGGAGGCGAGCCCACTCACGGTAAGTTTTTAAGTCAATAAATAATGTTATTGAGTAAACGCAAGATGGATGAGTTTAATGCCATACCAAGACTTTCCAAACAAAGCATCAACATCTCCATGGAGACAAACAGAAGGTTACCCTGATTCATCAGTCGATTTCACTTCGTGGAAACTGTCTGACCTCACAGCATTAGGATTCTTTCGCTCGACGGTAGGCGGGTACTTTTTTATCTAACCAATTGCTGTATTTGGTCGTGACGTATGTGATGCACCAAATCCTGTAGGAAGAAGGGCAATAACGTCTTTCCCCTTGATAAAATTCACCAAACATTCTCTTTGTTCCGACTTTAAATCCTCGATCTTGGGAATCGTTCCCAACACAGAATGTCTGGCTTCGTCTACATCCATCTTGACCGGTTTGTTTACTGTTGTGCTGTAACACAAAAGGGACCCCGACAGGCGCTTGATTTTGACGTCATGGCTTCACAGCTCACAGCTGATTGGCCGGTGCACAGTCTACAACTTCTGGGGTTCTTGCAAACCATCTGTTGTATTCTGATTCCTGACCTAGTTGCTGGAGCGAAATGAAATTGAGCGGAGGCACTGGGTGGCACCAGCTTGGCTAGCAGAAAGTGTATCCTCTACCAGAAAAGTAACACAGTGCACCTTTAATCTTAAAATAACTCACTGGACGTCCAGGTCGTGGCTCTCCTGGGCGGTGTAACTGTACAAGGCCACATATGTGTCCAGCTTTAGGACGTCTCTGTGAAGCTGAGTGGGCTCCATCTGGACACATACACACATGTAAAAGCAAAGTTAGTAAGCATAAAACAACAATGTTATATAGTAATAATGCATTCTGAATTCTCAGAATGTTATCGAGGAGTTACATTGTTGTCATAGTATCGGAGATAACTAAACAAACCATAATCCTTTGCTTTGTTTTTGTTCAGTCAGCAGGAAAACCCAACAACAAAACTCTTTTAAACACGTGTTAATTTTAATCTTTTACCACCATATTTGTACAAACAAGTTACAAGTACTATTAAATGGTCAGTCCATATTATGCTAATTTCTGATCTATGTTATAAAGTTGTTTCCTCATCACAAACAGACCTAGAGCTGTGTTTGTTTCATTCACACATTTAACACACAAACTCTGCATATTTAGACTGTACACCTTCACCAGAATCATTTAGGTCATTTCAGCACTGGAATTTCCAATCTCTACTGAACAAAAGATAAAAGGAGCAGCAGGATAATAATAAAGGATTACTCAGACATGTAAGAAAGAAACAAAAGAACAACTCCGAATATGTTTCAAATGAGGTATTGGCATTATAACATGGCTTACACTCACAAGAATCCATTTTGTGTAATATAAGACCTTTAAGTATTTCTAACAATACAACTATAGTTTTGAGTATCACATAAGTTATAAAGTCTTGTTTACTGCCACAAGTTCACAGTCAATCTGCTTTCAGTGCCGCGATGACACAGTGGGAACAGTGGGATCTCTGCTTTCGCACTTTTTCTTGAGCTCGTGGGTGTGGAGGAAGTTGCAGAGAGGTGTAAAAACAATTAAAAGAGAGGCACAGGGTTTGATCGCTGTAGTGTTTTCTGAAATTAAAACATTAGAACATGTTACAGGTGTTGGTAATGTATGGTCCGGTTGGGAACATATAGAGAAGTGTTCCTGGTCTGTTTTGGGACTCACTGTGCGTTTGATGAATGAGCAGAGGTAAAGCTAAAGTGCTTCTGTGCCCGCAGGCTCAGCGTGACAACAAAGTGGGCAGTCTATCACAGAAGACAACTATGGGTTCTATAGATTGGAGAGTAGGGATGGTTTATCGATTATCAGCGATATCGCAGATCACAGATATCAGTATCGGTACAACATAGAAAATTTGCTGATGTCTGGATATTTTTTCAGCAATCTGTGTGTGCCCATGTGTCTTTCTCAGTTTGTCCTCAGTGGTGTGACTTTTTAAGCAGAAGTTATATCCCTTATAAATATATTGAAAGCAAATTTTTAAACTTCACTATAACAAAAAAATTTGGTCCTTGCTATGGAATTTAAAAGCTTAACATGTATGGGAAAATATCGTTTACTGGCTACAAAAGCAAGACAAATTGGATATCGGACCATCCCGATTAGAGAGGAAATGATTAAGATTCAATTTAAGAATGGCCAAAATGAGTGCTGAGTCCCGACATGACACCCACATTGCCTCCTTCTCTTTGGAATAAGTGCACTTGGGAGGGCATCTGGTGCTGCCCACACTGTGTCTACTGCACCGGTCCCTGCTTCAAAGCAAGTATGATTATCCAAATGTGACTCTTGAGAACTTTAAGTCATGTTATAATGCTGTTGCCTCCCCAAAAACATACTTGGAGTTGTGTTTTGTTTCAGTAACCCCTCACGTAGTCTGTCTACTCCTTCAAAGCTCAAAATGCTCTGTTCCTGTAGTTTCTTCTTGTATCTTTTGTTCAGTAGAAATTGGCAATGTCAAGGCTGAAAGAATCCAAATGACTCTAGTGAAGGTGCATGGAGTTTAAAAAACACAGTCAAGCACTTCCTGTATGTATGTATATATGTACATGACATCACAAGGTGGAACGGAGTGTTTTCTGTTAGAGAAAAGAGCAAGTTTGTGTGTTAAACATGTAAATGAAACAAAAGACAAGTCTGGATATGTTTTTGATGAGGAAACAACAGTATAACATAGATCAGAAAATAGCATAATATGGACCTTTAAGCTAATGAAAGTACCTAGCTGAAAGTTTAGAATGAGTAACAGAAAACAGGCACAACGCTTCAGGCACTGCAGAAGAAACTGATGACAAAACAGGTTGTCACCTAAAACAGAGGAGGCTGCAGCTGAGATGACATCACACTTCTCAACACAATGAATAGCTCCATCTCCCCGGCTCCTGTCTCTGCTTTGTGTGAGCAGATGGCCATGCCTCTCTGTCTCTTGGATAGTCCGTCCTGTAGCTGATGCAGGGGCTGTTTTTTGGAGCATTTTTCTCAGATGACCACCCCGCCAAGCCTCCATCTGCGCCTCCACCATTCACCGTTAATGGAACCGTCGGCTGACAGACAAAGTGCCCACTTCCAGCTGTGCTCGGTCCAAGTGAAGAGGTGCGCCATTGCGGCCTTGTATGGGGATTTGATGATTTTGGTGTTTATACTAGTGCATCTATGGTCTTTTTCCACTGCAGACAAAAGACTGAACTGTTTAAACAAAATAGTTGTGTATATGAGCATTGATAGTGAATCTTCCTCAAATGACGCCACCCAAGAAGTTGAATGGCTCAGATAATTGGGTGTGCATTCTTATAAAGCAGGGAGAAGTTTTAATCTTGTCTTTCAGCAAGTTGGACTGCTTTGGACACAGCTACCCTGAGCCAAATCCAGGGTCAGGGCCACACCATATCAGTAAGCCTGGATGTAATCTGTTGCACACAACAGGAAGCTGTTTCCATCCCCGTCTTGGAAAATCTCACCACATGGATGAGTTGTAGGGGGTTTGGGGGAGAATGGGGAATGGACCCAGGACAAACTGGCTGTGTGTCAGTTCCCAGACTCACAATGTGCAATGCTGAGGTTTGCACAAATTAGTAGTAGTGGTAATGGAAGCTCAACCATAGCTTTTAACAATTAGAAATATAATTGTACTTGTGCATGAACCTCACTTTATCAACAAGACAGCATACTGTATTTTAACATTTATTTTTTTTAGTTTATAAGTTAGTTAAATAGTGATTACAGATGTAGCCAGTCTGTAGGGTAACTGTGAAATATGATTAAATTATCCATCAGAAAAGGCTTCATGAAAATGGTTCGTTCATTACAGTGAGAACAGTTCCTACCACTGAATTGTCGTATCCTCTCTCAGGGGGGAGGTAGTGCTCCATTCCGTTCTCCAGAACTGTGAAAACTAAAACATGAACAAAGAATGAGTGTATTAAACACCATATCATTTGCAAGCTACTTATAATAGATCACAAAGTAAAGAAGACTTTAGAAGAATAACAAAGAGTGAATATTGTCACCCCGACCCTGTAGGGCTGAAAGTATCATAGTGCAATCAGTCTGAGATGTGCAGTTGTGTACACATTAAACATGGCCAGGAGCATTATTATCAGTTTGTTTTAGGCTATGTTTATATGATGACGGTCTGAACAGAAGACGCAAAAGTGGCATCGTGTCTACACTTTTTATTCCACATTTAGACAAGTGTTTTTGGGAGAAAATCTGCGTGCATACGGTGACGCAAAAGTGTGTGGAATTCGATTGGGTATACATGCCAGGTGACTATGGCTACATATTTGTTTCTATGTCCTGTATGTATGTAATGTAAATTCGTACGAGACGTGAGCATCTGATCGGAGTTTTGCATCTTGGGCAGTGTAGACGGAAATGCTACGGTAGAGCGTATTCAACTTTTCCACTCTGGAGGGTGGTTTTGAGTATTTACGCCCCAAAAACGTAGTCACCGTCTAAAAGAAAGGGACTTCTGATAAAATATTTTGTTGTTTTTACCCGCAAGCATTCTCGTGTAAATATGCCCTTAGAGGTCAAAGCTACAGGGTTAACCCCCGTTGAGACAGGATATTTTATTCTTTGCAGAGAACATAATATAACTGCATCCTTTGCTAATTGTGACCATTCAAAATGTGATTTTGATTGTGATAAATCTGGCAGCTCCACCTAATTCAAATGATTATGGATGGGGAACCTGCAGAAACATTCCCTGATGTTCTTGTTTGGATTGCCAAATGGATTTAATTTGAATCTGAAGCTAATACATAACACGAGTGACTAAAATAAATAAAGCAACATGGTTTTCTTGTGTTTTTCTGTTCCCATTCTCATGTCACTTACCATCATCACTGTGTTTCCTGCACAGCTCCTGCTTACTGCTGTGTGCCACCACCTCCTCTGGAACATTGTCCAAGTCACTCAGCTGCACACATGGAGAGGTTTGTTACATAACTTTATCCTAAACACGACATTATCTTAATCACATTGGCTGGTCTTTCTTCACTAAACAAATGTGCTGCTTTAGACTCACATTTGTAAACTATTACCATAACCCCTGATGGGCTTGTTTGTAAGCGGCTCCATGCATACGCCCATTCACTAACAGCTGCACAGGACAGTCCAAGTGGCCCCAGTCCTCTCATGACTCTGCCCAGATGGCATAAACAGCCTAATCTAATCTAAGATAATTACGTACCTTATATAATGTCCATTCAGGAGTGTGTAGTCCTACGATCACTGTGCAGTATCTCGGAGCGCATGCCTTTATTGGTAGTGTGTACGGCTCTTGTGTGGTTTTATCAGGCCAGACAATCGGCAGTATGACAAACTGACGGTGAGGTGGGACCAGGTGGTTGTTATGCAAGTCGTAAGTCTATGGCCTCAAGTCCTATGCTTTGAAATTCAGGTCCTTTTAAGTCAAATTTAGCCCTGCATTAGGCCTGATAAATTGCGTAGTTTGGTAATCTGGTGATACTCAGAAGGCCAAATGTTACCTTAGGTGGTACTTAATGTGAAAAAGTTTGAGAAACACCATCTTAGTCCATTTTATTAAGTGATTTCTCAAGTTATCAGAACACAAAAACACTTACAAGTCTACACCTCTGGGAGATGCACATTCAGTTCAGAGATTAAACAACTGACTTAACACAAAAGATCTTATTCTTGCATGTAGTGAAGCTTAAACCCGAACATTTGTTTCTGTATAAGTAAGATCATGTTTGTTGGTACCGAGTTGTGGTGAGGTGTCTCTGAGCCGCTCGCCCTCTTGGCCTTCTGAGCCAGAGAAGTGCCGAATCTCAGCGCCTCGTACACAGGGTCCACCTTATTCCCACAGGCTTCACCGCGGGACCAGGGAGAGACAGAAAATATGAATTTACAGAAGCAGGATTAAACCAGCACTTCTACACTTCACACAACTCAAACTAACTCAGCCTCAAGATTCATATTCTGGAACTGAAATCTAACACTCAGACACCAAGACTGAACCTAGCCAACTTTCTTTTTTTTTTTTTTTTTTTATCTCTGAAGTATCAAAGTGACATTTCTTACAAAAAATAAATACCAATATGTGCAGGTGTATTACCAATGGGCATGACTTCCTTGATGCATCCGTACTGTTCCTGGATCAGCAGTGGAGAGCTGTAATACCTCCGGAATCCTTTTGGCTGAGGGCAGAGAGAGAAAGAAGTGCTTTAACAAACACTTAGCAGTGACATTCAGCGACTCAGTTTCATCATTGTACAATTTAGGATTTATGGAGGTATTGTTTCTCCTAGAATTTTCCATGGTATAACATTTTTATGGAGTCAAAATAGTTCCATAATACACACGCATGATAAACATGCATTCGGGCGTATTGTATTATTTCACGCACCTAGATATTAACTGCGAGAGAGCAAATTATCTGTGTGTGAGGAGAAATCTGTGACCTGTGCGTAAAACCACCACTGGGGGGCAGATGCACCCTCGAACTAAATCAGGACTAAACCAGGACTACACCAGGACTAATCTTGGACTTAAGAGAGAGAGAGAACCCCAAGCCTGCGGAGCAGGGTGTCCGCAATGCGTGATCCAGCGAAGGCTGCGCTTCCCACCGTGTGGAGCAGAGCTCTGCTCTCCTTTCGCCAGCGCTCACCTAACAGTCTGCGTGCACACACCTCCAAGCCCATCCCGACAGTGAGTCCTGGTTCAGTTCTGGTTTAGTCCTGGTTTAGTCCTGTTTTAGTCCTGTTTTAGTCCTAATTCAGTCCTAATTTAGTCCTCCTGGTACGTACCTGGAATCAGTCCTAGGTTAGTCCTGGGTTAGTCCTGGTGTAGTTCTGGTTCAGTCCATGCTGTGTGCAATGCAAAAGTCTGGCATCTCGATCAATGTTTCTTCTGCTCAGTAAATAATGCTTGTGAAGTGATGACAGTTGAGTCGCATCTATAAATTCTTATTTGTAATGAAGAAAGTGTAACAGTTTCATTTCATTTCATGATTGTAATTCTTGAAGTTGTAACTTTTCAGTGTGTATTCTGATGGATGCTTCAGTTAGAATGCTTTTAATTTGTGTGTGATTTCTCACGGGCATGAGCGGGTAACGAGTGTAATGTTAACGGGTCCGGGCTGGTGTGGGTTTAACTTTGATAAAATCGCAGGTTAATGGGTGGGTGCGGGTCTCCAAAAATGGACTCTGATGTAGCATGCACTGTATAACGTTACACAATGCATCTTTAACTTAAAATAATGTAAAAATCCCAATGACAAATTAACGCATAAATTTAAAATGCAAAAGTAAATGTGAAGATACAATTTGTAACCATAAAATAGGATGTGTAAAGATGTGCTAATCATACTTAACAATTCAGCAGTGACTTTACTTCTCACGCGAAGCACACGCATGGAATCATTTACAAGACTACACGGTACACAAGGCTGTCAGTACATTTTATCCTCTGCCCCAACAAACTAGGAAGAAAACAGATCACTCTTATGACTTTGAGACTGACATGGGACCATTATCATACAAGACCATACACACACCACTGGAACCCACTGTGGTAGGGCAAGTTTATAGAGAAATCACAACGGTTAGAGCCAAGAAACAATCATCAGTTTGACTCACAATCACATTTAAAGCAGGACTCGAGATTTAACAGTGCCCTATGACACAGTGCAGCTTATAGATTTGGTGGAACCCGGCCCTTGTCTGTGCCCTGGGAGTGGAAAATGAGGTTGAGAGGTCGAGCATAAAAAGGACCTTTCCCCAGCGGACTACAGCTCCAAATCAGACTGATCCTAAAGTTGGACATGGATCATGGTCAGGCTTGTTTTTGTTGGCTCAAGGAAGTACAGCAAAGAGATTATTAAATTACATCATATAGTGGATGTTTATGCTTATAAAGACCCATGACATCTGCCTTATCAGCTGTTTTCCATTCTCCGCTCTTTACCAGTTGTTTGGAGCAATATAGAAAAATATGTGCAGAATAATTTCACACATTATTATAGCTACTAGAGAATTTTGCATGTGTGAAAACCAAAATACAAAAAAGTATATCCTGCAACTTAAAGGGCCCATATTAGACTATTTTCTGATCTGTTATAATGTTGTTTCTACATCATAAACAGACCTGGAGTTGTGTTTTGTTTCATTCACGCATGTTTAACACACAAACCCTGCATATTTAGGCCAAGTTCTTCTCTCAAACAGTCTGTTCCACCTTGTGATGTCATGTGCTAATACAAGAAGAGCTCCACTGTGTTTTAAACTCCATACACCTTTACTAAAATCATTTGGCTAATCAAAATAATACAATAATTTTACTATTTTACACCTGGAGTTAGTCATCTCTGCTGAACAAACCGTAAAAGGTAACTACCACTTCATGACATCACAAGGTGGAACAGAGCATTTTGAGCTTTGGACATGAAGAGAGACTAATAATGCAGGATTACTCAAACATGAAAGAAACAAAACACAACACCAGGTATGTTTTTGTGGAAGTCACAACATTATAACATGACTTAAAGCTCACAAGAGTCAGTTTTGAGTAATATCGGACCTTTAAATTGAAACGTGATCATGATTACTGACATGATTACTGAGCTTTTTAATCAATTGTCTGTTGTCTGACAGTAAAAGAAGTTGGTTTGAAGTTCAGACTTTGACAGAATTAATTGGAATTTAATTTGAATTAGGTGCACTACGCAACCTTAGCCAGGCTGGTGCCACCTAGTGCCTCTGTTCAATTTCATTTCTCTCCAGCGACTAGGTAAGCCGGCCAATCAGGGAAGAGCTGTGAAGCCATGATGTCAAACTCAAGCGCCTGTCTGGGTTCCTTTAGTGGTACAGCACAACAGTAAACAAAGCGGTCAAGATGGATGTAGATGAACTCATACATTCTGTGTTGGCAACGATTCCCGAGATCGATGATTTAAAGCTGGAACAAGAATGTTTGGTGAATTTTATCAAGAGGAAAGACGTTATTACCCTTCTTCCTATGGGATTTTGGTGCATTACATACGTCATGACCAAATAGCATTGGTAAAATAAAAAAAGTACCTGCCTACCATCGAGCAAATGAATCCTAATGCTACAAGGTCAGACGGTTTCCATAAAGTGAAACCAGCTGATGAATCAGGCTAATGCAACCTGCTGGTATCCATGGAATTGTCATTGCTTTTGCTGGTATGGCATTAACCTTCTACCTTGCATTTATTTAGGCTTGCTGCTCCATAGATCAGACAGATCTATCCTGTATCTTGGCCTGGTTAGTGTAAATATAAGTTGTAGTATAAGTTGTATTTTTCCCTGATATTAATTTTGCATTATGTATTACTGTTGTGAGTGACCTTGATTTCTATATTTGACCAACAAAAGATCATAACAGCTCAATTTTAATAGTGATAGTAAGTAGTATGCCATTGACTTTAGACTGATATATTGCAAGTTTGTGCTGTTACGTGTGCAGCCAGTTGGGGGTGAGGTGCATGCTGGGAGCTGGCTGTTGCTCTCCAGGTGAAGCAGATGTATGCTCTCTTAACCTTTCTATTAATGAGTTCACTCCAGTTAAAGTGACGCTTCACTGTTTGAGCTCAAGGGATGCTTATTTTAGTGTCAAATAAATACTTAATAAGGCCTCAGCACTGGCTTAGGTAATGTAAACTAACGCTCAGCAGGCTACGTGAAGTACGCTGTATTATATTGGAGTTGAGTTTTGTTTTGAAAAGAGGCACTTAATCTTGATCCAGATAATTTCATATAGCTACTGACAAAATTTGAGAAAAATAAGGCATAATCTCCATATCTGTGTGTAATGAGGTATTGATTAGGCAGAGAAAAGGCAGGAGACAGCAGAGTGAAGAATGTGCGCTGGCTTCAGTTAGACACAATATTACTCACGTAGGCCACATTCCAGCAGTGTCTCTTATTTTGTCATCCCCAAACATAAATTACTTTTTATATGCATATAAGGAAATCTGTGGATCCAAATGCGAATGCCCAAGACTCAAAATACATAAGATATTTTTACATATTCTGTTAAAGTAAAAAAACATAGAAGCATCACATAAAGGGAGCTATATGTTATTTGTTGCTAAAATTACCATTTTGCGTTTTCTGGTGTGTGAATGGACACGTATTTCTCACATTATGACTGAAATCTGTATACATGCATAACTTATGGAAGAGGTGGGGATTTGAAAGTCGTGACTTGGACTCGAGTCAGACTTGAGTCACTATTTTTAGCACTTGAGACTTCACTTGATAAAATGGACTAAGACTTGGGACTTGACTTTCTACAACTCTTACATACTCTATAAATACTCATATATAAATATACTATACATTTTTTAAGTACAATTTATCTTACATTCATATAAATGACGACTTGGACTTGACTTGGATTTATAAACCAGTGACTCGAGACTCGACTTGGACTTGAGGTTAAAGACTTGAGACTTACTTGAGACTTGATCCCACCTCTGCCTTATGGTTATAAAAATCAGGTCCCTATGAGGTAAATCGCTCACTATTAGATCAACAACACAGTTCGAAGTTAAATTTAGGTTAAGGTGAGACTAGAAGTAATTCTGGTTAACCTTAGGATCAGTTTCCAGGAAATGTCATGTCCCTAAAAAGCATGAAACCCAACAGGATGTGTGAGGTCATATGAGGCCAGGGCGAATGGTTTAACGTTTCCTCAAAGGCCCTTTACCTGATTGGTACTAGGGGTGTGCAAAAATATCAAAATATCGATATATCGTACCATTTAACGTGATGATACATTATTGATATCATGAGCTGCTGTATTGATATATCACCAAGAGTATTTTTAGGTATATTTTTAAAAAATTTACTGAATTATTTGGTTACAGTGCTACAGGTTGTTAGTCAGGCTGGCACCATCTAGTGTCTCCACTCAATTTAATTTCTCTCCAGTGACTAGGTCAGGAATTGGAATACACGTATATACATAGATGGTTTGCAAGAACCTCGAAAGTGCAAGTCCAGGCACCAGCCAATCAGCGAAAAGCCATACATTCTGTGTTGGCAACAATTCCTAAGATCGAGGATTTAAAGCCGGAACAAAGAGAATGTTTGGTGAATTTTATCAAGGGGAAAGACGTTATTGCCCCTTCTTCCTACAGGATTTGGGAAAACTTAATATACCGGTTAGTCCCGTTAGTGGCGCATTATTTGCGTCACGACCAAATAGCAGCGATTGGTTAAATAAAAAAGTACCTGTCTACCACTGAGCAAATGAATCCTAATGCTGCGAGGTCACACTAGCATTTTCTTGCTTGTTTTGAGAAAGGAAATTCGTTTATGCGACACAATTGACATTTTCACAGTTTTGATGATTCAAATGTTTGTGTTTCTTATGAACTTTGCATAAGACGTGGTTTAACAAAGGCTTATAGTATCACAGCCATGATTTAGCCTTTATTTTTTATAGAACCGTATCGAATCGTTTTGAAATATATATCGTATTGAATCGAAAGTTCAATGTATCGAGATATGTACTGTATCATGGCCTCTGTATTGAGGTATGTATCGTATCAGCAACTTCTTAATGATACCCAGCACTAATTAGTACCATCTTAAAAACGTGAAAAACAGAACTAACGCTTATTCCTCACTTACTTTAGGCATTCCGAGCATCCTAATTTTTCACTGTGATCAGTTTATCTGCGCTTTTCACAACTCCCAGAGACCACCAGTGCGAGTTTTGTCATGACAGCAAAGCTATAAACAACTAGCATGCTAACAGACACTTCCTGATTATCGCACAATAAAATGGTTTCTAATTAGATGCAGACAGTACATGGCAGACACATTTTGACCTCGAGAGCTGCTTATACAATATTATACAATGTAAAGTGTTTTGAGAATGTCGTTTCACAGTACAGCAGTCCAAAGTCAATAAGTAACAGTCAAAGGGATGTGTTCATGTGTACGGCGTCTTGAGTGGACACTAATGGCTCTGGTCCTAATGGCAATACTCCACAGTTGTGAAGAACGGGTCAGTCGTGCAGCAGAGCGCTGCAGTGCATTCTGGTTATCTAACCCACAGACAGTGATGATATAAGCGACACTGACGAGGAAGTGTGATTTCTGAATATGCACATCGCACAGCCAGCTCTGCTCTGCCAATTCGACGGCCAGCGTGTCTGCGGCAAATATTCACAATTTTGCATCCTGAAAAAATGACACGTTTGCTGAGACGAAGCTGCAGAATCAAAAGGAATCTGGGGGACATGGAGTTTTTACTGTGTATAATGTTGCCTTCTAAACAATTACAACACTCACTGGACTTGTTCTGTGTTATTGCTTTGATTGGTATATTCCACAGTATGGCATTAAAAGTCTATTCAGCTTTTGTTTTCATAAGAGGTGATTTTATTGTTCAGAAATATCTTTAAGAACATGCATTTTTATGTGAGTGGGCCTGCATCTCCATCAAACTGATCTGGCCTGTTTGCCTCCATGTAGATAGATAAGTTACTGTGAAACATTCCAGGTTTAACGGATAAATACACCTACAAATCAGTTTTTTTCAGTTTAGTTCATGCAAATTAGCCATGTGGTTTTAAGTTTTGTTACACTAAAACGTAAACAAATGTGTGCAAAACTGCATTAAACACATTATAATCTCAAACGGGCTGATGTGGCTCTGTAGTGGTTATGGTTTATCTGTTGTTAAGTTTAGTATTGCAAAGTTTATTGCTGCAGTGTATAACTTGTACAGTAGCATTTGGAAATGTTCAGTTTAATCTGAGCAGTGGATTGTGGGATACATTAGAGCTCCTTACTGCTGGTTAGGAACATGGATCTATTAAAATAAGCTCATGGTTATGGTTATTGTACGGTTAACAGAGTTAATGCAAAGATGAGCTTGAGTTGAGTTGGGTGTTTTTTGAATGAAAAGAAAGCAATACGTATTATTTCTTCCTTTATTTTACAGTAAATTATAATTTTTATATACAGGCTTTTTTTTTTTAAATGTCGCAGAAGCACTTTGTTCCTACATGAACGGTCTACCTCTTTGCACTTCAATAAAAAAATAAATAAAATAAACTTGTGGAATTTGGCAGATTTGCTTTTGCAGTATTTTTTTATTCTAGGCGCTGTACCTGATTTCTCTTGAAAACATGTAAAACTATTTACAAGGATCCAAAGTTATTCCTCATGTACCTTATGAATACTGAGTATCATAATTATTCACTATGTTGAGTTCATAAACTCTTTTCACAACTTACACTGATCAGATTGGAGTTTTGCATGATGATAAAGCTAACAACAACTAGCATGCATTGCACACACTTCCTTATTGGACAATAAAACCCTTTGTAATTAGACACAGACAATACACAGCAGAGTTACTGACCTCAAGAGCTGCTTATATAATATAACTGTACTGTGACAAGTGATGGTATTTTTGCTCAAATACATGGAAAAAAATATTGTCAACCTACACTTTTAAAACTGAATCATGGATGACAAATGATCAACAAAGAGTAGAGTGGACTATATTGACTTAAAAGGTGTTTATTTACATTTTAACAGCACTCACCAGTTTGCCCATGCAGCGCTGTTGTCCCACTCCGTTCTCACACTTGTGGTGGAGGCTCATCTTGCAGGCTTTGCAGCGCAGGCCATGCTTCGCCGTGTTTCCCGCCAAAAACACCACATGTTTGGCTGTGGTACCTGCGCACAGATGACACAAAGAAGAAAAGACAGAGGCCTCAGTTTGATCATGGCAACAATGGTCTTTTATTTCTACAGTAACCCCTCCTTACGCCAGTCAAATCTATAGTCTTTATTACGCAAAATTGTGGTAGCTTTCTAGTTAACAGCTACCTTTTACCTTTTATTCAGTAGAGATTGGTAACTCCAGAGTTAAAATTATCCAAATGATTCTAGTGAAGGCGTATAGAGTTTAAAAACACAGTGGAGCACTTCCTGTTTAACCACATAACATCACGAGGTAGAACACTGATATGGGGTAGTTTTAATTTGAATAAACAATACCATGGTCCAATGGAGCAAAGAGAAAAGGACATGTTTAATTTGAGGAAGTTTAATTAAAGGAAGTTGATAAGGTGAACAAAGACAGTGGACGTTATTTATTATTTATTACGATATGATGCAGTATTGTGGGTAGTGAGTATACGTAAAGGTTTTGCCATTTATTTTTATCAATATGACCCTTGTTAACATAGAATTACCTCTTCAGAAAAATACTTTTACTTTTCAGTCCTACTTGTCTCTACCTGGGCTACAGAAGCTCAGGTAGGTTCAGTTTGGCGACATTAGTTCAGATGGTAGAGCCTTTATCCACTGATCCTAAGGTTGATGGTACATACACATCATTGGTAAAGAGGTCGGAAGGCGGAGCATTTTCATCTGTGGAAATCAGAGTTGGAGAGAACATCACTTTCTTCTCTTCCACTGCTTGAACCTGAGGAGAGCCAAGTGTTCGATTCTATGGTGAGATCCCTGATGAGCCAGTAACGGCATTAACTCCAAGTGATTCTGGAGTGTGTTCTAAAGAGAGGCGCAGTTATACAAACGCTGGAGATCATTTTTGCTTTGAGATGCCGGACAATGGCAGAGATAAGGACTTCTTTGGTCGCTGTTTGGATGATTCATCAATAGACAGTCCCCTCCAGTAACCCAGGAACCAACACCAAAGCCTGAACCAGATGTGATGAACAAACTCAGAGCGGACAACTCTCACGATGATGAAAGATCACATGTCAGTGTGGAGACATCTGAAAGTGCAAGTGAGCCTCAAACCTCTAAAAAAGAAGAATGGAAACAGGAGGAAGAAGCAAACCTTGTGATTACAGGCCAACCTCTATCAGCTAAGATCCACTGTGGCCAATGAGGAGGAACTGGCAAAATCCTCAACTTCTGAACCTGAGGAGAAGCCAAATGTTTGATTCTATGATGAGATCCCTGATGAGCCAGTATCATCAGGGATCTCATTAACTCCAGCATTAACTCAGAGTGATCCTTCAGTGCGTCCCAAAGAGCAGCGCAGTTAGACAAAGGCTGGAGATCGTTTTTGCTTTGAGAAGCCGGATGATGGCCCAGATATGGACTTCTATTGTCACTGTTTGGATATTTCGTCAATGGACCAAACCACAGTAGATGTAAGAAGAGAGTCTCTCCTCCAGTAATTCAGGAACCAACACTAAATCCTGAACCAGAGGAAGTGAGCTCCCCTTCCAGTGATGGAAACATTGCACTGGACACTGGCAACACAGCCCCCGGTGGAGAAAAATGATACTAACATAACCACACATCCTCCTAGTCATGTAAGGAACAACAACAGACAGTCGACACACACTACACAAAACCAGGTCTCACATAATAGCTGGCAAGGGCATGGATATTATAACAACACCTAGGGACACTCGTCCACCTAGAAACTGGATCCCACACAACATAAGAGGTGAGTATGGTCATCACAGTGGCAGGTTTGAACGAGGATTTCAAACCAGGCCTCCAGCACATTACAATAACTTTTACAACCGTCCAACATACCCACCGAGGGACAATCGTCAACAGTATCAAGCTCCTAGGAACTGGGCTCCACATAACACTAGACGAGGTTATGGACATCACAATGGGGGGTTTGAACAAAGATTTCAGAACAGGTCTCCAGTACAAAACCATAACGATTACCACCCTCCCCACTCCCCTCTTAACCAGCAGGAGGCGTTAGGGCCCCAAAACACTAGTGGCTAAACAATCTGAGTTTAGGCAATAGGGGGCAGTCTAAAGTTGGTGATGGACAGTACAGTCTGTTGTGAGGTAAGTGTAAGAGGGAAAAAAAAACACTGTTGTCTCAAAAGAATTCTAAGATTCTTTGTTTAAATATAATTCATTTCAGAGTTCAGGGTTTTTTTTTTATGAGAAAATCTGGGTGCATACTTATTGGGCAAATATTAATGTGCACAATTATTATGCAACTAAATGAAAAATTAACATTTTTCATTCTCACTTGTTTATTTTCATTTGTCAGAATAGTAAACAATTCAAAATTTACAAATAAACATTTCTGACAGAACAAAAAATTCTGTGACCAATGTAGCCATCCTTCTTCTTAACAATTTTTTAAATTTTTTGACTTTTCAGAGGGAGTTAAATCTCTTTTTTGCCTAATAATTCTGCACACCTTGATATAGGGTGTTGCTCTCCTTAGGCTACACCGTACCTTGTTAGACAAATGCACATCACCTTGTCTGCTAAAGCCAATAAGAATTCAAGTTTATACAGCTTGGAGTTGGAGAACATGCATAAAAATCATGACATGGTCAAAATACCCACTTGCTTAATAATTGAGCACAGAGGGCATCAGCTGGCAGATATATAGGCCTGATATTTGCACTTTTTAAAATAAAAAAATCTCTAGCAGAGGTTGATATTTTGTTTTGGCCAACCAGATGTCCAGAGAATATGCATAACGCTTTATTTGGACACTTAAGTGCGAAAAGGACACTGCACAAATCATGACTACACAGCTCTTGTATCCACTTTGTAGTAAAACTGATTTGTGGATGAGTCATTTCATCCATATATCATTTGAGAAAAATAATCACATTCTACGTTGTTTATCTGGCAACAGTTTCTCTGTATTCTAAAGAAAAACAAATTATTATTATACAAAAAAATATATTAGTCGATCTCTAGTAGGTTGAAATAGGAATGCCTTACCTCTTTTTCAGGTCTAAAAATACCTGATAATAACACTTCTTTATTGCCAAATTTCAACAGCCAAATAATACAGTCTGAGTGTGTAGTGTTAAAACTGTAAAACATCATTTTACAATATGCCAATTTTATTCAATTTTTATGCTAAAGGGAATGAGTGAATGCGGAATCTGTTACTCACATGGAGCTCTGTGTTGGATCACTATTTAACCCTGTGTTTTTTCTCTTTGAATCGTCCGTGACACTCAAAAGACACTTTCACTACAGAGGCTGAGACCGCTGATCGATTTTTAAAAAGCAACTTGACAAAGCGATGGACAGCCATCAAGAGTTACACAATCTAATGGCCATTGTGCATTAACAGGAGTGGACACTGAGAGCAGCGCGGGGCTGTTATTAGCGACAGTCTGCCAGCTGTGCCCCCCAGCCCCTTACTCCATCCATCAATAAGCACGTGCTCTGCTCCGGACCGGCCTCTGCCCACTGTCGATGTGAGTGTGTGAGTGTGTGTGTCTGTGTGTGAGTGTGAATATGGACAAGCACAGGGAGCATTGATCTACTGCAGGGGGCGGTGAGAGCAGGGAGGAGATACAGTGATCAATGTTTCAACACAAACAGACAAACGGGTTGTTTTCTAACTGCAGTTTCATTTACATTCTACTAGTCTGATGAAGGAAAAGTGTATTTTTCCTTACTTTGTTCGTCTTCCTTTTAGCAGTTACAGAACTGCTCACTTTAAGGGATGGGATATCGGTTATAGTTATATATTGGTGATATTGTTGCTTTGTCTTTTAGACAGACTAAATGGGGGGCAAATATGAACTTACAGTATATCCCAGATAATTACAGCTAACCCTAACCCTAATTATTATTTTTCAAAAAAATATTTATTTAAAAAATGTTATAACTCACCCAAATGCTAATAAATGCTTAATATCAGTATCTGCAAATAACACATTATAGGCTACAACAAGACAAATATCAGATATCGTATCAGTGCAAAAAATAAATAAATACATATAATATAAGGGGGGTTAGCAGAGTGTTTATGCTGCACTGCCACATTACCTTTGTTTAATTTAACTAAATTTGTGTCGGTGTGTGTGTTTGGGGTGGGCTGGGGGCATTTTTGTTGTTTTGTATTTGTTGTGGGTGTTGCTCTATGTTTTTGTGTTTTGTTTTTATGTTGATTATTGTATTTTGTTAACTGTTATATTCTGTTGTCTTTCATTAAAATAAATAAACAAATAAATAACATTTTTTAAAATCCATATCTGATCATCCCTACTCACTATACATATTATCTAGTTGCTAATGCAATTGTAATGCTAATGTATTTAAAAAAAAAAAAAAAACAAAAAAAAACATTGTGCACCTAATGTTAGAAATTCTTGCATAGTAACTAAATTGCTAGACGAAATAATAAAAATACTTATTATTTACACATACTTGTTGCATTGTGAATGATGGAGCGCTCACAATGCCAAATAATTTCTTCCTTTTAACAGTAACAGAACTCTGCTCTCTACCTACTCTAACCTATTTCCACCACAGCAGCAGAGACATTAACCTCTTCCGTGTCTCCTTCTCTTCTGGGTACATTTACGTGGCTGGTCAATCTAATTCCTGCGCTACATTCAGGCTGGACAAAAACATTTAAGTCTACAATTACTGAAAAACAAGACGCGTTCACTTCCCTTCGAGTTTCTGTTGACAGGAGGCGTGTATACTGAGACGGAAAGAGAGACATGTGATCTGTAGTCTCAAGCTAGAACACAGATGACCACTGAGATAACAACAAGATCCTCGACAGGTGACCGCCCTGGACCATGTCAGGCTCTGATAAGGTCATTTCAGAATGTCCATTAAATAGGCCTAGTGATAATTTAACTGTAATTACATCTTTATGCAAGCTGAGGTTTAAAAGCAGCTCCGTGCACAATAGGACTACCCTGATTCATCAGCCGGTTTCACTTTGTGGAAAC